TGACAGAAGCTGGCTTGGATAACTCTTCCAATGCCTTTGTTTTAATGGTAGACACTATTTGAGCAGCAGCTAGAGTTCCTGAGTAGGTACCATGGTTGTGGGGATGTTTCCCAAAAGTGTACACACCATCCTGCTCAAGCACTGTGGCTTTGCAGTGGTTTCCCTTTGGCCTTATGCTACACTGCCAGTGAATTTTATCAGCTTTCATACGACGGACATTATAGGAGAAGCCTTTACTGTCAATCAGTTTGTTCCTTCTCCGCAGAGATGCTTCCTCCACCAAGTGATATGTCATAGGAACATTTGTTGGAGGTGTGGGAGTGGGTGGTGAAGTCTGAATAACTGACTCAACCAAATCAGCCTGGTTATCATTAGGTGGCAGTTGAGCAGCATTAGGGTTTGAATGTTCTATGTTACCACAAGGTTCAGGAAAAGCTTGGAATAGAGTAGTTGTCGGCTGAAGATTTTCCTGAAACACCAGTTCAAAATGTCACATAAACTCTTTGAAAATAAAGAATGTGATAAAATGATATGATTAAATGAAGTAATCTTCAGTTAACCTTTTAACTCCCAAGATCTGATTGTTAATTCTCCCCTCTAGCTGCTACACATTTCCTTGTAAATTAGTTATGAGAACTTGGTGCTAGATCAAGATAGCAGCTTCTACCTGATAAGTTTGAATATTCTCATCACCTGTTTACTGAATAATGTATGGATATTATAGGGAGAATTTTTATGTTAATCACTTCAAGGAATTAAAGGGTTAAGAAAGGAAACTGAAAGAAAGATGACTGATAGAAGAGCCTTGAGTGGGTGCTTAAAAGATGGTGACAAAATGGTAAAAGTATTTTGAGAGGAGGCCCTAGATAAAAGAAGATTTCAGAAAAATCTTGACCCTTTACAGCCTAAGATCAGTATGTATATTCTCCAAACTGTTCTCTACACATTTCCAATAATACTGACAATGAGAATATGTTTATTATAATAAGAATCAAGAACTATTTTAGCTGGTGATCATTTCCTTTCTTTTTATGACCAATTAATATTTGATTTAGTGGTAAAATTGTAATATGAAATGAAATTCTAGTTACTCATAGAGGTTAATGAAAAGAAAAGAAAACAAGTGAAAGTGTAGTACCTCATCTGTGCTGGTTGGCTCAGGCTTGCATTGTTCCACCACTGCCTTGGTCTTGGTCTTCCGTGAGGGAGTTTGGGCTCTTGGTTTAGGAGGCTCATGATTATGAGAAAAATTACCAAAGGTGAAGACACCATTTCTTTCCACTACTGCTGCTTTACAATAGAACTCTTTCCTCCTAATGGTACATTGCCAACGAGTTATATTGGCCCCTTTGCGGCGGATGTTATAGGAGAAGCCCATGCTATCAATTAGTCTATCCCCTCTTCGCTTAGTTGCTTTCTCAACAAGAGTGAAGGTCAATGGAACACAAGTTGGAGTGGTTGGGTCTTCCTCTAGCAATGAACACTTGATTTGTGGTTCAACTAGTACAGAAAGATCAGTAAGTGGTATTGTTGCCACATACAACTCTGAGGAAGAACATGTCTCCACTGTCTCAGCCTCTGCAGAATGTGCATTTGAACCACTAGTAGAAGGTAGTGTTGAGGCTTCAGACTTGAAGGTAATGAGCTCAGCAGTACCTGATTGATGGGTAGGTGGGACTGTTGATGTATCAGATTCTGTGGATATAGGCTGAGCAACATCTGAAATATAATTGGGTGTCTCTGATGTGGCAAAAGGCTCTGTGGTTTTTGGATCTGCTTATGCAGAAAAAAGAAAAAAAAGAACATGCTCATGATATAGGAAAATTCCGATTTTGATGCAAAATTGGACAGCAGTAATTCAAATGATTTCCAATACTCACCTACTAAACTCAGAAGTTGAGTAGATAAGTCATATTCAAAACAAGTAATTTCACCCTCTGGAATCACTTCTACTATGGTATTCATGCCTCCTTGAAATCACAGCCAGTAGATGCTGAAGTAAACGGGAACTTGATAACAGAATGTAGACTTCAATGGATGTAATTGCGCACGAATTGACTACGTAAATGCCTTCGATTCCGGGTTTCAAAAATATGACTTCGTATTTTTAACTGAGAAAAACACATTAAGAGGTTTCAATCCTTCTTTTCCGCTTCTTTTCCGTGATCGCAAATGAATTTAACGGGCGAGTAAACGACGGCAAATTCACCAAACACGCAAGCAGGAAAGGCAGAAGGAAGAAACTTGAATGGATGCGATAGTAGGCGAGTCGACCAATCATGTTTGCGAGCCAACCCGTGACGTAGGCGAGTTATGCCACGCAGGCGAAATACGCTTATCGACCAGAACTAATGATCCAAAAAATCAATCCACGCATTCCAAGCTTTAAACATAAAACTACATTGATTTTTCTTAAATAGTACTCCACATACCACAAAATAGCGTCAAAACTTACCAATTCTTATATGAGACGCCTTGCCAACAACGCCATCTTGGAAACACTGAGTTCAGGTGCATTTCGGGAAGGCTGTAGGCTTTCGCAAAGGAACCACGCTTGCTTAGCGTCCACCATCTTTAGTATTGGATTGGAAAGGCGCGGCGACATAGCAAGATTTCTGCTTTCTTTCTATACAGAGGTAGGCTTTGAATCATCAAGGATGTCTATGACTGCCTTGTTTCATTGTAATCGAGATTTTGGTGGGAATTTCAGAGGAAATGCATCGAATTTCGATGCAATGCATTGTATTGTCTGTCTATTACATTGTTGATTGGGAAGATGAGCCTTTTTCATCCGTTTATGCGCAATATTACAGTTCTTTTGCTTCGACCTCTATGGATCATAACTACCTCTACTGTGATTTTTAAAGTTCTGTCGTTGTATCCTGTTAAAATGTATGCCGTGAAAGCAGCGACTGAATTGCTTCCGTTGAAATTTTGAATTCGTGAAGGTAAACTTTGCGTTTGAAAATCAGTTGAGCTTATACATAAACATGTGCGCGCATTTTGCGACGTCGAAAGGGAAAGAAAGTTTTTTATTCCAAGTTTTTTTTGAATCGGAGAATATTCTTTGATCATTTTCATTGTATATCGAAACTGACGAAAATAAACTATAAATTATTTCGAATTCTCTGAAAACCTGGACTAGATTTTAATTGTGAATGTCAAACTTCAACTTGAGGATCTTAAATAAGTCTCGTATCTCACTGGTTGACATTTTCCTTTTGGATTAGTCAAGACCGTCTGGTGAGATAAAATGGTAACACCCTTAAACTGATTATAAGTTCGCTGCTATCATTTTTTTGCACGTCTCTGGTTGCGTGTGGCTCTTTAGACTCTATTGACTCTATGGCAGATAGACTCTATGGTGAGCAAAGCCCATCACAAAGTCCATATAAAACATGCATCCTGCATACTTCTAGGATCAGCAGGATGAAAACGTATTTCTATTTTCTTTACCAAGCTTAAAACTTACCACCTTTCTATTTACAAAATGTGATGCTAGCTATCTTGCTGATTCTAGCAATATGCAGGATGCATGTCTTATACAAATGTGATAATGGGCCTTGCTCACTGTAGAGTCTCTGTGGCTCAGTGGTAGAGCTTTGAAGTGTGGAATCTGAAGGTCTGAGGTTTGGTTCCTAATGGGGACTCAGAATTTTTTTCTTTATCTCATGCTTATGACAAGACAAAAGACATCTTTCTCTATTTTCTTTACTGAACTTTTAACTTTTTTTGTATTATTTAATGTCACTATATTTTGTTCTGTTGCTATCTGATGTTGGCTGTAAGTGCCTGGCAGCTGGGCATTGTCCCAAATGGACCAATGCTCCTCACAGAAATATTCCTGCAGAAAACCTTGTGTAAACTTATGAAAGTGTCCCATGTTTGTTCAGAAATAGTCAAGTAATTTCAATTGCCTCACTCTAGGACATCTTCCCAGCTTGTGCATGGCTTGGTCAGAGTTGTTTCTTTAGTGTGGTACACCAAGTGACTTGACAGCATGCTAAAGCTTGGAAAATTTGTTAGTTGAAACAACAAAATAATTTTTGAAATTGCCTGATATTTCTAATAAAACATCCAATACTCTCTAGAAGTTTGATAGAACCTTTAGTGAAATTTCCCACTGCTGGGCATTTAGTCCAGTTAAAACAGTAGCTGAGTGCTGGGTGATTAGACAATGCATTAAACATATGAACATTTTAAATTTTCAAGATCTCAATGTTTTGGCAGAAACTTTATTTCATACAAAAACAACCCCTTTCTAGCAGCTAGCCTGGACTCATTAAAAAAAAACATGATAAAAGGAAAAAAAAGAGTGGATTTAGCTAATCAAAATTGCAGAGGACTGTAGTTGTACCTTTTCCTAACCTTTGTAAATTTTTCTTCTGTACATTTCTAAGCTTTTTTTCTGTACATTGAGATGCTGACAAGGAGAATTTGTTTAAGCATCAAGAGCTTAATTGGTTGGTGATCATTGCCTTTATTCTCATGACCATAATGTGTGATTCAGGGTGATTTGTAAAGAGAAATTAGATGATAGTCATTCCTAGGGTTTTCTGTATATTTCCTAAGATGCTGATAAGGAGAATTTGTTTAAGCATCAAGAGCTTCAATGGTTGGTGATCAATGCCTTTAATCTCATGACCTCAATGTGTGATTCAGGATGATGTTGTTAGGAGAAATTAGATCCCAGTCACTCTCCACCCAAGCTAACTCTGTTTTGTTTTCATACCTTTGCACTTTATTTACTGTTCTGATTAACCCATTAACTCTTAGATCAAATTTGTAATTCTCCTTACTGACAACTATACAATTCTTATAATGTAAGTTCAGAGAATTTAGTATTGGATCAATTAATTATCTCCAAATTTATATTTTTCTGTATTCTCATCACTTATCTGGTTGACATTGTATTGATATTTTAAGGAGAAATTCTGTTTTGGTCACTCATGATAAAATGATAAAACTAACTTGTGCTTTCAACTTTCTTTGACTTCTTTTCAAAGTGATTTCATGGTCAAGAAAGAGTTGCAGCCATGTCAAGTGAAGAGGAAGCTACTGCAGCCAATGTGCTATCGCAGATGTCACAGATTCAGCAGATAAGTTGTGAAACAATTGAAGCCACAGTTATTAATGTTGGGCATCACTGTGATGTGGAGACAACAGCCTCGCAAGGTAAACGTGCAAACATAAGTTATCCCTTTCACTTCCAGCATCTTGTTAGTTATTCTCCTTACTGCCTGCCATAAATTCTTATGATGTTAGTTCAGAGAGTTTGGTATTGGATCATCTAATTACCTCCTTGTTGATATTTTTCTATATTCTCATCACTTTTCTACTTGACATTGTATTGTTATTGCAAGGAGAAATTCTGTTTTGGTCACTCATGGGAGTTAAAGGGCTAACATTCTGCTGATATTCTTATTTATAATTGGGAAATGTGCAAATACAAACTTGTTGGATTGACATCACTGCTATGTAATCATTCAGCTGATAAAGGAATTGACATAAATTTTGATATTCTTCTTTTCATCCAGTTATGGAGATTGTACAAGCTGAAGTTCCAGATGAGGAGGCTAACGAGGTACTGCGTCGGGTTCATTCAGCTGTGCAGAATATGCAGCAGTCATCTGGCGTCATGGACACCAATGAGCAAGTACATGCTCAGCTGGATAGTGGAGAGGTGGCTATTTTGTCTGGGTCAGGAGATTCCACAGCAGGTTGGTGTCTACTCTTTACTGTATACCTTAACATCAGTATGCAAATTCTCCTTAAAAGAGATCGCGTCCACAAAAAAAGAACTTCCGAAATTTTATTGCACGTGGGCTTTTTTACTTTAATTTTTCATGCTGCTGTTGTTTTAGGTTAGACTTATACTTAATTTCATAAATATTTGTTTAAGCTATATCAAAAGTAAATATCCAAAGAAATGTAGCATTTTTGAGACCTGTATGTTTACTTGTGATTGTCTTCTAATTGAAGCGAACTTTGTAAACACGCCAACCGTAAATTAAATTAATGTTAATAGTATTGTAATACATGAATCGTAATGTAGTGTATGCATAATTAGTGTAAGTATAAGTATCAGTAGTGTAAGTAGCAACTGTACAATGTAAGTGTAATTAATACTGTAAGTAAAAAAAAAAAAAAAAAAAAAAAGTTCTCCCTACTGTTCTCTATACATTTTACTATGCTATTTACAAGGTGAATTTGTGCCTGGGCCTCAAATATACAGCAAAGTTGTCTTTTAAGCTATTGTAGAAGGATAAAAGGCCATGAGAGTTTTCATAGCACTTTCAAGAAGTCTTTGGGGCTGTTTCCATAGAATGAGATTCATACTAGTAACAATTTCATTGATATAAATTATTTCAATTGATTAAAAAAAAAATGTATTCATACTAACTGTAATGGCTCTTGATTTCTTTTAGCTGTTGGAACCAGGATTGTTTCAAATGGAGGTAACACTTTAAAAAAAATTGATTTTTTTGAAATTATGTTATTTTACACACTAGAAAGGCAGTCAATGACCATCAACCAGAAATCGATGGGCTCAATCATTTCAGAAATTTTTGCTTTCAAACAGTCAGATGCAAACTAGATCCATTTAATCTGTGATTTGGTCCATTGATTGTGTTTTTCCGTGCCAGAGATAGCTTACTTTCATTCAATTGTGTTGATAGTGGCCACCATGGAGATTTTCTAAAACTGACATTGTTAGCCTTTCATCCATTGCTCTGACCAAGGGTTGACGCTCGAAACATCAGCTTCAAAAACTCTCTTTGGGGCAGATTTACATCATCAACTCAGTTCACCACACAAAATTACCATTATCTTGTAATACCCTGCACAGACACAGCAGCACAGTTTGTTTAGAAACTTACCCCCTTAATTACTTTCATTCACTTTGAGTTCTCATTGGCTTACTGTATAGCCTGTGTATGGCCACTCCCTACCCTCCCAAAGAAAAGTGATTTTCTTTTGGAGGGTAGGGAGCAGCTTTACACAGGCTACTTATTATGGTATTTTTCTTTGCCATGGGATTACCTGTTGCAAATTACTCTCTTTATAACCTCTTCCCGACATTCAGGTAGTAAAATGAGGCATGGAGGTAACCAGCAACATAGCAGTAGAGAAGTGAAAAAACGTTTGGGTCGTGTAAAGAAAGCTATTCTTTACACAATCTGACCCAGGCCTCCCTTGTGTTTTGCTCCACCTCTACCATTGGTCTGTTTACTATTAACCCTTTAACCCCTGAGGGTGATTAGCATGTAATTTCTCCTCACAATATCATTCCTGAATCACACATTTAGGCCATGAGAATAAAGGAAATGATCACCAACTGAAGAAGCGCTTGACTGTTAAACAAATTCTACCTGTCAACACCATAGGAAATGTTATGAACAACAGACTGGAGAATATTCACACTTATGTTAGGTTGTAAAGGGTTAAGCATGAATTTCATACTAGTTTAGTCGCTGAAAGCCTAGAACAGTTTACCTTCATTAGTTCTGACTGGATCACTACACTCATTGAATTGCACTCGATGAAATAATATGTGGACCAACCTAACGTAGCACTTGTTTGATGTTTGCTCATCTCAAACAAAATGAAAGCCTAGAGCAGTTGAAAGCCTAGGGCAGTCTACCTTCACTAGTTCTGACTGGATCACTACACTCATTGAATTGCACTCGATGAAATAATATGTGGACCAACCTAACGTAGCACTTGTTTGATGTTTGCTCAGCTCAAACAAAATGCGGTTTTTTTTTTTTTGCAGGTAGGGTTTATCCTTGTGAGTACTGTGGTAAGGAATTCAACAAGTCATACAATTTGAAGACACACATTCGTGTTCACACTGGGGAAAGACCCTATACCTGTGAGCAGTGTGGCCACGGCTTTGCTAACCTAGGAGATCTGAAAAGACATGCGCGCACACACACAGGGGAGAAACCATTCAAAGTGAGTTTGTAATTATTTCAGCAGAGGAAACTGAGACATTCATTTTTTGTCTTTACTGGCAAAGGCCTTTATCGTTAGTTTCTGGAAAGAGGGAATTCCAAGGAAAACCTTTTTAAATTCTTAAATGCCCACTGATTATCAAAACTTGTCAGCATGAAAGCAGCATGGTTTAACGAGGTCTTCTTTCTTTGACAGTGTAACTTTTGCGGGAAAGTGTTCTCAGACTTTGGAAGTCACAAGCGGCATCTCCGCCTTCACACAGGCTTTAAACCCTTTCGGTGCGAGGACTGTGGAAGAGAATTCACTCGGTTGGACAGTTACAAGAACCACATTCGTTTACACACAGGTAAGCAATTACAAGTTAATAAACTCAATTTTATACATCAAGCTCCCTAACCATGCCCTGTCTATCTCTTTAGGTGTCCGTCCATATAAATGCGACACTTGTGAGAAGGAATTCAACTATCTGACGACTTACAAACGACACTTGAACATCCACAAAGGAGAAAAACCTTTTGCCTGTGAGCACTGCGATAAGAAGTTCACTCGGCTCAATTATTTAAAAAATCATCTCAACACTCATGCTAAACATGCGAGTCAGGAAAGCCAGACAGACTTTAAATATGACGACAGCTCTTCTCGGCAAAATATGGACGTGGATAATCAGGAAGACTTGGGTACTATGGAGGCAGATTCCGCTGCCCAAAGTATTCAGAACGAAGGCAAAAGTCTGGTTGAAAATGAGGCAGGGAAAGCTGATACTGAAGGAGAACTTCAAACCGAGGCAGTCAAAGAGCAAGAGGTATTCTAGAGCACACTTTGTGCTAGTAGTGGTGTAGTAATTAGAAATTAAATAAATCTTGCTTTAGAGTGAAGAATTTATATTAAATTTGCGTATAATTAACAGTTTCAAAAACCGGTCTGCTTTTATAACGCTAGAGCGAAGTCACAGATACAACAAAGGCACAAGAATCCAAAGTCCCGGATACTTCTCTCTTACAACAAGTTACCCAGGTCCTTGGCGAGATCGTCCCTCACAACTTGAGTGCAGAAGTGACCGAAGGCGCCGGGGGACCACAGATTGTTGTTCAAGGCGCAGACCAGGCGGGAAGCGAGTTTAAGATCACTCTGGCCCAGCAGTTGCTTTTAGCGCAGCATTTACTGAATCAGGTACAAACACAGCGGCTTGGACGCGGCGGAGCGAGCGGAAGTGAAGGCGAACAAGACGCCGAACAACCTCAGATTACAACAGGTAAAGCTACGCGGCTTCGAATGTGGTTGATTTCGTTTTTGTAAAAATTATTTAACGGCTGAGCTGAACGTAGAAAACAAGCTAACTGTGGCCAGCGCGAGGAAAACTTGCAACGGTGTCAAGGGCAGGGAAAGGTATAACTGTTGTCAGTAACAGGAGAAGATGCTGCGGTGCTGAGCGCGGGAAAATATTTAAAAATTTTCAGGTGCGGAAAAACGTGCAGTAGTGCAGAGCGCGTGAAAAACACACTGCGTTGCCAAGCGCGGCTCGTGCGTACTAAAAAGTGTCTAAAAACATCTACGCAGACAAACGTTAAGGCCAAGTCTGTTTTGTATTATTGTTAGTCAAAATAGCTTTCACTCGAGTCTTGCTAGAAATCTGTGAATGCTTTGGTTTAGCTTATTTACGCACTTTGATTGGTTCAGAAATCTTGCACCACGCTCTCAACCAATCAGATTCAAAGCCGATAGCAACTTGGTCTCTGGCGTCTCGCGTTTTCCCGCCTTTCCGAAAGCTGCCTTCATATGGCGTCAAGAGGTGTATTCATTTTCTCTGTTTGGCTGTTGTGTTTGATTTGGTTTTGATTTTGCGCTACAATCGAAATGCACTGTAAAGTGTTTGGATAGAGCAAATTTAGATTAAAAGATTTATCAAAGAGACTTGATCATAAACCTTACTTTAAGTCTTCCTTTCACTGTAGTCACTATTCCAGAAATCAGCGCTGAACTTGCAGAACAGATCGTCAACCAGGCTGCAGTTCAACAGGCAACTGACTTGATGCAGAATCCCTCCGGTTTAATACATGTCCCCAGCGATGCTAACACTTCCCAGGGAACTGGGCAAACGGAAATGGTTGTAGGAACTGAAGTTATGATCCAAGAACAGGCTGAAGGACAACATAACGAGGTAGTGCGTCACGTCACGCTGTAAATATGATTTTAAAGTCACGCTTTAAATATAGTTTAAAGTCACGCTGTAAATAAAGTTTAAAGTCACGCTGTAAATAAAGTTTAAAGTCACGCTATAAATACAGTTTAAAGTCACGCTGTAAAAAGTTTAAAGTCACGCTATAAATATGGTTTAAAGTCACGCTATAAATGGTAAATTCAACCTTTATTTCGAATTTAACTCAGGGTATAAGCCTGCTTAAAGGCGATGACGCTACAGCAAGTCACTCCAAATTCACAGTTCAACGGTTGTTTCCGATCTAAGACAAAAAAAGGAGAAACCAATGGTCACCTCACTGAGTAACTAAGCAATTTTTTACTTGGGTGTGCGCGAATTACGCGTGGAAATTATACGGTGCGAGGTGCGTAGGGTAAGAAAGATTCACTGTAAACATTTTCGAGAAAATATCGTCCACCTCCACGGCGAACTCCGCAGTTTGTTAATGGCGCGCGCGAATCACGCGTGTAAATTATGTAGAGTGCGGATGCGTGGGTTAATACAACGAAATGAAGAATGACCTTACTTTCTTTACTTTATCAGATGGTCACGGAGCATGTGTTGCAAGAGAGTACCGCTGTCCCAGTGACATCAGAGGATGGTGTACCTCTAGTCGACAGTAACGCCGTCTACGTCGCTATCGATCCCAACCAACCAGATGTTCAACAACTGCTGGGACAAATTCAGGCCATAACTGCTTCACAAGCACAACAAGGTGAAGGAGAAGAACCACGGCAAGAGAGTGAATGATTTGCTTTTAATGTTATCACCCACAGCTGCAGGTGAGCACTGGGTCGAGTCATGCTAAGCTTGGTGCCCAGAGGTACACTTGGTCTCATACTGGTGAAGGGACATTATGCCTAGTCGACAACAAATTTCTTCGGCATTTTCAACGAAATCGTGTGGATATCAAGGCTTCGACTTAAACGCAATGTGGAGATAATTTCATTAGTGAGCTATGACCAGTTTTTTACTGAGTTGTATTCGGTTGACGATGAGTCGAAGTCGGGTCTTCTAACCTCTGACATCATTAGCTAGGTAGAGAAATTTCAGTGGAGGGTTGTAGCGCTGTTCCAAGGTCAGCGGTCGATAACAGAAAATAAAGACTAAATCTTTTTGTTATTTGGCATTGTGAATACGAATTCGACATTTGCGAGTGAACCGCCGAAGGTAGGCCGACGTTTTGTCGAAGGCTATCGTTATTTCCGAGATGAATTGTCTTGTTTTGAGTTTCTTACCAAAAATGTAGGTAGGTATTTAATTTCTGAATTAAAAATTTAATAGTTTAACTCTCTGGTGAGTAGAAACAGGCATAAGTTTTTTTGGTTTTTTTTTTAATAGAGGATGATTTCAGTTTCCAAATGCTAATCGCGTCAGAAAACCTCTATGAACAGCTCTAAATGGTCGTAAACAAAATATTTATGGACAAACTGTTTAAAGTTATGATAATGAGATTTTCCTTTTCGATAAAGAGGCTTTTTAAAGCTTTCGACTATCAATCAACGTCTTTATTTATTAGTTTTCTCACTAATCTGATTAACAATAGTTACATGTTTTAGGGTTTAAATCATTAAAAGAAAATTAATATTTGTCAAGAGTTGTCTTCTGTGTCCGCTGTCTGACTCGGAAACTTCTGATCAAATTTCACGGGTGACGAGAGTGATATTGACCCCTTCTATTACAAAGTGCGCCGAAAAATTAACTGATCCCTGGTCAGCCCTCTAAAATTAAAGGAATTGCAAGAAGCTCAAAAAGGTCTGAAAGATATGACTGCGTTGGTTACCGCAACAGTAAAAATGATCTCCTGTACTTTGCTGGCTTGTTCTAAAATTCCTTAGGCAAACCACACGAAAAATAAACAAATGCCTCACAAGTAAGTGAAATAATTTAACTCGCGTGAACCAATAAATGAAAGGAGTTGACGGGAAGTGTTAAAACATTTTCTTTTAGCCCCCGGCATTATGCTCTATTTATCCTCTCTGCCAAAACGGGAAGGTTCAAAATTGTAACTCTTCTGGTGTTGTTATGAGGGATCGTCCCCAACTTTTAATTTTAGCTTCATTCCTTATGCCCTTTACTTTCTCAGCAAACCCCCCTTTCTTTTTCGGTGGTTCGACCCTTTTTTTTAGGTGGTTCCGACCGTCGAGTTTCTTATCTACTGTTGTCGTGCGTCATAAGTTCATTCTTTATTTTCAGTTTCCGTAATACATGCAAATAATTGACGGTTGAGTAAAGTGTCGCAATTAAGTGGGTCGTCAAAATTGAAATATTTAATCCACATTCTGACGCTTTGACGAACGGTATAAAAGTTCTTGAGGGTGTGAGCTCATTTTGTGCCAAAGTCAAATCAAACTTTCATGCCTCTGGTCTCCGCGGAAGATTTTCAACAAAAATGTATTTTCAAACGTTTATAGAGTTTGTTGGTCATGTAGTGTACTGTTTCACTCGAAGTGTGGCGGAGCATTATGATTTTGACGAGGCCGTAGAAAGCGCTCATTTATTTGAGTACGACCCCTTAACCGATACAGGCTTGGAGTGGTACGGTCATCCAATTGACGGAGAAATTATTTACCAGGAATATAGCAACAAAAACGCAACAACTCTCGACTATTTAAGCTCTGGTAGAACAGATGCTAGAATGTTAAACGCCATTGCAACAGAAAGTGACGAAGGCTTGTATCATGAACCGCTTGATGATCAAGGGATGGCTTGGAAAAGATTGAGACCATCGTTATTGTGTTCACTTTGGAAATCGTTTTATTTTGGTTTCTTGATATCAATTCTCGGTGCAATCGCGGTTGGCACAGTTTCCATTGTCGTATACTACCTCAGTTATCAAACATTGCTTAAATGTGAAAGTTACTCCATAAAATTTATCCCGGAAAAACTGCAATGGATGCGAACCATATCAGAAGTCATCATTTGTTCCTTATATTTTTACTGGTTTTTTCTTAATTGTCTTTTTTACTTCCGGCCTTTTCAAATTTCTGGAATGAAGCTTAAACTGTGTCTTTTATGTCTGGCATTTTATACCCTGGATGCGATCTATAGAATTTGCTTTCAAGCGTTTGGAATCACTCGTACAAAGTTGACCCCGAAGGAAAAAGTGCCGTTAATAGTGTTATTTTTTCTATGTGTTTGTTTACAAGCTTGTGTTATTGTTAAGCACTTTTGTGGAGGTCCTCGCAAGACACAGGTCAAGTTGCTTTTTATTTTAACAACACCTGTTACGTTGTCCTACATCACAGCTGTTTTAATTTCGTATTTCATTTATCCAGCATTCAACAAAGATGACAGATCAGGCAAAATGATCATCGCCATATTCACTCCGCTCATCACAGTAGTTGTTAAAGGCATCTCCCGCATATGCATCCAGCGGTTGTCGCGTATCAGTCATCCGGGAACTTCATTCGTGCTGTTAGTGCCGCTGTACCTCGGGTCAGCGGTGATGTTGAGACTTTTACAACTGGATCTTGGTCTGAATCAGAAATTCAAGTCCGTTGTGGTAATTGGAGTTATTCATGGCATCGCAGAGGTCATCGAGCGCAGCACCATGGTTTTCATAGATCATATTTGCCACCAGATTTTTGAAAAGAGGAGGGTTCCGTGGGGAGGATTTCGCACGCCTCGCCGCGAAAGACTGGCAGCGGATATTGCCATTATGAGCATGCTCTATGAATCAATTGCTATAATTTCTGTCAATGGTTTTCTCTACTTTTATGAGTATTTTTACTCCAGTGACAACTCTCCACTCCAGCTTCTTCAGTCTTTTGCAATAACCACGTCAGTCCCACTGGCCATTGAGTGGTTTTTCACCAGCTTGTCCATAATGATTGAAACTCGTTACCAAAACATGCCGATAATAGCAGTTTGGCGGAAAGCGTGGAAAAGACACATTCTGGTAGCGGTGATAAACAGTGTACTGGTCACAATTTGGGCTAGTACGTATCTTTTCATCGCCATTAAAGAAACTCTAACTGATCATAAGCATCGCAATTGCGACATGCCGTTTACAAAGCTGTGAGCGACACGAGATGGTGGGAGTCTGGTAATCAATAACCAAGGCGTCAACCCTTATACCCAGACCCCACGCACCCAAAATCAAATAATTATTCCAGCGATGCGCAGTGCCAAGCTTTCATTCGTCCTCTAACTTGGAAGACTTATAAATGTTAGTTTGTCATGATAGAAAAAACACAAACATAGAAATGATTAACAAAGAAGGAACAGAAATGGCAAAGGATGGAGAAGACTGAAATTGATTTTAAAAAATGTAAAAACTTTTTCAATTACCCGGAACATCTCTCGAGATGCACAGTGACGCAGTGACCATAATCCGTGGTGTATTTTGTCCACAATGACGTCATATTCGTCTTATGACATAATGTTATGTAACGCAAAATCTTTCTGCGATCTCTTTAAAATACTCTCTTACAGGTCTAAGGGTATGAACAAGGTTGTCAGTAGGTTCCTAATGGTCATATATTTGATTGTGCTAAAGTATATCACAATGACGTTTCTGGCAGGGTTCACGTGGTGGTTGGTGGATACCTTAATAATTCAAACATGACCCAGCGTGCAGAGCAGATGCCTTGTTAAGATTAGGGGGGGGAAGAGTTAGAATTATAGCTCATTTCGATCAGAAACGCTAAGAGGCTATGAGTAGCGGAGTATAATGAGTACCCAGTGAAGAATAAAATCAAGAAAACTGCCTCAGTTGTCATTAGTTTTCGATCATCTAATTGCTTTGGAGTATGGCGCAGTTTCCAGCACTGATCAGAGAGCAAAGTAAAGTAGAATAAACGTAACACCGCATCACTTTTGATGTAAATTGCTCTAAAGGCTCGCTATCGTAAACCAAGTTGTCCTTGGAAGAAACTGTTTCTTCGCTCTAATCTTCCACAACCTACAATCCGAAATGGCGGCCAAACATTTTACAAAGGAACCCCAAGTGTTCTGTCGAAAGAGTAAACCTGCACAGCAAACTAGAGATCTCGAAAATGCCAATTCGCGATAAACAACAAAAAAACTGGCCAACATTAGCAAAAAAAAATAGTTTACTGCACGTACTTCACCTTAACTTACACCGTCATACGGTGTTACATTGAGATTTTCCCTATTCTTCACACACATCAGCTTGAGATTTAAATGAAATTAGAATTTTCAGTTAGAAATTAAATTACGTGAAAGAACTAAGTTACAGAATTTAAGTCAACTACAACATTTGGTATCACACAATTTTAACACGAAATTATGTAACCTTATTCAATAACATACAATTTCATATTGAAAATTCAAATTAAACTAAGAGACACTGGCCTTAAAAGAGACAATTGTACACCGATCTTATGTAACGATAGCTTATGGTAGAGAAGATAAACACCCGTTTGATGGAGTGGGTAAGTTTCAAGTAGGAATGATGTCTTCTTTCTCACTGGCAACAAAGTCATGTGGTTTTAGTGCGAGTATTTTGAAAAACTGAATTCCAATAATAAGTTATACTGTTGCTATTTCTTGAGTCCTTTGCTCTCAAGGAAGGCTTCCTGGTTGGGTTCACGACCAAGAAAGTTTTTCAGCATGACGGAGGCGTCCTGAGAAAAAACACTTATTAGACACTTTCAATGCACACACACACACACAAAAAACACTTTTTTAATAGAAGTCGAGAGGCTTAGGAAATCGAAAGGGGGGGAGTAACCCTGCGATGGACTGGGATCCCATCCAGGGAAAGTCTTGAGCAATCCCCTTGTCCCTTCATGCTACGAAAACTGAGATAACTTCCGACTGGATGGGTCACTTTTTAATTTTTTTATTTTTAAATTTTTCCCTTTTTCATATTTTCATTTTCCATTTACATGTACTTACAAGAGTTCCTCCAGGCTGAAGAATGAATTTCCTGTAATCGAGCCCAACAGAAGGATTCATGATTCCTTCCTTCTTAAACCTGGTGTAAAACATGTCCGATGAGAAAACTTCGCTCCACTGGAAGACAAAGAAAAGGCGTAAAAGTCAACCAAGGTTTAGATCCAGTTGAGAAATAACAAATGCATCGCCAACCAAAGTTTTCCGGAGACCAACCGAGTATCCCCGAAGAAAAACCTACTGATTAAGTAGGGCTCGTTACTACGAAGATCGTTTTCATATTCAAAATAATTAAGATGATCTCTCACCAGATATCCATAGTACTGTGCATCGTATCCTCCAGCTAAATGACCAAAAGAGGCTGGCATGTTGGTGTCTAAAGAAGAAAAGTAAAGCCACAGATTAACGTGTTTTAGTACTCCGCGACGTGACCGAATGGTCTGGAAACTGGACTCTGTTTTGCGAGGCTAGCAAAAATTTTAGCCATGCTGAAAACCAAAGCGCTTTCACGGATTGCACCAGCTACCTTCGCTAACACGCGAAATAAAATAATAATAATGATAATAATAATAATAATAATAATAATAATAATAATGATAATGATAACAAAAATAATAATAATAGTAGTAATACTAAATGTTATTGAGAAAAAAAATGTGCCTCTTTGGTAGGTTGAACGTTCTTTTTGCTCCATAACCCATACGATTTTAGAATGACAGATGATTGCCCTAGAAACCATTGACTCATTGAACCCCAAAAAATCCACTTGTCGATGTTTCTGGAATCTTGTAAGTACAAGACATTTAGAGGCCATTTCGATTAAGTGTCGACAAACCAAACCCAAAGCAATCATATCGGCCGATTGGAACAAAAGAAAAAAAATCACAGGAAGCCTATGAGAACTTTTAAAGGCATAACAAACAAACAACTCGAAGCACGGGAGAACGCTGGTGACCAAGTCACGAAAGCTTCTTCTTTTGCATTTGATTGGTTAAGGGGGTAGCGCGAGCTTTTCAGACCAATCACAGAAGTTTTAATGGCAAAACAAACAATCTACCCGGAGCGCGGGAAAACGCGGGTGACCAAGTCACGAAAGCTTCTTCTTTTGCATCTGATTGGTTAAAGGGGTAGCGCGAGCTTTCCAGACCAATCGCAGAGTAAAGAAAAGAAAATGCATTTTGAAATTTTATTCTACGATAAATTTGAAACTCAATTAAAATTGTGCTATACGACCCTTGAACCCACCTGGTGAAGATGGTATACGGAGTATCTCGGATGAAAGCTTGGAGAAAATCTCCGCAGTGTTTGCCTGTGGGGATTGAACGAGACAGTTCACTGTTCAGGCTAAAATCAGATTATGTTTCTACAAATTTCCACAAAAATGTCAGGTTCATAAAGATAGAAATTGTACCTTAGCTTGAGTATGAATTGTTTGATCAAATGTTGCCAACAAAACCTGTTAATAAGAAAACAAGGATTTTTAACGTTAAAAACGATATTTCCAATATTTCTCAAGGTAAATTTCTAATTACAAAAGCTTCGCACTGGTACATCCAAAAGCCTTGAACAAAGACTATAATAGCAATAAAAGTCATTATCACCTACTTGTCTTAAATTAAACACGCCTGTATTCGCATTGCGAGAGGCTATGAGTTTGTCCAGCATTTCGTCTGGAACTGAACTGGAATCTGCAACAGAAGATTTCGTTTCGAGGAAAACATTAAAAACCCAGAATGAGCAACAATCCTCTGAACACTTTAGTAGTTGACACATCCTGTTTTAGGTCGCGCTGTTTTTCACAGCCTTTTAACAAACCTTTGTAATGGGCTGACATACGATGAAGAGGTTTCTTTTCCCAGCACCAATTCTCCAACATCTGAGAAGGAGCTTCGACAAAGTCTCTTTCCACATTCGTACCACTACAGATTTGAGAGAGGACAACACACGGTAAGATTCCAGCTAAAGCCGGAAGCAACGCCCTATTAAGCCCCTCCAGGGATTTTATTAGTTTTAGGGCTTAAGAGGGGGGAGTGGGGCGCCACAATCTTTTATGAAAGAAAATATTAACTAAAAATCAAAAGATTTACCTGAAAATTGAAAAATCCGCTTTTGCGCATAGCTGATGCATCACGTGGCCAAACTCATGGAAAAATGTCTCCACCTTGAATTGAAGGAATGTCGCACAATAATTATATAAACATAATAATTTGCCTGAGTAGACAAAAACAAAAGTGGTAAGAATAAAGCAGAGTGGTACAAGAATGGCAACGAATGTGGAAGATTAACGCAGATTTAAAATGACTACAAGATATTCTCTTGTTACTGTAAGAGAGGAAAAAAGTAAAGAGGCAATTATAAACTTGGAAGGAACTGCACAACGATGGCTAGGGATGGAGAAGATTTACAAGGATTTGTAAATGACTACAAAATATTAGTTTGACAAAGTAGAAAAAAAAAACATCAAAAAAGCGTTAAGAAACCAAGAAGGAACAGAAATGGTGAAGGAAAGAGAAGATTGACACGGATTGTAAATGACTACAAAATATCGGTTCAGTAAGATAGAAAAGCACAAAAGAGGCGATAAGAAACCGAGAAGGACAAAGGGTAACAGAGGATGGAGAAGATTGATAACGATTGTAAATGACTACAAAAAAAAATCAGTTTAGTAAGATAGAAAAACACAAAAGAGGCAATATTATTATTATTATAAATATTAGTTTAGTAACATAGAAAAACCCAAAAGAGGCGATAACAAACCAAGAAGGAACAAAGCTAGAAAAAGATGGAGAAGATTTACAAGAAATAGTAAATGACTACAAAATACTGGTCTGGTAATTGAAAAACATAAGAGAGGCGATGATAACCCAAGAGGGAACAAAATTGGCAAGGGATGGAGAAGATTAACATGGATTGTAGACGTCTATTTATGAGCCCAAACGGAAGGTTACACGAAGCTCCTACGAAGCGTAAGGATTTCTTTTTTTTCGCAATTGTAAATCGTACCTCTTGATGCGTCAGTAGTGATGGTTGGTCGCCCGATGGTCTTGTAAAGTTGGCCACCATGGCTGCAACCGAAATCTGAAATAATATTGCCGGGTCACAGTTGATGTGAAGTGTAACGTCCAAAACAAACACCAAAAGAAGGTGAACTTGCAAGAATAATTATAAATGTAAATGGTATACAAAAACAGAAGCGACCATTACCTGCCTACTGCCATCAGCCAGTAAACATCCGGGCTAAAAAAAAAAGGTAGTTATAATTCATTTCAGCATATGACCTTTTCCAAACGTGCATTAAGTAAAACGAAGTAAAACAGTAAATATGGCGTGATAGTAGGGGAGGAGTCAGAAAAACAAGAGGGAGGGTTGGGTCGGGTCGCATGAAAAACGCGTTCGTTATGCGACCCGACCCAACACTTTTTTTTTCCCACTCGGCTGCTCCTATTGGACCTCTATTCTATCAGACCTGAAATTGTTTCAGCAGCAGGATCCCATATCACTACTCAACTGGCTGAATTTTCAGTTTGCCGCGAAAAAAAGAATTCTGCGTTTACTGAATCAAAGCTTAGACCCTCCAATCAAAAATTTCTGGATCCGCCCCAGCTCCTCTATTTTGTGTCATAGAGGTTTAACAAGCTCTAAATGTTAGGGTGCAATGCAACAGAATACCCCTCGCTAATTTGACCAATCACAGCACGCGTAATATTCTAGAGGTAAAATAAATGTGGTTATTCACCTGAAGTCCAAAGCAAGCCGCGTGACCAAACTTCCCTTCTCTTGGAAATAAGTCTAAGTAGAAATATCCTATAATTTCTGATGATGCTGCATCTTGGACACTGAACTGTTTGAACAAAATAAAGAGAATATATCAGGAGTTTTTTAACACTGAACCGCACGTAAAATAAAAATATTTGAGACGAAAAATATAATAATATTGTTCTGACTATCAATGTGAAGATACATACCATCTGTATGTCCTTATTCCACACCTGTGGATCTTCAATTTCTTCAAAACACAATCCTAGAAGTTCCTGTAAATACCGCATTGAAGAAAAATTCGTGATGAATATGTACAGGTAACGACATGATTTTGAGTGCAATTTGGTGTTAATAAGTACAAGAAAAATTTTCAAAAACAACAAAATTGTACGAGCATGTAGGGCGAATGCAATTTGTAGCCTTAAAATATTAATAAGTACTTATTTACATCAAATTGCTCTTGAAATCATGTAACTTGTCGATAAGTTGTATGAAATATGTACCACAGAAAATGAAAACAGAAGAAATTTTGGCAATGTGCGCTATTTGTAATTTGCACTCGTCTTACATGAAAAATGCACTTGTTTTCAGCCAATCAGAAGTGTGTAATTTTTTTCATGTGTATTATTATAAGTAATGTACTACGAAGGCCACGACTGCTAAGCACTTGCTTTATAACATATATAGTGGGTGCCAAACAAGAAATCTTTTCCAAGTCTCAAGCTTTAGGTTGTATAAGTAAATTCAGGCTTTGCATGAAGCGTAGGAATACAACCCAATTACAGTTCAAGATTGAAGTGGTTCACAGGAATCCCACCCTTAGAGGTTCAGGCCTTACAGAGTTAAGTTCAAGCTTTTGATGTTACACAGAAATCCCAGCTTACAGTCAAAAGCTTTTTGTGATACAGGAATCCCTGTCTACAGGAACAGGCCTTGAGTAACACATAAATATAACTACTGTTATACTATCTAAAGGCCAGAATGGTAAACTCATGACAACAGAATTATTCAGACCCCTTTCTCATTAATTGTGGAAGTTATTCAATTCTCAACATCTGCTGATATGACCAGCATATCGAGTGTTAATTTCAGTGGTTAAAATATACTTAGGTGTTCAAATGTGGATATACAAAAAAAATATGAAAGAAGAAATAGGACAAAAAAACTGCATTTGTACATGCACTACACCATAAATTTTGTGATTAAAAAGAAACTATGATCATACCTGATAAATTTCCAACAGACCTGAAAGACATAATAAGTAATGGTTATAGGACTGAGTGGAGTCCAGTTTGGTCTGTAATCATAAGAGTGATAACAAAACAGAATGACTGCCCAATGGAAGTCTGATTTGTATATCATGAGTATGGTTACAGATCGAATTGGATGACATAGTCATTACCAATTAATCATAAAAATTGCAATTTCAGGGAAAAGGAGAATAGTCAAGTTTTATTACAATTTTCATTTAGTTGATATAAGTGACAACTTTGAATGTGATTGGCTTATTTAACTGTCTGACAACAAACTGTATGGTAACAACTTGGCAAGTGATTTAAAGGTATTAGAGGACTAATGAGAATACCCAAACTTATCAGGTAGAAGTTGTTATTTTGATCTAATACCAAATTCATGTAAGTTATTTACCAGGAATTGTGTAAAGGCTGGAGGGGAGAATTAACAATCAGATCTTTGGAGTTAAAGGATTAAACTCTTATCTACTGGATAACAAAGTATGCATTGAATAGCATTATCTGCCCCTTGAACAAATGGACCCTGAAGTTTACAAGCATTGAGATGCACATCAAGTACATGCAGGTTAAACTGAATAGCTGAAAATCGGTTAACATACCCTTGGTAACTACATGAAGAGGGAAGTATTCCTTTAATTTGTTTTGGTCCACAGCGTAACTCTTTTCCTCTACCATGGTCATGTAGTATCGCATGTCCCAGTAGTTGATCTTTCCATCAAAATCATGCCCTAATTCTTTGCACTGCAATAGACAGTCAAAAAGAGGATGAAGAGGGAAAAGATAGGGTTAGGGTTATTTGAAAGAGGCACAAATTTAAACACCAAGTTACTGTAGTCATACATGTAGGTAAAAATGATGAAAGAAAAAACTTACCTCAGCCTCTTTCAAATGAAGCATTTCAGCTAAATCAGCATCACCAAGGGGTCGTAACTTTTTTCCCAACTCTGATAGGAAACTAGAAACTGCTTCTGCTGTTTTAGCCATCCGCAACTAAAATGACACACAAAAAATATTTATTATAACAGTACAATAAATAATAAATCCATTCCCATCATCAATTTGGAGTCTTTTGAAATATCGAGAAAAAAATCGCCACAAAGTGCACAAGAATGAACTGCTTTTACCTCTGTGATGTGGCTTGCATGTGTTGGATAACCAAGAAGATCTGCCATCTTCAAAAAGAAATTTTTTTGTATTAATCACTTGTCTACAGTAATATCATATAATATCATCTGTGAATATTGAATAACGATACTAAAATCTCTCAAACCCTTTGTCTCAGTTCTACAAGCTCTTCTAAAATTGGAGTGTTCTCTTGTATACATCTGCAACAATAATACAGTATCTCAGGGTGAGTGAAGCTGTTAGCTCAGTCTAAACATCAATTACCCACAGTAATTTTTTTGATAGTTCTAAAATAAATTTAATGATCAAGCCCCACATGGTCACGGTGTCATAATGTCACTTAAGTTTATTTAACCCTTTTAGCATCCAGGATCTGATTTTAAATTCTCCCTTCTAGCCAATAAACATTTCTGTGTAAATTTGAAAAAGAATTTGGTATTAGATCAAGATAAACTTTTAATTGATAAGTAAAAGTATAGAGTATTCTTGGTACCTATCTGCTGGTTAATGAAAGGATATTCTAGGGAATTAGGGGGTTAAATGACATTTAAAACGTATGAGATAGACGTATCTCCATATTTGCAAAGTCTCTACAGTTAAATCCTGCACATACCTCCTGTTAAATGCATATTCTATTTTCTGCCTAGTGTGTGGATTGGATGCCTTCCTCATGATTGGAAAATAATGGGGGTACTTTAGAGTGACTTTGTGCAGGCCAGCATCTGTCTGAAAAATAAGATTTAAGTTAGTAAATCAAAAGATATCTATATTAGTGATAGCAGGGGTATCATTAAAAACTGGTCACTGGTGATCTGTTAGGGCTTGTGAAGCCTCTTGTGATCACAGCCACCTTAATTCCTTTGTTGGTCGCAATATGTGCACCACCTTGCTGATCAGTCTATACACCTGTATAATCAAACTTTTCCACAAAGCCATCCTTCAGTTGTCAGGAAGTAGGGGGTGCCTGAACTTTTTATATAGGAGTGATGGTTAAGAATATTTGCAGTTTTTAAGTAAAGTATTTTACAATGCTACTATTCTTTGTTTTTACACTGAACCCAACATTTGGTTCCCATGGCAACTGCATTGATGAGAATTTGCACTATCGCACAAAAACACAAAGCTACTTTTAATAATATCAACATCTAAGTTACTGAGATACCTTTTCTAAGCTGTTTATAAAATCATCTGGCAAACCAACTGGAAAAAAGGAATAAAAAAGTCAGTACAGCCAAAAATAACTGGAAAACATGTGTCATGATTAAATCATAACCAAGGCTGACAAAAATAGGAAAAAATAATATTGATTGAATCAAAATCACTGATAGGACAACGGCTGAAAAATTGACGTGGCAAAGCAAAACCTGTTTTCAGGTTATTCTGACCAAAGCTTGTTTTAGTTCATCACTTCTGGGAGATAAAAAGTTCGCCAGGAAATGCACAAATAAATATAAAATGAATTAAGATTTTAGATATATGAAAATTTCACATATTTGCACTGCAGTGGAAAGATGAAATTAGGAGATCCTCGCAGCTAAGAACACTACTGAAATGAGTAGTTGTAAATAGGACCTGAAAAAAAATTCAGGCCCGTACGGGATTTGAACCCATGACCTCTGCGATACCGGTGCAGCGCTCTACCAATTGAGCTAACAAGCCAACTGGGGCTATTACAACTACTTGTTTCAGTAGTGTTCTTAGCTGTGAGGATCTCCTAATTTCATAAAATGAATTGTTTAATTATACATTGAGTGCATACCTAACTCTGCTTTTGTAAATTCCAGTATTGTGTTCTCTTCATTGAGGTTTTTGTTAAAGTCAATGCATAGACCACTCATCTTTGTCTTAATAGATTTGATTTCTGTTTGAACTTCGGCTGGTAAATGAAGACCTGTGGGAAAATACACAAAACATTGATATCACGCAAATCAAATAATGGCACATTATATTTAGTATTACTTCAGAAGAAATAGTAGGAACAAAAGTGGTCAAGCCATCATGTTATGTTTCACAAATTGTCTTGATTTTTTTCTTGCTTTTTTTTTTCAACTTTGATGCTGTGATATTTGTTATCAGCCTGTAGAAACATCTTGAGGGAGGTTTTGATTTTACTGTATTTCTCAACCCAAGTTATCACAAACATGGTCTGTACATTGTGCCTTTCATTGTCAATTCAAATTAAGGGTTTCATTTAACCCTTCAACTCTCAGAGGTGATTATCATGGAACTTCTCCCTATAATATCCATACATTATCCTGCAAACAAGTATTGAGAAAATTTCAACTAATCAGGGAGAAGTTGTTTAAGCTGAGTGGGTCACTGAAACATCATCTGGTTTACTCTATCCTACAGCCAAGACATTGAAACAAATGCTGCAAAACTGTTCATCATTCCTCTGCTTAATTGAAAAACACTATCGCAAACCTCACAAGATTTTAAACAGGAACAGCTTGAAGTGAGTTAAATAGCTGTACTATTAGCGAGGGCAACAATAGACCATCATGATACATATAGCAAGATGACATGTTACAACATACCATCTCTTTTTCCAAGTTTTATTAACCTTTCCAAAACACGCTCAGCTTCAGGAGACAGTGGCTCCTTGTGTCTTTCCTGTGTAAAATAAATAATCTCCAGATGTTCACAATCAGCACTGTAAGTAAAAAGTAAGCATGAAGATGTACAAGATGCAGAAGCCAACATTGGCAAAACCTGTTTTCATGTAATTGTTGCAATTTTTACAATTGCTTCAAAATTAGGAAATTTGTAGTTGCTACGAGTGTTTTGTAGTTCAACCCTGCCGACAATTGGTATCATCAGATGTCAACATTGTGTCTTATCTAGAATCATCAAATTCATCAATTTTTAATTACCTGTAAAGCTACAAGATTGTCAAAGACATCCTTCCGCATGCTGTGAAGAATGAAAAAAAGAAAAAAAAATGCACAAGGATTAAATTCAAATGGACCACATGTTTGGATCATTTTTTTTCCATTCATAAATAAACTCATTTCTGAGATACATACACCTATAACAACTTTGTTTAAGAAAAATTTCCTAAAAAATTTGTAGCCAAAAAGAACTTGTCATGAGAATGAAAAAGCAAGTCAACACTTTACACTTTTGTTCTACTTTTAATTTAAACAATTCTTATTGTAGAAGCAAGAGCCTGAAATACCTGACTTCCACTTCAAATTCAGAAAGTTTTCTGTCAGCCTCAGTACTGGCTGCTCTGATCTCTTTATCTATTATGTATTTGATAAAAAAAAGTGAAATCAATTTATTGAAAACCAAACATTTAGAACCCTGCTGCTGTAAATAATAGTATGGGAGGATTTATTTAAATTAAAGACTTTATTTAATATATAGCATTATTTCTATTGCTATCCAATAGTGCTTTACAATGACTGAAATATTGGCATAAAGTGCTTGAAAATCCCAACTGGCAGGATGCAGACCAGTTGGTTATTTACACATCACAGCTGAGGAATTGAACTGGGGGCAACTGAGAACAAATACAGTGAATAGCAGGGTGGAGGACTTGAACCCAGGATCATCAGATTACAAGTCTAGTTTATATCATTCATTAGTGTCTTCTGAATTTATGGTTCAGAGCCACCTTAACTTCTTATGAAATGTTTTGATACCATTGCTTGTGAAACAAATGAAAATGTTTGAAAGCAGCAATCAATCAAAGAATTTGGTATCTACAAATAAAAACACCATGTCGAACCACCTCAGGAAAGAGGTATTGGACTTAAACATTCTGATCAGGGTTCCAGTTACCTGTGGAAACATGCTGGGGAAAGTCCAAGTTTGATTTTGCTGTATGATATTCAGCATTGCCGTCAGACAAGGCCTAGGGAAATATAGAAGCACAAAAATATATCATTCAGGGCTAGACACAATTTTTTTCCTACTTTGCTGTTGAATTAAAGAATAAACCCCATATCACCTTTACCATCTAAAAATCAATTCCTAACATTGAATTAAAAGGGGTATTAAGTTTCTAAAGAAACTGTAGTGCTGCATTGGTGGGGGAGTTAATTTTGGTTCTATCAACTGAATTGATAACTATTTACAGTGGCCAATTTACATTACCAACTCAGTTGATACAACCACGATTATCTCATTAAAGTGATTCTTCACATTGTCTACCATACCACCATCTACTGTGAAAAATTTTTTTCTCCAACAATTTTTTATCATCAAATCAAGCAATATCCCCTGGTTGATAATTATATTTCTTCTCACCACCTTTCCATGCAAGAATGTATCAATATTGTTGGGAGAAATTCATTGTTGGTCATCAACCCTGGGAGTGAAAGGGTTAGCTATGCAGCTTGTTCTAAATGAGATAATATATTTTTATCTTTAATTCCTTATGCAAATTTATTTAAGCTAGATCCTTCACGCATCAGTGATCTGTTAATGCTTCAAGTAATGAATGCCTCAGGGCTAAGAGGGAGATTATAGTGCCCGATTGTAATAATGCACCCTTACGAAAGAAAATGCACGTGGAGGTAAAACATAACCCCTTGACCAATTTTTTAATTTATAACGATTTCGTGATTGAAACTCGTTCCGTAAATTTTAGATGCACGCACTCCACGTGCAGTTATACCTATTTGGCATGTAATTTAAGCGATGTTCACACTTTCTTGCGAAATCCTAAAAATATTACAAATAACTAGTGAATTTAAAGCCATCTGGTTTAGTCAAAAATAGAAAACCTTTGCATGTAATCGCATTTTTAAGCAATTAGGTCGACTTTTTTAATACGTGTAGTTTCATTTTTTTTTTAATTTGAAATAATATTTTTTGGAGTTAGGACTTAGAAATTCGATATTTCCGTCTTTAACCAAGTCTAGTCTAGTTAGTGAGATTTATTTTTCGCAGTCTGATCGGAGCACTGAAGCGTTGTGGTAAACATTAGTGTAGCAGCAGAAAAAATCAAGTCAATAATTTTTACAGGGCACGTGGTAAATATTATCCGTCAAAACTTTCCTTTATTGTGAAATTCTAACAAAAGGTTCACTTGATCGTGCACATCTTAACGGAAAGAACATCACTGACGATCGCGGACAACACACGTGAAACACTCGTGCAGGAATTGTCAAGAGGGCCGGATCAGGAAGAAACGATCAAAAAGTTCACTTGCCTTCAAACAGTTTTCATATGTCACATCGTCCGGGTTTAACGCACCAACAGCATCGTAAACCTTCTTCGATTTCTCGATCAGCTCATCAGTTCGTTTCAGGATCTCTTCTGAGGATAAATTCCACTGGAGATTCACCCCTTTAACAGTGATCGCCATAATTTTTATGGTCTCCAAGGTAGACCACAATGCCTCGGTTTCTTGTTGGACGCCGAAGGAAAGCGGTGGACCACGTGATTCCGTACCCAAACATGGCGGCGAAAGAGCGTAGAGATCAAACTATTAACGCGAAATTATGTATCGGAAATTATTTACTTGGAACAACTTTAGGTGTTGGAACGTTTGGGAAAGTGAAACGTAAGTGCTGATAACGATTTTTTCAGTATTTTGTGGCTTTTAAGGTGAAATGGAGGCAGTTCGTGCCGCCATCCACGTTTACAATCATTTGCATTGACCGATTGTCACACGCGGAGGATTTTACAACCGTTTACACGATTTCATAAATGCGTCAAAAACCGCACCATTTGCAGCTAGCCTTGAAGACGGTTATTGAATCATAACTAAGCCAGTTATGAAGAACAGGAAAGTAAAAAATAAAAAATGAAATCGAAGGCTACCGCAGATCTTTTGAACATTTTCCTCTTGTTGATATTGTTTACGATTTGTGTATAAGTAATTTGTATTGGACTGATTTCCAAATCTCTGAATTTAATCATGAGAATTCTTCCCCAATTCTTGTAAACATACCTGTCTAAAATTTCACATATTTATTAGATTAAGATTTGTTATGCTTCCAAATAACATTGAAATATTTTAGGGCAATTTTTGTACCGAGAAGATCCAAAGTTTATGGACTTTGCCCGGGCAATCCACTCATCTGGCTACGACTAAATTCGGAAGTTGTTTTTGTAGACGAATTAATGACTCAGCTAATTCACACTTAATTTTGATATTGCTTATAATCTCTTTAATCCCCATTTGTTGGTTCTGATCAATTCAAAGAAATGTACATGAATGAAACAATAAATTATATTTACGATTAGAATTGGAGATGGTAAATTTTGATCTTTGTAGGGGGATGAATATAGATGCTTTAGAAAAATCTTGAGTTTCTGTGAGGAATAGCTTTTATGTTTTAATTATCTAAACTCTAGACAACTGTTTCTTTCAAATTTCCTCATATTCTCTTGCATAGGTATGTATAATTTACAAAAGATGAAGCTGGTAATTTCTTTGAGAAATGAAATGAGTTTACAAACCATACAAGCTTAAGAGGACTTTTGAAATCTGAATTTTGAACTCTGGCACTCTCTCATTGGCCCACAGATTACACTGTAATGAGATTGGCCATCATCGGATTTCCAATCCCCATTCTGCAGCAGAATTTAATTATTTTAATAGATATTAATTATATGTACTTAAATTTTAGTGGCAGTTCATCAGCTGACAGGCCACAAAGTAGCTGTGAAAATCCTGAACAGACAGAAGATCAAGAATCTTGATGTGGTTGGCAAAATAAGAAGGGAGATTCAAAACTTAAAACTCTTTAGACATCCTCATATCATTAAACTGTAAGTCAATTTTAGTATTGATAAAATAGAGATAGAAGGACAAAGAAAACAATTTTGAAAAACAAAACAAAATACACAACAAGATTTCTTTAAAGGAGAATTCAACAGAAGTGTTTTTCCCTTGGCTTATGGTCTGGTGTACTTGTCTGGTCAGTATCCACTCAAGTCGCTGACAGTTCAACTCACCAATGCCAACTCACCGACATATAAAATCGAGTGGAGACATCGGCAAATAAAGCTAGGCAAACATTGCCAACAACTATAAAAACTTCAGACATGAACAAGTTATTGTGTGACAACAACACTGTAAAGACTCATCATGTCAATTGGTCAGATTTTTGAAGAAAAGTTGGCTTTCTAGACAAGATCTTAAGTAAAAAACAATTCTTTTTTGGTCATTCGGGATGTTCACCTTGCTTTATTCGCCTTGAGATCCTTATCAACTTTGTTGGAAAAAAAAGAATTGATTTTTACTAAAGATCTTGTTTAGAAAGCCAAGTTTTTTTTTAAAAGTCTGACCGATTGATGAGTCTTTACAGTGTATCTAAAGCTTTTTTGGTCATTGGCAATGTTTGCCTTGCTTTAATTGGCTTGAGATCCTTATAAGCTTTGTTGGAAATAAAACGAATTGGTTTTTACTCAAGATCTTGTCTAGAAAGCCAAGTTTTCTGAAAAAAATCTGACTGATTGACATGATGAGTCTTAACAGTGTTGTTGTCACACAATAACTTGTTCACGTCTGAAGCTTTAATAGTCATTGGCAATGTTTACCTTGCTTTGTTCACCGTGAGATCCTTATAAATTTTGTTGGAAGAAAAAAAATTGTTTTTTTGCTAAAGATCTTTTACTTTTCCATATGTTTAACTTCTAATATATTGTATTGGATTGAAGACTAACTCGCTGATGTCTGTACTCAATTTTATATGTCGGCAAGTTGGCATTGACAAGTTGAACCATCAGTGACTTGACCATAATTTGTCTGATCAGCAGACATTCTTATGTGGAATGGCAAAAGTGTGCTATAGCTGGATGTTTGACTCACTAAATAGATTTATTAATAGCACTTTTTCCAGCAGTCTGAGAAGTTTTTTCAGCAGTACGTTTCAAGCATTTTCCCCATGCATTCCATTCTCTAGTTTCCTTTTGTTCATCCTATCTCTGTTGATTGTTGGCCGCTGAATAAGGACTCATGGCTGAAGTGTTCATGAGAGAAATGTTCTTGTTTAAAAATTTTAAAACTAGTTTGATGTCTGCTAATGATAATAATGATTTCAAGACAAAGAAGGAAAAATCTGGCAGTGACTAGTTTCCAAAACCAAAACCAGAAAATTGTTTGAAGCATTTTTTATAATTATAACATAGCCACTAAGGGTTTTTTGTAACTTAACAATATAATTTTTTCTCTAGATATCAAGTTATCAGTACTCCATCTGATATATTTATGGTAATGGAATATGTGTCTGGAGGAGAACTGTTTGACTACATCCTTAAACATGGAAAGGTAGTTTACTGTTTATAGATTTGTTTATACATCTGTCACAAACTGAACTGCACAGCTAAAAATGTTACAGTGTATTTCTGTTTACAGGATCTTGGTCAGGATCTGGAAACCTTACCAGCAACCCCATATCGAAATTACCCAAAGTACCTCTTCCCCTTTCTTTCCTTGAGACTGGCTGTACTTGTTTTAATTACCTCTTTGACCCTAAAAAGTTACTAGCATCCTCTTTCTCCTCATAATTTCACCCCTGAATCAGAAATAAAAGGCATGAGAATATTTGAAAGATCACTGACTAATGAAGCTCTAATTGCTAATTAAATTCTCCCTGTTAGCACCCTAAGAAATGTGTAAAGAGCAATTTGGAGAATATGCGCACCAATGTCTGGGGTGTGAAGGGTTGATTGTTCTGGCATATTATAATGCACAATAGCCTTGACAGTGGGTAAAACCCAGACTTCCATTATTTTCATATCATCTTAGTTCCAGATTTTTGTATAATGCAGACTCATCTTTGATTTTTGTTTGTTTGTTAATTGTAGCTTCAAGAAAAGGAGGCTCGCAGATTTTTCCAACAAATTATCTCAGGAGTGGATTACTGCCATAGACACATGGTAGTCCATAGGTAGAGTAATTTTTTTTATATATAGGTAGTGTGCATGTAGGTTTGAGAATATTGCCATACCTCTTCTAATTTATTATTATTCATCTTTATTACATGTACTTGCTTATAAACCAAGTGCTGTTATTTTTAAAAATCATGCCAGAAACTGAGCTTCAAAAGTTCCTTGATTTGGTGATTGTAAAATACCACTGGAATGCATTTTGCAAAAAGTGGAAAATTTGTCTGCTTTTCTACTAAAAACAAATTTCCTGAACACCCTCTACAAATTCTTGCCTCAACCATCTTAATCAATGAAACTTTTTGAAAAAGTTTTTGAGAATCAAGAATGAAGGAATTGTCTTTTTTCCCAAAGAATTCTTTACATTAGTAATAGTCTTTTTTGTGATATAATCAAGGGACCTTAAACCTGAGAATCTCCTTCTGGATGCCCAAGCAAATGTAAAAATAGCAGACTTTGGATTATCCAACATGATGACGGATGGTGAATTCCTGCGAACAAGTTGTGGATCACCAAATTATGCAGCCCCTGAAGTTATATCTGGAAAGTAAGTTTGCATGCTGCAAGACTTTTTTGTGAAAAAATTAAATCAAAGTAGATCAAATCATATTCTTTTTGCAGTGTGAAATTATTGGGGGAAATTACGTCGCGTTTGTTCTTGGTTAAAAGGGTTGGTAATTTACTCAGGCCTAAAAGGATACCCTCATTTTAAAATCTGGATTTGTGGAAAAGTACTCTGTGGTGGATTTATGCAAAGTTAGTGACTGAAATTTGTTCATTTAAATTTTTAGACTTTATGCAGGTCCAGAGGTAGATATATGGAGTTGTGGGGTGATTCTTTATGCCCTTTTATGTGGAAGTGTAAGTATTAATCATTTATTCCAAGGTTTTTGTTTATGTACATTTTTGATATTACTGTGCACAACTATGATCGTTTTATAGAAGTTACAATTTTTTCTTTGCGTAATATCAAGTCTGATACGTTTTTCAGCTTCCCTTTGATGATGAACACATACCAACCCTATTCAAGAAAATAAAAGGTTTGTTAACTTTAACCCTTTAACTCCCAGATCAAATTTGTAATTCTCCCCACTGTCAACCATGCAATTCTTATAATGTTAGTTCAGAGAATTTAGTATTGGATCAGCTAACTATCCCCAAATTGATATTTTTCTTTATTCTCATCACTTATCTAGTTGATATTGTATAAATATTGTGATGAGAAATTCTGTCTTGGTCATTCATGGGAGTTAAAGGGTTAAAATAAATGTTAGTTGTAGTTTCCAGTTGGCAACAGTCTTCATTTAAATGTACATTTGTTCCTCCTGTATTTTTACTATGGTGTGAAGTGAGACACTCCCAGAGTAAATTTTCTTCTCCAAGGAAATAAAGCAATGACCCAGCCAGAACCCAAATCCAAACTCTTTGCCTTAAAAGTTGGCCTGTAAGCAGACATTGACTTAAAACTGTATTAATACTCTAACCATTTCCTACATGTATTTTCCCTTTGTAGGAGGTGTATTTTATATACCATCACATCTGTCATCAGAGACAAGCAGTCTGGTATCATCAATGTTACGCGTTGATCCCATGAAGAGAGCAACAATGCAGCAAATAAAGTAAGTGTACTGTTAACCTTTAAACTCCCAAGATCTGATTGTTAATTCTCCCCTCTAGATGCAACACATTTCCTTGTAAATTGATTACAAGAATTTGGTGTTCAATCAAGGTGATATCTTGTACCTGATGAGTTTGAGTATTCTCATTACCTGTTTGCTGGATAGTGTATGGATATTATAGGGAGAAGTTACTTGTTAATCACTTCTGGGAGTTAAAGGGTTAAGGGAGTAGGCATGACATAGTGGTGAGAGTGTTTGCCTCCCACCACTTTGGCCCAGGTTCAATTCCCAGACTTGGTGTCACTTGTGGGTTGAGTTTGTTGGTGGTTCTTGACCTTGCTCTGAGGAGTTTTCTCCAGGTCCTCCCATCTTCCTGCTTCCACAAAACAGCATTCTAAATTCCAAGCTGAAATTCCAACCTAAATTTTGAGCTAAAAACAGTGGACAACAGTGCCCACATGAAACATTATTTGCTATGAAAATTTCAATTTTGTGATTCCTACCCATGTGTTTTGTTCATTTTTAGGAATCATGACTGGTTCAAGAAGGATCTACCAGTTTATCTCTTCCCATCATCTTGCTTAGAAAGTGATATGGTAGACCAGGAGTGCTTAGCATTAGTGTGTGAGGTCAGTAACTTTTCATGGAATATTTCCTTTCAGAAAAAATTAAAAAGATTCTTTCAGTAATTTACAACCGGCATAGCAATGCCATTTGATTAGAGGTGTAGGTCACCTTGTGCTCAAACCTTGCTTAAAAACACAACACAGTGAAAAGCTAACCTACATGAATAGAAATAGAACTATAATATTCTCTTATTTATTTGATTGCAGTGATGTGTGCATTGTATTCACTCAAAGGATCTCTTTCTTGCACATAGCATAGTATGTTTTTTTGAAAACTTAACTTGATGGATAGGATTATCTGCTCTTTGAATAACTGGATCCCAATGTACAAATTGATGCTCTATTTAAATCACTTCATGTCAGAGACTTTTGAACTTCACGTTAAATTGAACACTACAGAAGTGAAATGTTGAGTGCTTTGGTTCAGTGACAAAATTTAGGGAAATATTTTCTTGAATTGTTTTTGCAGAAACTAAACTGCAGTGAAAGTGATGTGCGATGGGCAGTAAAAAATGGAGATCCTCATGACCAACTGAAGATTGCTTATCATCTGATACTTGACAACAAGAGAATGAAAATGTTGGGTAAGTGAACACAACAGAAATTCTGATGGTTTGGTCACATTTGAAGGAAGATTTATTCATAAACCTACTGGTGACCTAGGTTTTGTATGTCACTCTTCAGGATGGCTGTATTTTGAGGAACTATTTGATGAACATGAAACAGTTGTTTTAGGAAAAATATCAAGCTTGTGCCATGGCTGTTTGTCATTAAAAGGAAAATTAGGTTGCAACCCTGTGATGGTGGTGCTTTTTGAGAGGTCACTATCACAATTAGATAGCAATCGCGGAATTTTGATACATATAATTGCCATTTTACAAGGATCTCAGCTTTCTGGTAGGTTGGTGCATGTAACTTTTGCCTGGGATAATTAAGGTCAGATTGAGGCACCGACTTGGAATTCTGGAGGGAATCACAGACTCTATGTTTTGAAAAATCTTACGAGGACTCCCTTTATAACTCTGTTGTCATATTTTATACTCCAAACAGTGCAGTTTTATGTCTAGGTAATCATCTGAAGTACATGTTATTTTTAACTCATTGTATGCCTTATTTTTGCATGGTACTTGTCTAATCTTTTTTGGAGATAGTGGAAAGAAGGCTATGACTTGTTATGAAATAACAAAGTCATTGATTGACTTTTGATTGTCTTTGCAGCAGCTCAGGGAGAAAGTAATGTGAAGGACTTCTACTCTTCTGTTTCACCTCCTATCTCCTCCTTTCTTATTAAAGAACCAGCATCACCTGTGGTAAGTTTTGTAGCAATGTTGTGATGTATGTTGCCCAGATCTTCAAAGAGGGAGGGGATCTTATCCCAGGGGACAATTTGCAGAGAGCTTTGTTGACGCATACATAGTTGTAGACCACAACAGGTTAATCCAGGTCAGCTCATGATTGTGTACAACTTTCAAATTACAGACATTTCCACTATTTTGTGTTGTCTTGAATTGATCTACGCCCATGGTAAAAATGAATGAAGAAAAGTTAAATTATCAGTAAATTGGGGTAAAAAGAAATTGTAAAACTCATACATAGTAGAAAAAACTGTGACAAACAAACACAGCAATCACAGTCTCCGAAACGAAACCACTTTTAACACAAAAACCACATGCTATCAAGCCATGTGACCCAATAAATATCACTTTGTTCATTCAGCCACTAGTCAGCCCCAACAGGAGAGAATGGAAAGTCTTGGAAATCTTTCCATGTTTGTGTTTTATTTCTTGTCAAATCTACAGTCTGGAACAATCCTTTTGGTAAAATTCATAGCAGTCTCTGCTTAGATTTTAGAATTCACAAATTGAGTTATGATATGTTCAGTCCCCTTGCAAGTTAAGAAATTAATAGAGGGCAAACTTCTGAGGCATAAAATTGTTCTCTGAACATCACACGGGCTGTAGGAGGGGCAGTCATGAGTTATAAAATTTTCCAATCCTTGTGCACTAGAAGGCTCAGCTCTTACATGTTCCCTTTTTCAGCAAAAGGCCGTGTCTTCAAATGAAAGTTTTCCAAATACAGCCATGACTAAAGCAAGATCCAGTAAGTCTAGACTTTTTTGTGGCTCTTACATTGCATTCAATTAGAAAGAACTCTAATGGCTTACAAGCTTTTGCTGTTGTTTTCTGTAATATTTTGTATTGTTTTCTATAAACTGTTTTTCTTACTGAAGAGAACCTTACATGTCTCTTCATCACTAACTGCTTCTGATAATAAACAAGGAGTCAAGAAATCTTTTTGATCCCAAATTTCGTTAACAGTGGTCTGCATTGATTGCAGGTCTTTAAGCTGATTGCAGAATACTGTTATCTTGAATCAGTGCCAGAGTGACTGTATTTCTGTAACTGTTCATCTTTTCCATTTACTTGTACATGTATAATTATTTTGGAACAATCTTAAGCTTACTACTTTCCTACTTTCTTTTCAGATTCTAACCCAACAACACCCTCCAAAAAAATCCCATACCTGAGGCTAGCACTTGGAAAGCGACCTAAATGGCATTTGGGTAGGTTTATACTTGAAGGATGAGCACCCTGGTACACCTGTGGTTCCTTGTTGACACAGGGACCTAATAAATCTTCTCTCTGTCTAAATTGCAACTTTAAATGCTACCAGAGATATGTTTACAGGGTCATTTACAGGACTGTACTTAAAACTGATCAATCAAATACGGACCTAAAAATTTATCTTCGTGACGGCTATAAGGATGCTTTGAACACTTGGACTGTGCAGTTTATCACGACACTCGTAGGCAAGCCTTGTTCTCCGTCTCTGAGCACATTATCCCTTTAGATTATTCTCTTATAAAGTCCTGCTTTTGTAGCTTGTCTCGAGGAAAAGCCAACTATACAATCATGTAATTGCGATTTTCCAACTGTGATTTCGTTGAGAGTTAGAAAAACGATTTTGCAGTCCACTGAACATATGGAAAGGTTTAGGAATACCACGCAACTCTCTAATTTTGTTTAAAAATGCTTTGAAGGAGAGGAATTAGGCATTTAAATAACTGTTTTTTCTTCCACGTGCAGGCATTCGATCACAGAGCAAGCCAAATGATATTATGGGTGAAGTTTACCGCGCAATGATGTCTTTAGGTTATGTAAGTATTATATTCACTCCGCAGGTGTTGCCAATCAGTTCACAAAAATATGTTGAACTTCCTCGATTTTGCAAGTAGAAATAATTTGTCTTCAAGGTGAAGGGAAACTGACATCTGTCGAGAGGAATTCTATGACACATTGCCTTTGCTTAAAATTCGTCCTTGAAGGAATAAGATTCCTTACTGAGCAGTACTTACGATTCATTGCTTTTCGGAGTGATAAATGCTTTTTATTTTGAATAAAAAATTTAGGCGCCTCTTTGCACAGCGAAGGCTTGTGTGGTATGAATTGCAATGCTTCCCTGCCTTAGGAAAAGTGCACAGAGGCTTATTGAAATGTCTCTGTTGAGAAGATAAACTGAATTTTTGTTGTTGTTTTTTTCTATTTCATGGATAACGTCTTATCTCTGTTGCGGTCTTCTTAGGAATGGAAAATCATAAACCCCTTTAATTTGAGAGTGCTTAGAAGAAACAGGATAACTGGAAAATTTGTAAGTAACTACAATTTCACTTGAACTTCTTAGAGTTAGTTTTGCTGTGACTCGTTTGATTTCTTTGATATCAACATTTTTGTTTTTCCTTTGGAAAAAAATTACCAAATCATTTTAGCATACAGGATATAAACCACTTTAGAGTTTGATATCCATTTTCTCTTAATCTAGACCAAGATCGCCGTTCAGTTGTATCAGGTCGATCATAAAAGTTACCTCCTGGACTTCAAAAGCCTTCCCACCCCGGAAATCCCTCCAGAACACACGGAAGGAACTCTATCGGGAAAGTCATCCAGAAAATCGTCTGCAAACTCGTCGTTCAACAGTCTGAAAGACTCTGATAGTTTCACGAGCCCAACTGGCTCACATCACACGATGGAATTCATGGAAATGTGTGCAAGTCTCATCATCGCTTTGGCCTGCTAACGAAGTTACAAATTGTTGAAAGGTGGAGCATTGTGGGTAAAGTGATGAGGTGATCGCAAAGTTTCGGAACTTCGATCGAAGAGGCAGACTTTCTTGAATTCGGAGGCTTCATTTCTCGTCTCCGGCTCGACTTCCAAGTGCGTAGGACTTTGTATTTGTCGCATGGGCCAGCCGAGTCCAGTACAGTTCTGACGGGTTTGTCTTCCCGTGCGAAAAGTGGAATGTTAACCAATCAAAAGCGGCAGATCTGACCAACCTCGTGATCAGATCTGACACTTTCGTGCTTAGTCTTGACGTGAAAAGAAGTTACCGTGCAAATGAAAATCGCTCTAAATGCATACAGGTTTTCATTGACACAAGATTAATTTGGAAAGAGACATTAAGAAATATTAGTTCTCGGTTGGAATATTTATAAGGACCTTTACCTTGTTGAGACATATGAACTGTATTGATAAATGTTCAGTATTGGGTATTTTTTTAAAAAATAGATAAAAAAAGAAAAAGAGGGACACTATTGGCGGTGTACTGGCTACTACCAAGACAAATAACAGAATGCTACTTACTTGCTTGAAAACTTCTACATGGATCAAACATCATTGTTTATCCATTCTGAAAGTGAAGACTTTGGTTTGAATTCTCTTTGGGAAGGTGCATTGTGCACCTTTGGTATAAATGTTTTTTTGCTTGTTCAAAATGATTGGACATAAGGCAATGAAAATAAAATTCATTGGCCTTGGGGCACTAACCTATCAGAAGCTTTGGTAGAGTAGTGAGATGGTCGAAGTAAATCTTCAAATTACATTGATATTTCTGAATTCCACATCATGTCATCGTCGTTATTTGTAGCATTTATTTCCAGCAGTGAAAATATCATTATTTTCAGTTTCTTTTTTAAAAAAGAAAAAAAAAATTGTTAACAGGAGTTTTGGGAAAAAAATGAAGGAAAAAAGTAAGGAAATATGACTTTTATTTTCGTTGTGAACATTTTTTGCTCTTATTGTATATACATATAGTTGTTATCAATTCATAACCATGCGAGATTTAATGTATGAGAGATTCCAACTTACTGACCAAAATTTAAAAAAAAAAAAGTTTCATTAACTAGTTGAGATGTCCTTGCAGTAAGTGGACTGATGATGTGGGATAATATTTACTTTGTAACCGAGGAAACAGTGACAGGCGAACATATACGGGAAATCCTATTAACTGGTTGACTAAGTTTACGAGTCAAAAACTAGCTGTCGGAGCAAGTTGCAATTGAGTGTCATTTAATTTTCGTTGCCCCTTGATTGATGCAGAAAACCATTGGTACTTTCTCAGCCAATGAAGCTCGCGCTTTCTTGGGCTTAAACAAGTTTGCACGGGTTTACTTTGGGTTCTCAGTGTCTCCATGTGGTGTATTTTTTTCGGTGTCGTAATTGGCATTTTGTTTACTTTGGTTTTAATTTATCGACACTCAATTGAAATTCGCTCATATATGGCTTCTTATAATTGAGACAAAAAACTGGGTCATTTCATTTTGTAAACACGTTTCGGTGATTACTGAGTATTGGTAATCAAATTTGCAAGTGGCGTTGTCGTAAATTATTTCGTAATTTGTCCTACTTAGTAAGGGCTGGTCCAAGCTTACTGAGTTAAAGGAGGTAGAGAAATATTATAAAGCGTTTTAATGTTATTTAAGATATGTAAGTTTTGAATCGTCTCGATACCTTGGGCCGAGGCGAGTTGATTTGTTTCGCGAGGTGAATTACCCGGAAATATTATTTGAAGAAAGAGACGGGTTTGAATAAAACTGTAATAGATAATTTGTATCTAGCGGGCTATTCATTTGCTGAAGTGTTGATGCCATCGTTGTTACAAAGGATGACTGGATGTAATAACGGATTCTGAGAGGGGATTTGGGGGGGCTAGGAAGGAGCGAGAATGGTAAAGCATTTCGAAGACTGGAACAGATTCAAACCAATAGAATTGAAAATTTCAGGCAAATTTGTTCAAGGTCGTTACTTAGCTCTCGTAAATTAATTTCAGCTCTTGAACTTAATTCGTGTCATTCATTCCTGCGCTGAATATAAAAATCTATGAAGGACTGGGAATTTTTTTTTTACATCTTAATGTCGAAACCTTGCATGATCAACTGAAACAATATATAACTTACCCCTATCCCGAGAAGAACTTATTGGCTGTGCCACCCGCGTCGAAATTTCCCGCCAAAATTCTCAAGGACTGAGCTATCAGTCGCTTGAGAGTCGCATCTTTTTCCGACCTCTTTGCAGTATTGCACACATTTAAATTGAGGCTTGTGTATTAGCGGAAAAAGAGTCAAGAATTCAAGGCTTATCGATATATTACTGAAGCTTCTTTCATGGTTGTTTTCATCTCCGTTTTCGCTAACACTGCCAGGTAAGAATCCAAATTTCGGCTGTCGAAAACCGTATTTAAAGTCTTACAGGTTTTTTCACACGCTTTGTGAGAGAGTATGTTTGCTTAGTTGTTCAAAGCTTTGTAAATCTATTCTTCATTGTCTTAGGAGTCTTACAATACTTCTCCTTTTCCCCTTTATTTTTCAACCGAAGATGTCTTTTATGGTGTAACTAATTAAAGCTGCAGTCGGAGAAGAAGTATGGCCGCCAGCGGGAACTCTATCAGAACAGCCGTTGATTTAGACAACTTAATTAAAGAATATACGTATTTTGAAAAGGTAAGTGATATATAACATGATAATTCCTTTTGAAGATATACAGCATTGTTAGAAGAAACAAGTTTCATCTTAAATTCATCACCATGCAATGGGATGATACTCATTTTGTTGTGAATGAGAAATAGAGCTCGAGAGAAGCGTGGTGGGGAGGGGGGTGGAGGGGCAAGTGAATGCACGTGCACCTAAGGACCACCTCCTCCTAGCTGCGTCTCAGTTTGGCAAGAAACTCGTCTCTTATGTTTTTTTTTGTAGGTAATGAGACACACTGCACAGGAAAACAGCCGCCTAGAGAAGGAGATACTATTCCTTAATAAGCAGCTTCAGTCCAGCCAGGAGGCTGAAAAGTTGTCCATAGAAGGTTGGTGTTTACGGAAGCCTTCTTGTGTGATTGATCTCCTTGCTTATTTCTAACAAACTGTAAAAAGAGTGGGCGACTGCGGATTGAGAATTTGCTAGGTGTTAGTCTGGAGGACCGAAGACCAGCTTACTTTGGGCACGCGAAAGATTAGTCTGACATGGCTTTTTCAGAGCCTGTTATGGAAAATGTTTTAAGAATAAAGTCACGTCACGTTTCGTGCATGGAAAGATATGTAACGAAATTGTTTCCATCCTGAAACTTCCTTGTGACCAATCGGTTTCTCTTTGCGTTTTCATATTCGTTTTCCTAGGCAAGTGATTGTTTTAGGGCTTTTATTCAGCTGACTACAAATACTTTGATCGTGGTTCCTCTGACAGACTTGGTTCTTACTCAGCGGGTTGACCCACATCTTATATTTCAATACTTGTCTATCAGCCCTTCATAATCTGAACAGAAAATTGTGTACCAGATACTCACGAGAACCGGCTCTTACTCTTCTCGTTGTTTTATATTACAGAAGCTGGAAAGTTCAAGGCCATGGTAGACAATCTTCAGAGGATCCTTTTACAAAGATGTGACAAAGAAGGTAACTATTAGCATCCTCAAGGTTTCAAAAAGATGATCCCTTTTAGCGTTGGCTTTTTACCGATTAGTTTTGGGTTCTTTGTAGGGTTTTTTTAAAATCTTTTTTTGTGTTGTTTCCGCTTTGTGTGTGCATTTTTGCTCTTGAAGTGTTTGAGTAGCTTAAAGCTTTTGCTAACACAAGGCTTTAGCTAATACCCCAGAACAGAAATTAAAATAGCGGTAAATTTAAACCTCGAAGCCTTGGTTGTCACTATTCCACTAGTTTTCTGGTAACTGGTAGGTAGTTCAAGCTCAAGAAAAGAATTCTCACCAGGGATGCGTAAAATGATCCATAGGCTTGTCAAAGTAAAGCGAGAGGGCTCAATTAGCAAGTGAAAGCGAGGTGTTTGGCTTCGAGCGTGAAATTAATTGAAGTTAACAATTAAAATGTAAACAGGCGCGAGGATCCGCGCGGCTTGCGCGTTAGGAGTGCTACGTAAATTTAGGACTCTTTTGCACAATTTTCTCTTTGGAGATAACTACGCATTCATGGCGTGAATGGCAATTTTCATAATTGTAGAATGATTCAGCGACAAGAACGGCTTAGCTAAGCCGTAGTGTGTCATGGCATTTGAGGATAGCCTGGTTGTAGTGCGTGACATGACTATCAAGTAACAGTTATTGTACCCAGCATGTTTTGTTCGTGATCTACAGATTTATTGGTTTGTGACGCAAAGAGCGATTATCTGTTCTGTCACGACAATACCAAAATTAAATTGTGTTAGCCAACTTATATTTCACTCTGATCAGACCTTTGACCCTAAGTCAACATGGAAGCCGGTGAGCCGCTCGGTAAGGACCTTGTTTTCAAGAGAGATTTCGACTGCAGTATGTTCTGGAGATACAAGAGTATCATTTAACACTTGAAACGATTGGGTAGATATTTTGATAATACTTTTCTGGCGTCCATACTGAGGAGCTCTTTCAGTATAAAATATCATTTTAGTAAGTCCCAATCATCAGGTAAGCGCGGGAACTTATCCCGCGAAAATTCTGTGCGAAGGTACGAGTATATTCGGCGGTATCTGCGAAAAGGGGCCATCGTTCTTTCCTTAAGGTAAGGTCTTAACTGTGTAAAACTTCGCGAGGAAGAAATTCTACTCGCTGGCCTGTCCAATTTGGCTTTTAGATAAGGTTGTATGCCTGATAATTTCTGTCTAGAGCTATATGATGACGCGCGATAAATCTCGCTGCTTAATAACCTTTGAGCGGAAAATGATGATGCCCAAACCATTTAATCAGCAAAGCAAGGTTTACCTTTACTTCTGTGCTTTCGAAGCAAGAGAAGGAATTATTTCTGTGATAGTTAGGTGACAGATGCTTAAAATCACATGGTGTATTATCAAACTGTTGAAACCTAACATGAGCAAGATGAACTAATTATGGAATGAACCCTGACATCACAGCTCAAATATTCCTTCCCTATAAGATGACGCGCTCTTGGCAGGTTAGTGTGTTTTCTTACTAATCGTACTGTACTATTTCGCAGTTTCGAAAGCAGAATCCTGAAGATACTCTCGTTCTTTTGTTATTTCTTACCCACTCTCTCGTGTAATCAGACTTATCTCCGTGAGGGAAGAACCTTCATTTTTTAATTTTTTTCCCGGTTTTGTCAATCGTATGTGAGCTGTTGTTATCTGAAGGCAGAACCTTTCCTTTTTTTTTTCACCTGGTTCTGTCTCTCTTGGGTAGTCAGTCCTGTTTGGGCTGTTGTTATCTGAAGGCAGAACCTTTCCCTTTTTTTCACCTGGTTCTGTCTCTCTTGGGTAGTCAGTCCTGTTTGGGCTGTTGTTATCTGAAGGCAGAACCTTTCCTTTTTTTCACCTGGTTCTGTCTCTCTTGGGTAGTCAGTCCTGTTTGGGCTGTTGTTATCTGAAGGCAGAACCTTTCCCTTTTTTTCACCTGGTTCTGTCTCTCTTGGGTAGTCAGTCCTGTTTGGGCTGTTGTTATCTGAAGGCAGAACCTTTCCTTTTTTTCACCTGGTTCTGTCTCTCTTGGGTAGTCAGTCCTATTTGGGCTGTTGTTATCTGAAGGCAGAACCTTTCCTTTTTTTCACCTGGCTCTGTCTCTCTTGGGTAGTCAGTCCTATTTGGGCTGTTGTTATCTGAAGGCAGAACCTTTCCTTTTTTTTTCACCTGGTTCTGTCCCTCTTGGGTAGTCAGTCCTGTTTGGGCTGTTGTTATCTGAAGGCAGAACCTTTCCCTTTTTTTTTCACCTGGTTCTGTCTCTCTTGGGTAGTCAGTCCTATTTGGGCTGTTGTTATCTGAAGGCAGAACCTTTCCCTTTTTTTCACCTGGTCTCTCTTGGGTAGTCAATCCTGTTTGGGCTGTTGTTATCTGAAGGCAGAACCTTTCCCTTTTTTTCAACTGGCTCTGTCTCTCTTGGGTAGTCAGTCCTATTTGGGCTGTTGTTATCTGAAGGCAGAACCTTTCCCTTTTTTTCACCTGGTTCTGTCCTTCTTGGGTAGTCAGTCCTGTTTGGGCTGTTGTTATCTGAAGGCAGAACCCCTTTCCCTTTTTTTCAACTGGCTCTGTCTCTCTTGGGTAGTCAGTCCTATTTGGGCTGTTGTTATCTGAAAGCAGAACCTTTCCCTTTTTTTCACCTGGTTCTGTCTCTCTTGGGTAGTCAGTCCTATTTGGGCTGTTGTTATCTGAAGGCAGAACCTTTCCTTTTTTTTCACCTGGTTCTGTCTCTCTTGGGTAGTCAGTCCTATTTGGGCTGTTGTTATCTGAAGGCAAAATCTTTCTTTTTTTTTATTTGGTTCTGTATCTCTCTTATGACAAACTAATTTTGAATTGCGACATATTTAAAATTACTTGGTTTGGAATTTTTTCCTTTGCAGATTTAATTGAACGTTAACCGCGAAAAGCCGTGATGAAAAAGCAATGTTTGTTTTAATAGAAAAAGATAGTTTTCCTGTTTAGATGACCAACCAACCTTAACTTAATTACACATCATAAGTGCACGTTCCGTTGACTGGTAATTTTTACGTCGATGTTGTGTTTGCCTTGGTGGTGTCTGTCCTCAAATCCCGTGATTTTTCAATTAAAAATAAATAACGAATTTAGGAATAAAATTACCAACGAGTAAAATACCTCTTCTCGTAACGTATTAAATTGCATTTACATTTCCAACTCTTGCTTCAGACACGAGATGTAAAATCGGTCATAGATTGTAAAAGAGATTTGTGAGTAAAGAACTTTTTCTACTTGTCTTTGTTTATTTTCTCGCAGCCTTATACATGAGGTTCGCTGTGTTCGCAGTGGCGCGCCAGGAAACCCCAGCAGGAAAAATTTTTTTAAAGATTTTACTCCTTTAATGATCTCTTTAAAGTATATTACTTCCTTAGCATTTAGCCAATTATATGGTGCCGGCGGAGGGTACAAAAAAAACTCCATTATATATTTCTTTACAGGCCAATATTATCGGAAAAAACCCAAACAAACAAACAAAATGAGTTCTGTTGCGCTGTGTGATCCATGAGTGTTCTCATCGCGGTTAGGGCTTGCTGTTGTTTGCGGTATTATTTTCCGGAGTGGACATACCATTACTACATTTTTGTTAGCGTTTAAAAATCGGAAACACATGGTTTTGGTAAAAAAACTTCATCTTTTTCAACTCTTAACGACTGTCGAGTTGTGTGTATCAATAGAGTGGGTCAGCAAATTTGCATTCTATGTTGCGCAAGGGGCAAGAGAAAATGGTTGACTCCCCGCGAGTGAAGCTGACGCTCTAGGTCGATGTCGATCCATTATTATCCTTTGTAAACAAAATTTCGATCATGGAGTTAAATTATAAAATTACTTTGGCTTACATTGTGCGCTTTAAAGTAAACTTGAGTTGTTAGATCCACGCGAGGGTTTAACCTTGAAAAATGCAATCACGCGAGTGGAGCTGACATTAACGCGTGTCCCTATCTGGAAAACATTCGTATTGTGACAAGAAGGGTCTGCTTTAAGGTTTTGGGTTACTCTCGCCATGCAATTTGGACGCCGAAAAGTGCCAAAAAAGTAATTACTGAAAATTCATCCGCAACACCTCGGTCGTTCTGTGGGCGCGAAGTCAGTTCTTCTCTTACAGTTAATAATTGCCAGGCGGATCTCAGATCCGCCTCAGCCTCATTTGCATAAATTCTTTTGGTGAGCAAAGCGAACCGTCCGTTGATCAGAAGGTCTTAGAACAAAATGGTCTAGTGATCTTTTATGACTCCTCAGGAACACAAAACTGAACTTTCTGAAGCACTTAAGAATCATAAGCAAGAGATTCAGAGGGTTAGACAAGAGGAACTTCAACAAAGTAAGCCAAGGAGCTCATATTTTTAGTCTCGTGATCTGAAAGGCTAGGAACCTTTTAGGCTCGATAAATATTTTGACGCAACAGCTTGACAAGAGGCGTTTCAGTTTGTTTTTCATTTAGATTTTACGGAATAAAGGAGACAACAATTTGAGGAATTGCATTTTTGGAGTGAACAGTATAAAAAGATTTACAGAGTTGCATGGTTTGATTTTATTTATGTTTAGGTTTATGAACTCAGTTCTGGTTTTGTGTTGAAGTTGATGCTCAATTTGTTTCTAATCACTTTCGTTACGTTAAGTACGGGAAAATACGAGATAAGAGCGAGTTTTGGTTGCTGTAGTATTGAAGAAATGGTTTTATCAAGAAGAACATGAGAAGCAAGCAAAGCCACTGGTCTTCACCCTTTCTACTCATGACTGTTTGCTTGAAAAGCTCTCTTACTCAGTGCTACATTTGACCTGACCAAATTTGAATACGTTCCTTGACATCAGATAGGAAGGTAATCACAACACTGGAGAAGTCCCTACAAGGAAAGGAAAGTCAAATACAGCAACTCGAGAAGCAGCTGGCTGATATGAGTCACTTGCACCAAACAGAAATAGTCAAGCTTCGCTTAGAGGTGGGACGGTCAAACATATGTGCAAAAAGGGGGGTGCTGAAAGGAGGTTTTCACTGGATAATTCTTTTTTCGCTTTTTCTTGACAAAGAAGGAGTAACTTCCATCTTGCGAGCGCACTTCCGTTGCAATGCCACCGATGAAAGGCAGTTACTTTCTCTGTATTATTCATGTACAATGTCATTTTTATAAATATTTTAGGCCTATAGCTGTGTCAAGAAGCTTGTTCCATTCAGTATTCTGTATTTACCTTGGCAGTTTGACGAAAAAATATTAAAACTGCAACGTGAAAGAAATAATGCCAAAGCTCAGGCTGGCCAATCGTTTAACGCCAACACCGACATTTTCCGAAAGGTTAGTGACAGGTAGAAACCACAGAATGCTTTTATTTATCAAAAATTGGATAAAAGGTCAGAATATTTAGAACATATGAATGATGAAGATAATTCGACTCTCAGGGGGACCCAGACTAATTCCTTCTGCCTACGCTGATGATGAAACAAATAAAATGGTTCTTTTTTTTTCTACGACTTAGAGAAAAATTAACAGACTTTCCTATCTATATTTGAGATCGTATCTTCTTTTCGATGGTTTGTGAAAAGGACCACGTTTGAATAATTTGACGTATTCTTATAAATAAATAATTTTCATGATCTCAAAATTTTGTGTTTCATTCTTTATTATTTTTCAGGCGCTTAGAGTAATTAGAAACTTATAAAGTCTTTTTCAAGTTAATGAAACATTTGAGCATCCGAGATAGTACTTTATAAGTAGCCTCTTGAAGATAGCTGATACGCGTACATATGCGGTAGTGTGACTACATATGCATGTCCAAGGCGAATAACAAGTAGAGAAATTGTGGTTTGCTTAGGCTCTGTTTCGAGCTTTGTAGAGCGATAAGGCGTCTGACTGAGGAGAAATTTTGCGAGGGGAATACAGGAACTAGGCAATCATCTCCCTGTTCCCTCGCTTGTAAACCTTGAACTTGAGTCTATTCACCGTCAGTAACTATATTAAGCGAATGTTCCTTTCTTTGTTTTAGAAACTTCAGTTTGCCAAAGCCGAGGCACAAAAAGAAATAAACTCCTTGAAAAGTCAAGTCGCCGAGCTGGAAAGAAAGTTAACGATGCGCCAGATGCCAGCCTCTAAAAGAAAATTGTTCTGACATATGGAGCATACGCCGGTGATATCTGCAACCGTTCCGATCATCGACTAGGTTATTTTGATAACTGTTTCGATTTGATGTTTGATTGTTCGAAATTCCAATCCCTTACGTGAGTTTAACATGCTATCGACAATTTCTCTGTTATGCTGATAGTTCGTGAGTTGCATTATTTTTCGTTATAGTTTAACAGAGCTTGTTTCGTTACATTCTATGTTATAATCGTTATGAACAGCTCTATTAGTTGGTATCAGTGTGGTTCGATTGGGTGTGCTTGTGGGTGTAGAAAATGATACGTTGTGTTCACAGAATGGAACTCTGTTATGATTTGGTACCTTGTATAAACAAGGGTTTATGCCTTTGTCGTTTCTTTAAAAGCTGGGTGAAAGTCTTGAGACTTGGCTCGGATTTATCCTCTTGGATTATTTTAAACTCCACAAATACTTCGAAAGATCATCATTACTTTGTACACCACTACTAACCAAAATTATGTTACTTTGATTCATGAATCAAATATTTCAGCGGTAATGATGCTTGCAGCACAAGGCACTCGAGACGATGGAGATTCTAGAGTCAGCAATTCAACATTACCTAAAAAAAAATCATTCTAAAATGAAGAGTCTTGTTGATCATTTTCCCTCGAAATTTAACAGCAGATAAAGTTTTTTGTTTTTTAGCAAAATTTAACAAAATACGAAATAAATGTAATCCATGAAGTGGAAAAAAAATAAAAATCAGTAGGTTTCCAATTGTAAGGAACTGTTTTTATTTAGTCTTGAGTGAGTTTGAACTGCTCCAATAATTCAAGTTCCAGTTACTCTTTTCCAATTGTTTTTACAACCTACTTCCACCACGTCATCAGCAGCTTGCGCTCCGCTTTTTGATATTTCCTGTGTTGAGGCTGAACTACTTCATCAGTAAGCTCTTGCTTGTGTGCCTGCCTTTGCTTCTCATTTAGCAAAACCTTGAACTGCGGCTTTCGCACCAGAATTCAACCCTACCTTTTCAGGAAAAGTTATCGCTTGCCTGCCACGAGGGGATCCCCACGGAGGAAAAAGTGTCATGTCAGCATTGGCTTCGGGTCGTTATTTCAATTTTTTTTCCTTCCGTCTAGCTCCTCGCTCCACAAGGAGACGTCCATGTTATTTCAAACTTTTAAGTTTGATTAATGAATAATGACATGCAGGTGAGTGTCCATCTGATACAAGAGAAGGAAGAAAAAAAATTGAAATAATGACCCGAAGCCAATGCTGACATTACGAGGGTAGTAAGTGGTCTGGTCTAAATCAATTCAAGTTGTGGACTGATCATAAGCCTCAGTCACTAATGGGACTCTTAGGTAAGTTTTTCTAAAATCCCAGGAAAAATTGCAGGAGAACCGTAGTATTGCACTACGAAAGAACAAAGAAAACATTTGAGACAAGCTGATTAATAAATTCAGGTGAGTATCCATGTAGGGGCCAGCTACGCTTGGCAAAATAAATACGACACAACAACGTCTATGCGTCCAGATTCCTTGTATTCTCGTACAGGATAATAACATGGAATGACAAATGAGGATCTGTCAGGCGGCGATTCGAAGTTATTGCTACTTACACAGCCTAAAATCCTTCGCTAGGTCTGCCTCGGTAAAAACGGCAAAAAAAGCTGCAAATAACGGTCAAGCAACGCACATGGCGTGAGAAACTGCACTAGGTACATTGTCAGCGGCGCTATAAGCTGTATGTAAATGTAATGAATCATACAGTACATCTGAAACAAGAGATAGTACAAGAGATGCGATTGGTTCCCTTGCGAAAGGGTCACGTGTATATTATGATTCAGTGACAAACTAATCTGAGAATTTCTTCCAGCGAAACTGAGGTGGGAAGGTCACAATTCATCTAGAGGTTTGTCAAATGTTTTTTTTCCCTTTCTGCAGTAAGATTTCAAGTTTAATCTATTCGTTACGTTACTCGCTGTAACCGGCTTGCAAAAACAGTGGTTAATGGGCTAAGGATAAGGACTTTCCATATCGAGTTTTTTCTGCGTAAGTCATGATTCTGTAAGGATCAAGCGACCATCTTGTGCTTTTTGGCTACAGAAAAAGACAAGTTGCCGAGTCTTGTCGAAAGTGAAGATGTAGCGAATGTAATTCAAATTTTTTGGCGAAATTGAATCACATTATTCAAGATGTTTTCGCGGCAACATAGCGCCACAGCGAACTTGTGAATGAAAAATTTATCATTAATGGGAAAAAGAAAAAACCAGCGAAAATGAAAAGACCTACGGTTTAAAAAATGCGCATTTTCGTTCTTAAAAGCAAGTAGTAGAACGCAGTTTCAATTAAAATGGACAAATAGGTCACCTTTCACGTCTTGTCACCAGTTAAACAAATAACAAGAATTCCAAGAAATACCGGAACCACATGTCTCTGTTAAGCTGCAGTTCTTGGAAATCGTCTACTACATTTGTTATTTTGTGTTACAGCCTTAAAAATAATTTTCTAATTTCTTACTTCGTCGCCCAAGCGAGCATTTTGTTTCCTTATCACTGTAGAAATTACAGTACGACATAGCAGGGCAACATTTAACTCAGCTAAGCTGGTAAACGTACATCAAATCCTCCGCTAATTAACAAATAGAGAAGCCTTGACTGTGCTCTGTTCTTTTATAAAGCACGCAGGAAGTGGCTAGAGCACGAAAGAAGTGTAGGGAGAAACACGAGACCACTTATATCTGTGCAACTTTATTTCTAAACGACGAAATGAAAATTTTGCAAAATTACCTCGGTAATAAACGAAGCATATCGAGCTTCTGGTGTCAGTGTGGCGCATCTGTAATCCTATGAACTGCACATGGATTTTGTGATCTATATGGGTGCGAATGATGCTTCGAAATTCATCATAACATAACACATGTGTCAGTACAGTTGATGTGACATTTACTCAGTTTGTTTTTCTTACAATATCACTCCGTCGATAACGTTTATGCTACCACCCATGAATGCTTATTATATAATTATAAAATATTCTTACAGATTCTCAACTTTTTTTGAAATATTTTTTTTGACTTGCGAAATTCTCGCTTTTTTATCATGCGTGATTTCGGCAAGAGAACAGACAATATAAACGCACCGATGTTGTTTGCCACATTATGATAATTGCTTTTTCATTCATTACTTGTGCGTTGCTCTTTTGGTTTCTGGAGTGGCTTAACTTTATAACCTGAACAAGATTTGAACGGTACAATTTGACTAACCGTAGTACTTGGCCGTGACCATTCGTTTTGCAGCGTTATTCAATTTTCAAAGAATTAGTCGTTTTTTCGAATTTTGCTGTAACAAGAACATTTGATTTGAACAATAGCAAATTTTTTCGTGCGAGAAACGTCACCCCTCAATGATCTTATGGTCGCGTCAAAGAAGACATTTTCTTCCTATAAAGAGATCAGCCAGGTACCTCTTCAAGCCGGCGGCGACTTTTTTGTCGAAGAAGCCGAGTTGAGCTGAACCAAATGCTAAATTTTTCTGGCTCCCTGAGTCTCTTTCTTAATTACAAAGTACGGTCAATCGAAATTGTAAACATGTCTAATCTTGGTTGATTTTACTAATGTTGTGAATCACACCACATGTTTGGGATGAGTCATTGACAATAGGCTTACATGGGCAATGCATGTAGACCATGTGAAGAAATCTTTTTCACAGAAAGTGGGTGCATTAAAAAGAATGAAGAAGCTTCCTGTCAAAGTGCTGGAGGAAATTTATTTCAAATCCATTGTATCAGCTGTAACTTATGGTATTGTGGTGTGGGGAAACTGCAGTTACTATATTATGGACTCTTTAAACCCTGTTCAAGCGAGAGCCACACGAGTTATCCACCAGGATCAAAATCTTGAAAAGCTAAATTGGTTGCCAATTTCTTATATATATATTAAAGAAGACTCCTTCTCCTGATGCATGATATTTTAAATAAAGTCCTGTATCCCCCTTTTGATTTGAAGTTAGGCATATTACATATTTTAAAGTAAGTTAATTCTGAGGTCTTTTGTGATAACGCCTCTGTATTAATTCAAAGGAATCCTTCATTGAATTCTCAAAGGAGACTTAAGAATTTTTTCTTTAATTAAATGAGCTCTCTCCTCTTTTCTGACTCGCGCTTATTTTTATGTTCAAAGAGCCGTTGAAGTTAAACTCTTATTGAAAAGTAAGCGCGAGTCAGGAAAGAGATGAGAGCTCGACAATCGACATTTAATGCTCGTCATAATACTACTTAATACTATAAACATTCAAGCTAACCGCCGTGTGCAAACTGTGCTGTTCGACATTGTGCTAAACCATTTCACACAACGCTTCACCGTATGTGTGTACATTGTACCATTTGACATTACGCTGAGCCATTTGACCCAACGCTACACTGTTTGTGTACTGTATTGCAAATGAGTAAATTCGCAGTTGAGCTAGTCCATTTCACAATTTCATGTTCCAACTCGACATAGGCAACTAGACCGTGTATCATTTGCCTAAACTATTCATGTTTAGGGTGTTCTGATTCATGAAGGAAAACTTAACCGTCTACAGTTTGGCCATGCCAGTTCCTATATTAGCTATGCTATCCTGCTGCTGATCCCTAGACCAGCTTTGTATTTGCTGATCTATTTGACGTCCTTGTATTTTCGGTGGTGACGGCCGCCCATAGTATCCATCTGATACAAGAGACAGTACAAGAGATACGATTGGCTACCTTGTGAAAGGGTCACATGATCATATACAGATCGGACTGATCTGTGAATTTCTTCAAATACTTGACAGTAATACCCAGCGAAACTGAGGTGGGAAGGTCACAATTCGTTTAGAGGTTTGTCAAATGTTTTCTTTTTCCCTTATTGCAGTAAGATTTTAAATTTAACCTATTTGTTACGTTACTCGCTGTAACGGGCTGATAAAAACAGTGGTCAATAGACTAAAGACGAGGACTTTCCATATCGTGTTTTGTTTGCGTAAGTCATGATTCTGTAAGAGTGGGATCATGCGACCATCTTGTCGTGCTTTTTGATCAGTTAAAGTCAAGTTTTAAGCAACAAATCTTTGCCAGAATCTAAGATTATTTCGAGGTTATATCCTCTGGCTTTGAATGTCCAGTGCAAAACATTTCAGTTTTGTAAAACGGGAAAGATTGTTTCTAAATTTATTTTTATTTACTACTAACCTTTTTTACGTAAGAAGCTTGTCTTGTTTGATATTCTAGTCGTATGACTGATGAAACCAAAGGCAAGAAACCGAAATAAGACTTTCTCTGCAAAAAAAGGATAATTGCAAATAGCTATTGTAAGAAAGACCTCAAACCTTCTGTAAAATAGAAGTAAAATGGGTGAAAAACGGTTACCAAGTATAAAGATTGAGCTCAATTTGTACAGAACAACAAAAAGGCCGTATAGGAATCTGAAAATCAATGGCTTGTCAACTTCTCCATAAATTAAGCACGCAAGGTTAATTTATCAAACAGACTAGATTTTCCCGCCTTCAAGTAATTTGAAATCTAGCAATACTGTGCGATTTGTATATCCTCTGCGTTACAATTGACACTGATAAACGTTAAGAAAGTTGGGACGGCCAAGGAAACAACATTAGACGAGCTGGACCAAATGGAGATTTTATAAGAAGAAGAATTTCTGCTCATGTGATGAACTTTTTCATGAAAACAGTTTCAATTTCCAATGGCCTTATTTCACCCATTGTTTACATTGGGAACACTAAAAACGGCTACCGTCTTTCTGGATCGTAAAACTTGTTTTACCGAAGAAAACTGACCCCGCGCGAAAAATCTAATGTGTACATGATATTAACATTTATAAACTTCTCATGACGTTTATGGGCACAAATTAAGCATGACTATTTGATTAAATTCACAAAACAAGTTGCCGAGTCCTGTCGAAAGTGAAGATGTAGCGAATGTAACTCAAATTTTTTGTCGCAAATGAATCATATTATTCAAGATGTTTTCGCGATAACAAAGCATGTTTTCTTTTGTTTCATTATCGCATGTGCATAGTTGTTAGTCAGTGTCATGAAAAGTGTTGTGTTTTTTCACAACTTCGGCTTTTTGCAGTCACACTTTCCATCGGTGGTTAATGGACAAAAGACAAGGTTTTTCCATACCGTGTTTTGTCAGCGTAATGTTTCTGTAAGAGTGGGATTATGCGGCCATCAGCATCTTGTCGTGCCTTTTGGCTAAAGAAAAAAACGAGTTGCCGAGTCCTGTCGGGATTGAAGATGTAGCGAATGTAACTCAAATTTTTTGTCGAAAATGAATCATATTATTCAAGATGTTTTCGCGATTACAAAGCGCCACAGCGAACTTATGAATTAAAAATTTTTACATCATGATCCGACTTAGATTTTGATGCCCATTCGTTGCATTATTGGGGAAACGAAAAAAAACCTGAGATTAAAACGCTCCATAAACTCGCTGATGCGCAATTCCGTTCTTAAAAGCAAAAAATAGAACGCAGTTTTATGGAAAAAAAGGTCACTTTCAGGTATTGTCACGCATGAAACAAATACTAGAATTCTCAGAAATAACCGGAACCACATGTCTCTGTCAAGCTGTATTTTTGGAAACCGTCTACTGCTTTTGTTATTTTGTGTTACAGCTTTTAAAAGAATTTTCCAATTTCTAACTTCGTTGCCCAAGCGAGCATTTTGATCCTCGTCACTGTAACAATTACAAAACGGCATGACAGAGCGAAGTTTAACTCAGCTATGGCGGTAAACGTTAATCAAATCTTAATCGCTAAATCTGCAATATAGAACATAATATCCGATGTCGTTCTGTGCAACTTCATTTCTAGACGACAAAATGACATTGTGCAAAATTACCTCGGTAAAAAAAGAAGCATACTTAGTCGTAATATTAACAATATTAACGTCATAAAAACGTCATAAAAATAGTAGAGACTGTTGCATTCAGTCATAAAAATAAGTCAGTCTGATTTTCTAATTAAAATACATGAAACGGTTTCTGAACAATAACGAAATAACATCTAAATGCCACTGAAAGGTTCCTTCCAACTTCTAAAGAGTATCAGATGTTTGCCCAGAAATGTCAAGTGATGCTAAAAATTGCGTTGGTTTTTCAGTGGTTAAGCTTGAACCACATAAACATGTTTTAAAGCCTGGGGGGTTAGGCTGGTTTCGTAAAATATGTTGTCTTCGTGACAACTGTGGCGAGACAGGAAGGGTCCGCTACGTCAAAACACCTTCAGGTTCCGTAAAAACTGGCGGGAAACAATACAACACGTGAGTCAGAAAGAGTCTAGCACAGGATAGATCTGTCATCTTGTTACAGAAAGTATGATGAAGAAGATAGGGCTTTCTGGAAAAGGTAAATTGGATTTTTATTGCGAAATTTATCTAAATAGTCGAGGTCTATCTGTTTTGAGTAATTCCCGACTAATGTTGGGAGTAATAAAACAAAAAAGTAGTTCGCAATCTTGTTCATCATTTGCCAAGGGGGCGAAATACAGAATAGAATATGAGCAGCGTAGCCACTGAGAGAACAGCACTTGTAATTAAACGCCAGAACATGTAACGTTATGTAATTTAAGTTTATCTGCCATTAAGTTTCAGCTTTGACAATGGATTCCAAGCTGCAGGCAAGATACCTTTACTTTCCTGGCCTTTGTCTTTCTGGGCCTTCTAATTTGTAACTCTGAACTTTGCATAATTACAAACATATTATTTCTGTTTGGTGCGGTAATACGATCCCACGCCAAGAAGATTTAGACTTTGCGTTACCTTGTGTGACGCAACCTACTCGAGGTGTATTAATATGGTGTAGTACTTGTAAACTGAGAAACATTTTTCAAGGCTCTGTCTGAAAATGGTTTACATTATAGCGGTTTTGCGACATTTCGCTAAAGATTGCGCGAATATGCCCAGGTACTGTTCGCTGTTGATGAATTGCATTAGACTACGCGTTGTAGGTGAAGGGAAAACTATGTTCCGCTGGTAAAAGTTCTATACAATCTCTGAATAGTTGCTATGGAAACAAACACATACCGAACCTGAAGGCGTTCTGATGTACTGACCCTTTCTGTCACGCCACAGTTGTCACGAAGACAATATATTCTACGAAACCAGCCTGACCTCCCAAGCTTTATAACATGTTTAAGTGGTTCAAGCTCGATCAGTGAAAAACTAACGCAACTTTTAGCATCGCTTGACATTTCTTAGCGAACATCTGATACTCTTAAGAAGTTTGAAGGAACCTTTCAGTGGCATTTTGGTGAATATTTCTAACTGCCGGGCATTTAGTCCATCTGAGACCGTCCGGCAGTCTGATCAGAAGCATAGCAAGTTGTCGACAACCGAGCGTTATTATAGTACGCACAAGCTCGGAGAATTTGTCCACTGAAACCAAATAAATTTTGGAATCGCTTGACATTCCTTAACAAAAATTTGATATTCTTAAGAAGTTTGAAAGAATCTTTCGGCGGAAATTGCGTGAAAAGTTTTGAATGCCGGGCATTTAGTCTATTTGAGACCGTGCCCGGCTGCCGGGCATTTAGTGACTGTATTAAATATTCCCAGAATTTTATACAGCAATGGTGACTGTCATTGTGACCTCTGCTGGTTATGTTTTAAAATATTCTATGGCGTGGAACCTTTATGCTATTACCAGTTTTTAAATGTAAATACCATGTACTATTAGGAATAAACTTTAACCTCCGTTCGGCGAGGAAATATATTCGGATATTTCTTTCCATTGACCCAACTGTCTTCGGGGAGAAGACTTCGAGGGACAGACAATGTCCAAGGACAGATATCCAAAAGTATTAGGGCCATTTATCAAATTCATAAGAATCAGTCGTCAGATTTGTTTTAAATTTTATTTGTAGGTCTAAACGTGCTGTCAAGAGCATCAGTGCCACTGACAAAAATGCACAGAAACGGAGCCCCCGATCTCTCTGTCATGGAAGAGGTAAATTAGAATGATTACAGAACAGTTTTCGACTGCACCCTTAACAAAGACAAGAAGCTTTTTGATTTTATTTGTTTGTTTGTTTTTCTTTTTTTTTTTTTTTTTTTTTTTGGGGGGGGGGGGGGGGGTGGAGGATTCTTAAACTCTGAAAGCCGAGAAAAAAATTATTCTGCTTTAGACGTCTTATTAGTAATACATATCCAAGCTCAAGGTCCAAATTCAAAAGAGGCCACCGAGAATGAAGGGAGGTAAGGAGTGTGAAGAGTTTTCCACGATTTGCATGAACAGAAGAGATTTGTCCTAGATTTGCCTAAAACTATGCCCATTCAGAAACGCACGTGAACGGTTTTCGATGTAACAAATTGACGGCTGGGTCATCTATCATCGTTCCCTCACAGTAAATTTGTCTTATATCGCATTTATCTGAATAACTGCTTCAATGTTACGATCATCTGTTAAATTGTAGAGAGAACGCCTAAGAATGGACCGTGAGCTAGAGGGAATCATTGACAAGATCAACCTTTTGCCCGAAGATGAAAAACAACAAGATAAAAGAGATTTAAAAGAGCTTCAAGAGAAAACAGAGAGGATGAATTCCCACGCAAGAGAGACCATTAGGAGCCTTCGCGCAGCGGCTAAGAAACTAGACAACGTGTGGAGGGACTGCAAGACAGCACATGCCGTTGGAACCAGCGTTGGAATATTGGGAGGCCTTCTTTCAATCGGGGGAGGAATTGCAACAGTTATGACAGCTGGGACTGCTACTCCCTTATTGGTAGCAGGATTGTCTCTTGGAGGCGCTGGAGCTACTACAAACATAGGGGCAGCCGCCGTCGAAGCTCTTATAAATTCGGCTGAAATAAAAAAGGCCGAAGAACAATTGGGTGAGACTATGAACAGTATAAACGAAGTAAACAGGATTGTCCAGAAGATTTTAATGGCGAAAGAAACAGCAAGGCTTATTTATATTTATTACCTTGCCAAAACCCTGAAGTTGGGAGGTCCTGCGGTCTTGAAGATCCTTCGTGAGCTGGTGTTTTTCTCTGCAGGAACACCTACTAAAATGGTGGTACAAGTAGCAGAAACTGTAATGGCCTGTGCGCAGACAGTGACTCTGGCTGGTGCGAAAGCTGCAACTCAAGGAGGTGCTCAAGGAGCGGGAAAGGCAGCTGCGCAATCTGTTGACGATGTGGTACGAGCAACGGGTCAGGCTGGAGCACAAGCTGCTGACGACGTAGTCCAAGCAGGGGCAAGGGCGGGTTCTAAGGCAGTCGGTGAAGCTGTGGGTAAAGTCGTCATTGTGGTCAATGTTGCATTTGTTGTGTGGGATGCCATAGACCTTGGCTTCACCATTAGGGATCTCGTTGAAAACAAGGGATCTGAAGCTGCAAAAGTTCTGAGACAAAAGGCAGACAAACTCGAGAGTGCCATGAAGTAGTAAAACTCGGGAAAAGGCGAGATTTCGAACGGATATTCAATAAATAAACATTAAGCTACGTTGATATTAAGATTTTCAAAGAAAAGCGTTTGTTTTCACCGGCCCTTTTCATTAGTTTATGAGAAAATTGCATCTTACGACTGTGACCTCTTTTGATTTCCATAGAATAAGGTTAAGGATGTTCTGTTTCAATTCGTTGTAGGCAGAGGAAAAGAACGTAATAAAATACTTGTTTACTTGTTAAACGCTTACTTTTAAAGGGCATCTGTTTTATGATTACCTTTTGATGTAGAACAAGAGTATATTTTCCTCTCATGTGCGTTCTCATGCAGGATCATGTGGAACTACAGCTGAGAATCATTGAATTAACACCCTAATAACCGAACGCAAAGACCCTTGTAAGGAACTTTAAGAACAATTCTAAGGTAATAGCTGAAAATATGCCTTCTTTTTCAGTTTTGTGTCTCTCATTGCAATGATGCCGAGTGCAAAGTCCTATAAAAAGCTTTTTCATTGTCTGACATAGATTCCTGGGCGATTCTGCGAGACAGCTTAATGGATTCCATAAATGGTCAAAATGGCATTCAGGCTAAGGGCAGTTCCCAACTAATTTCCAAGATCCAGATCCAACATTGTAACTGTAACTTGGCCGTGGAAAGTTTACTTACGAGACTTTGGCCCCATTCTTACCCCTTTACATCAAGAGAGATCATCAAGTGACCCGCTTCGTTCTGCCTACCACGTGGTCAGGACATGTTTGTCTTATCCCTCTTACTCATAGTCCTTCCACATCCGTGATCTTTCTTCTCCCGTTTGCTTGGGCGTTTTTTTAGGGTCCTTGCCTTCTACACAACGTTAACAACCTGGGCCCGGTTGTTCAAAGGCCGATTGGCCCTAACCCAGGGTTGAATTTTAATCCAGCTTTCTCTATTTCTTTGTTCAAAAGTCTTTTAGGGAAAATTTTCACTATTCTTTTTAGAACATCCAATGATCAAACTGCAAGCAAAAATAATTGAACTGAATTTTCTCTTAAAGTTTTCAGACCTAAAATCAAATTTCACACTAACCCTGGATTACTTTAACCCAGCTTTGAACAACCTGGGCCAGGTTACCCCGCTGTCAGTCCATTGCGACCTGCTTAGCGGCCCATGATTTGTTGCGAAACGACTTTCGATTTTCAGCGAAACGACTTCGACTTGAAGTGAAACGAACTGGGCTGTGTTCTATTTTTGCTCTTTGTAGCTGTGATAAATATACGAAACCGAAAATATTCCGCGTATGGTGACACAACTAGTTGGATCATTGGCTTAGGATGTGGGTTGGGAAGTGGGGAGGTGGCGCCCGGCGAGGGACTAGGCTACCTTCACCTTTGTTTTTTTGTTTTTGTTTTTCGTTTTTCGTGTGTCCTCAGTTCGATGTTTGAAAAGTAACCCGGTTTTTGGTATCTTGCAATCTTTATGCGTTGCGCATCAAGGCTTTTCCTTTCGCCATTATTTCATTTCCACCTCTTTGCCTCAACTGATTGAATCCGTCATTGAAGATGTGGAAAAATAAATAGTATGGTTAACCCTTCCACCCCTAGGAGTGATTAGTAACTATTTTCCCCTATCAGTATCATCCCTAAAACAAACATTGAGGTCATGAGAATAAAGGAAATGATCACCAACCAAAGAAGCTCTTGATTGTTAAACAAATTCTCGTTGTTAGTACCATAGGAAATGTACAGAGAACAGTATGGAGAATATGCATACTGATGTTAGGTTGTAAAGGGTTAAACAAACGGACGTACAAGGTCAATAATCTTCAATACAGACCGCTCCTACTCCCATAGAGCAGGGTTAAAGTATTAGTCATAGAATTATTTTTGAACCGCGGTAAATAAGGTTGATAATCAAACTTGACTTCTACACCAACTTTCCCAGCTACTTTTGCACTTTCCTTGCCAGCAGATCCTGCACCTGTCTCAACTGCTGCCTCCGTGCCAACCTTACCGGCAGCTATTACACCAGCCATCCCGGCTGCCTTTGCACCGGCCTTGCCAGCGTCTCCTCCAGAAGCCTTTGCTGCTGCTTTCGAAGTTCCTTTTAAAACCAGAATCACCCCACAAAGGACCTAAACTCCCCGCATGACTCTGACTTCATGTCATTTGCCCTAGCAAACACAATTCCTCGGCATACATCTCTATTGCTATTCAATGACTGCAATAGCTTCTATAGTAGGAAGCAAAGTTTACTCACAAGCAGCTAATAAGATTATTAATTCTTGCTTGTGATGATAATTTGTTGATCAACATTGTCTCATCTTTCCCCTTCGTCGGAGAAATTCAAAGCTACGCACACTGTTTTTAAACCTATTATTATGTTAGGAGCTTAAGGTGACTAAGCATTCTCGGCGTTTTAAATAACAATTCTTTAATAGATTGACGCAATTTTTAACTTGTTTTTCTGAAAATGGTAGCAAACTAATTCTCAATTATTTGCACATTTTTTTGATTGACATTTTACCATCTAAGATTACCACAGCAACACTGAAGTCCCTTAATAGCGCCTTAATTTTAGCTCAATGTGCCTTATGCTCAAAACCGAGCTTAGTGACCCCCAATATTTAATTTATCAATGACTCTCTGCAAATTGCTCAATGACTCTCTGCAAATTGTAGGAACCGGTATTGTTATATCACTCTTCCTGATCAACTTTGGCGCTCATTCATCTTTGTTAACTTAAGAGAAAAAAAAGGTGTGTGGGGGTCGGGGGTCGGGAGGTAAATAGAGTGAAAGTGAAAAGAATAGGGAGTGTGCGAGGTCAAGGATTCGATAGGAAGGGCCGAGAGGGAGGAGGTTTGTGGGAGAGGTAGCTGGGAAAGCAGATCTTACACTCAAAATCCTAAGAAGCACTTTCCTTACAGTATTAAAATTAGTGCAAAATCGCTATCTGGAGATCCAAAAGAAATTCTTAAGACTTCGAGGATAGAAGGAAAGTTTTTTTAATTTCATAGAAAAACTCATAGATTTTTGTGTTATTCAGGAGTCGATTTTACGCCTAGGTGAGATATGCCAACCTTTTTAGCTTTACGTAAAGATTTGAAATATTTCCAGGTGTTCCAATCTTTTAAGAGAAATAACCCTTCAAAATGGGTAAGACCTTTATCGCGTTCTACTCATCAGTTTTAAATATATGCAGTCATGGAGAACACCGGCTTCTTCTAAGTGCAAGCTCAGCGGGCTTCAAATGACTATCACCAGGGGAAGCAAAGTGGAAATGTTCCATGAAGGTGGAGCCCCCGAAAAGATAAGGATGGAATACGAGCAAGCGTCTCCTGACCACGTGGTCGGCTCCATTATAGTGAGGATTATCGTGGCCCAGATACCTGCCACTTTGACCATTTCATAAAACTCCGTTGAGCTGTCTCGCACAATAGTCAACAAATCGTTGTTTAACAAAGTGAAAGAATTCAAAATGACTTTGGACTCCGCATCATTACAATAAGAGACATAAGACTGAAAAAGTTGGGACTGTAATTATCTTAGAATCGGTTCCAAGCGTTCCTTACAAGGGTCATTGCGTTCGGGTATTTAGAGATTTCTTTGAAGCTGAGCCGCTGTCCCTCACTAAACTGGGAACGTAGATAGAATATGAAAATGGTCTTTCTCCTCACTGAAAGGAAAGCATTAAATAATTTTGCCTTACACGGAGGCGTTAACCCAAAAGGCCTCAGAAGTTACTCACTTTAAAATATCCAAGTATTTTATTACGCTTCTTTTCACTGAATACACAAAATTGAATCAGCCTTTTCCTATCTCTCTAAAAATCAAAAGAGGCCACATAAAAAATAAAAATTGCTAAATGCCGATAATGCAGTCCTAAGATGTAACTTCCTCATAAAAAATGACCAAATGCAACTAACGCATGAAAAGTGTTCACGCCAACGTAGATCAATGTTATGTTTATAACTGAAAATTGTTTCGAATTCTTCCTTTTTGCTGATTTTTACTGCTTCATGGCATTCTCAAGTTCGTCTGCCTTTTGTCTCAGATATTTTGCAGCTTTAGATCCCTTGTTTTTTACGAGATCGCTGATTGTGAAGCCAAGGTCTATGACATCCCACACCACAAATGCAACATTGACCACAATGACGACTTTGCCGACTGTCTTACTGGCTGCCTTGGTGCTCGCTTTAGCCCCTGCTTGGACTACGTCATCAGCAGCTTGTGCTCCAACCTGACCCGTTGCTCGTAGCACATCGTCAACAGATTGCGCAGCTGCCTTTCCCGCTCCTTGAGCACCACCTTTGGTTGCAGCTTTCGCACTAGCCTGAGTCACTGTCTGTGCACAGGCCATTGCAGTTTCTGCTACTTGTATTGCCATTTTAGTAGGTGTTCCTCCGACGAAAAACACCAGCTCACGAAGGATCTTTAAGACCACAGGACCTCCCAACTGCAGGGTTTCGGCAAGGTAATAAATATATATGAGCCTTGCTCTTTCTTTCGTAATCAAAACCTCTTGGACAAACCTGTTTACCTCGTTTATACTTTTCCTAGTCTTGTCCAATTGTTTTTCTGCCTTTTTGATTTCAGCTGAGTTTATATGAGACTCGACGGCGGCTGTCCCTATGTTTGTAGTAGCTCCCGCGCCTCCAAGAGACAATCCTGCTACTAACAAGGGAGTAGCAGTCCCCGCTGTCATCAATGTTGCAATTCCTCCACCGATTGAAAGAAGGCCTCCCACTATTCCAAAGCTGGTTCCAACAGCATGTGCTGTCTTGCAGTCCCTCCACACGTTGTCTAGTTTCTTAGCCGCTGTACGAAGACTCTCAGCAGTCTCTTTCGCGTTGGAATTCATCCTCTCTGTTTTCTCTTGAAGCTCTTTTAAATCTCTCCTATCTTGCTGTTTTTCATCTTCGGGCAAAAGGTTGATCTTGCCAATGATTTTCTCTAGCTCAAGCTCCATTCTCAGGCGTTCTCTCTACAATTAAATATTCAGACTTTTAGTTTACACGTTGTGAGGGAAAGATGACCTAGTCGTTCATTGTTAATATCGCAAGCCATTTCTGTGCGTTACTGAATGGACACATTTTTGTTCAAATTATTGCCAGGGGAAGGAAGAGCAAATCTCTTCTGTCCTTGCAAATGGTGTTTTAAAAAATTAGCCTTAAACGTTAATAGTATCTATCCCCCTCCTCATTTTTGGTGGCTTGTCTTTGAATTTTTATCTTGAGCTTGGAAATGTACTTCTAAGACGTCCAAAGGAGAAGACTATCATTTTCGTTTGTAGGTTAGAGTATATTGACCTCCCCCTCTACTTAGAGAAAGGGCTTCTTGGTGAGTATTACAACGTCTTTCAGCGGTTTCAATAGTTTCAATCTCCGCGCGGCATTAGCCTATTTAAGTGGCGATTTCTGTAAGAGCTGTCCCGGGCATTTCGTATCGGAACAAAGTTTTGCCTCAAACTTTGCCCATCAAACTATCTTTGGTAGTGAGGAAATGAAACCACATTGGTTTCTGGAAATACGTTAAAATAGAATTTTTAGAGCTCACAATAATCAAGCTGCATAAAGCCCAATTTTGACCTCCTCCATGGAAAATGGAAAATTGCAAAAGTTGACAACCTCACCGCATGCAGCAAGAAATGGTTTTTATCCCTAAATTGTGTGAAAATTCAGGGGTTTGGAAAACATTTTGTAATTCTGATATGTGTTAACTCACAGGTACGCCATAATTTATTTAAAAACATTCGTCAAAAGTACTCTTTTTTCTTGGGTGATATTTCTTAAGTCCAGACCATACCATTGAAAACTCCGTTTGATATTTTCTAGTAAGATGTTTGAAAGCATAAAAATAAAAAATATCTGGCACTTATTAATTTCCTTTACCGTGGTGACTTCAAACGTTTGGTGAATTTGCTAGCGTGACAGCCGAATTATGCAAATCAGTATGCTGAGCAAACTCTGACTCCCTTACATTAGTAATTTCATAAATCTTAGATTTTAACCATTTTAGGTTGAAAGATAGCGGGACAGAGCTCTTAGAACACACTTATTGATCAGTCATTGACACTCTTAACATTTTGATTAAACGGCTAAAATCTGGCAAATCCTTGTCTCGCGACGAAAGAGGTGAACAACTACAGATTAAATATCATAGTGTTCAACGTTTTAATGGTAAACGCTTTTTAAAAAATTTAATTCTGTTGTTTTATATTTTAGTTTAGAGAGCTTGAGCCATTAAAATCTAATCAACATTTCAGAACCAAACTACAGTATTTTATATGGCGTAACCGGCGATAACAGCACACTCTGAAAGACACCGTGACCAATGACTCACTCACGCAATCTACGTGAGAACACACTACAATCTGAAGTTACTGCGGCGAAGAAATTTAATGGGTGCATGACATTTTTATATTTTAACGATTTCAAATACCTTATTATTAGAATATATCAAGCGGAGTTTTTAGTGGTATGGCCTGGGCTTAAGAAATACCACCCAAGAAAAAAAATAGTGCTTTTGACGAGTGTTTTTAAATAAATTATGTCAAACCTCCGAATAAACACATATCAAAATTGAAATGCTTTCCAAACCCCTGAGATATCTCAAAATTTAGAAATACAAACAATTTCTTGCTGCATGCGGTATGTTACGAGGGGCAAGCTTGTCAAAATTTTGAAATTTGAAATTTTCAGCTCAGATGATAGTAGTGCTCAATTAGTATTTCAGTGGTTCGAATCCCGTGCTAAAATTGCAGCTCAGGTGTGAGATGATCATGGCTTGTTGTCATACAACTATCATTATTAGCAAAATGTTTGAATAGTAAATTACTAAGACAGTTCTAAGAAACGAGTAATGGCCATAGTGGCACAATATTTTGGGGAATTATTTTATAAACAGTTACTGCGATGAATAATTTACCGTTGTTTACATGGAAGTAATCGAGAAATTTCTCTTAGATGTTTTTCAATTCCTTTCAATATTTGGATTCCTGTCAACACATTATTCGATAGAAAAAGGTAAAATCTATTCAGCAAGCAAATGAGTTCGTCACATTTCGCTGAGATCAAACCATTTTTCCTGAGGATAGGTCTGAACGTTTCCGTATTCACCAATCGCCAAGATTTACTGAGATGCAATTTAAATACTTTTGTCAGTTCACTCGCTTTGAATACTTTCCATGAACAGTGTCTATTTTGATGTGAAAATAGATTTAGCACAGCATGCTCGATTTCAGTTTTACTACCAGAATTAAAAAGCTATGACTAAAAGATCTAAAGACTAACCTTTTGAAGTATAAGATACTGTTCAGCTGAAGTCAACTGTTTACGATGCCGTCAGCTTAAGATCCGGATGACTGCAAGAAAATTAGTTACTGAAATGAATTCGACAGGAAAAAGCACAATATATATAGCTACTTAAAAAATTAGTTAGACGATGTTGACCAAGATTCACCAACTATTATTTTCAATATTTGAATTCCTGTAAAAACAACTTTCGATGTAGAAAAGATAAAACTATTCCACAAGCAAACAAGCTCGTCACATTCCACCGAGATAAACCCTTTACCCGGAGGATTAGGTTAAACTTCTCTTGCATTCACCAATCGCTGAGTTTAGACGGAAGTACCTTTGTCGGTTACCTCGCTTTATATGGTCTTCTTCTATGAACTTATTTCTCTTTCGATACGATTATGAATTAAGCCTGTTCAGTATTACTAACAGAATGAAAAAAAGGGCACAAAATCAAGGCTTACCTTGTGATGCGAAAGATCCTGCTTAACTCAGTCCGAGTTACCGCAACACTGATCTATGACTGCAATGAAATCCGTAATGATAATGAATTTTACGGGGAAGAGTAGAAACTACTTGAATTAAAAAATGAGTCGGACGAAGTTGACCAAGATCCGTCAATTTCCGGCGAGTTCGAGAAGGAAAAGTTTGCCATTTATCTTCTCGCGAATATACTCCGATCTAATGACAGATTAAGCTTCGACAGTATCGGCTGACTTAGAAATCTAACTTCAGTAAAAACAAAGGAAAACCTTGTGATTTATCGGGTCCGCCTCACCTTACCTGTTTCCTACAAGTTCGTTAACCGCTTGGTGGAAAACTCCGCAACTCTGATCCACGAATGTAGTGAAATCAAATTGCTTACATGTCACTAAGCCTCCCCTGCATACGTGTCACTGAGCCTCCTCTGCAGAACCAACCAGATTTCTGTAAAGTATACTGTTTAATCACAGACAAGCTTATTTGATTGGTTCGCATTTTTAGTTTCAATTCGTGGAAATACGAACAGTGAAATTCCTGAATAACTCTGGAAAAAGGCCAACCAATAAAAAGCAGCTTTAGCAGGCTGAATGTGAAAGTCCAAAGTCTCTTTTGTGTAATGTTTGTCGTTCATAGATTTTTGCCGAGTGTCGATAAGCTTTGCACCAAAAAGGCTGGGGTTTGCTCGATACCACCCTTTGCTATGATTCTGCCAAAGTCTTGACTGTGGTATTTCAGACCTGGTTATACGAATAAAGAAGGCTTCTGTGCACGTGATACTCATAAAGGTCAAGGCTTCATCTCTGTTTGTTTCAGCGCCTATTATTAACCATTTCCCCTTTGAAATGTTTCGCTGCTAATTTTCTAAGGGAGGGGGCACTACCATTATTGTTACACATACACTTGTTGTTACCATTTTTATTGAATATTTTCATTTGTTAGACGATTTCTTATTCTAGTGTTGGGAAGCATGTGCCTCCCAAAAGGCACAGCGGTCTTAGAGCGAACACGAAGAGAATGAGTCGCCATGTTTGTAGTTGTTTTCATTAGTTTGACTGCGGATTAACAAAAGCTCCTACATATTGTGAGTTCTTTAGTCGGATGAAGAGACAGTTCAGTGTTGGAAATTCCAAGATTTACTTATTCGCTCGTATATTTTCCATTTAGCGAATCGTGCAAAGGTTAAGAAGTGTATGTGGTCTGACCTGATCTCGATTGTTAGAGTTTTTGAATAAATTGTGGATTTGCGACTACAACACTAGACCCGCTTGAGTATTCGTAAGCATTTTGCAATCCTATTTTAGACCAGACTTAAACTTAGCTTTACCAGTTTTGTAAATATCGGAAAAATTTCTTGATTACGCCCTCAGAAAACGATTTTTTGTCCATTGCTCCTAATCTGCTCTCCTTCTAAGAAATTCTACAGGATGTTTCACAGCGCTCCCCGTCAATTAAAAAAAAAAAAAACTTTGGGGGAACTATTGAGTATCATCCTTAAGAAGTTCGTTTAGAGGGGAACCGCTCAAACAAATGTATATGTTGTTCCTGCCTTGAGCAAGATGATCTGGAATCGTGTTCAAAGATGCAATGTAAACAACCTCCTTTCTACCTTGGGCCGCCTAAACTGTGAAGTTCCCCAAAAGTGAATAATTTTAACCGGCCCCCTTTCTCCCTGATCCGCCTAAATGAACCACTAAATTGCTAAAATATGAGCTCTCACCACCGAATGAATGCCAACCACACTAATGTTACTGGCTCTAACTAGCTTATCTTGAGACTCAAGTCAATAATAAATGGAAGCATGTTGATCTTAATCTTAAAGCTAAAAGGTTAGGTATCTGTACCGCCAAAACAGAGTTTCTGGCGATTGCCTCAAGGAAAAAATTACAATCTTTAAAACAATAATGTAGATGACATCTAAATGAACCAAACCAACTGGAGAAAGATTGACATCGGTGGAAAACTCTCGTGAAAGGAGGCCTAAGTGCATGAGATTTGTAAAACAGCCTCGTCATGTTTCGTTGTATGCACTTAAGCGAGACAGGCCATTTATTTCCATGCACAAGCCACTGATATACAAAAAGATATCTTCAACACAAAAGCATAATTTCATGTTGTTCCTTCCCATACCAAGAACTGACTACCTAAAGCTTAGTTTTAGTTAAAATTGCGGGATCTCTGAGTTACAATGTCCACGACACAAAGGCAAAAATTTCGTATCGTCCCTCCTAATACCAAGACTTGACTACCTAGAGCGCAGTTTTAGTTAACGTTCCGGGAATTTCGATTGACGATGTCCACAAAGGCAAAATTTCATAATTTCCCTTATCATATCAAGAATTGACTACCTAAAGCGTAATTTTAGTTAAAATGCCGAGATATTCGAGTTACAATGTCCACAACACAAAGGCAAAATTTCATATTGTCCCTTCCGATACCAAGAATTGACCACCTAAAGCTTAGTTCTAGTTAAAATTCCGGGAACACTGAGTTACAATGTTCAAAACACAAAGGCAAAATTTCATCTCCCCTTCCAATACCAAGAACTGACTACCTAAAGCGCAGTTTTAGTTACCGTTCCGGGAATTTCGAGTTACGATGTCCACAAAGGCAAAACTTCATAACTTCCCTTCCCAAATCAAGAATTGACTACCTAAAGCGTAATTTTAGTTAAAATGCCGAGAATTTCTAGTCACAATGTCCACAACACAAAGGTAAAATCTCACATTGTCCCTTCCAATACCAAGAATTGACTACCTAGAGCTTAGTTTAAGTTAAAATTCCGGGAATTGGGAGTTACGATGTCTTCGACATAAAGGCTAAACATGTTTCATGTTATCCATTCCCAAACGAAGAACTGACTACCTAAAGTTTAGCTTAAGTCAAAATGCCGGGATTTTCGAGTTACGATGTCTATGACAAAAATGCAAAATTTCATGTTGTCCCTTTCCATGTCAAGAACTGACAACGTAAAGCTTAGTTCTAGTTAAAATTCCGGGAACACTGAGTTACAATGTTCACAACACAAAGGCAAAATTTCATCTCCCCTTTCAATACCAAGAACTGACTATCTAAAGCGCAGTTTTAGTTAAAAAATTCCGGGAATTTCGAGTTACGATGTCCTTGACACAAAGTTAACATTTCATGCTGTTCCTTCCCATATCAAGAACTGACTACAGCGTAGTTTTAGTTAAAACGCAGATATTTTCGAGTTACGATGTCTTTGACACAAAGGCAAAATTTCATATGGTCCCTTCCTATACCAAGAACTGGCTACCTAAAGTGTAAGGTATTTAAAATTCCGGGAACTTTGAGTTACGATGACCACAAAGGCAAAATTAATTTCATAATATCCCTTCCCCTACCAAGAACTGACCACGTAAAGCGTAGGTTTAGTTATAATGGCGCCCATCTTTGGATCAGTCTCCCCGTGGAAACACATAAAGAAAATTAAACTCCTAAAGTCTGTCTAAGAGAAATATTATCAAAGATAATTTCCGAACAGAACTCCCATATGGTAAGTATGCTGTCATTTTCCTTGCTGTTGCGTTATCAAAGACAATTTTCTGAACAGCACTCTCACACGGCAAATATGTAAGGTATTAGCATGCTGTTATCGTCCTTGTTGTTGCGCGTGTTTTTGTTAATGTTTGTAAGCTTTGTTTGGTATCTTACAATTGCTTTGTGTTGTAATTAACGAGTAGCAACGTTTTGCTCTCGACAAAAATTTGTTTTCACTTAATTTTCTTAACATTTGGAATAGAGGGTCATTTTCTAGCCTCTTCTATTTGTATGTCTAAATTACTGAATTTAGCTGAGATTATGATGGAAACAGAAATCCCTTTTGAACTTTACTGACGGCGATTTCGATCGACTTTATTTTTCCTAATCAGTTGTAATTTTATGCATCGCCACTATCCCCGTGTCAAACATAAAAATGACCTGAAAACTTAGGTAAATGCAAACTTTCTATTCTAAAGGATTAAAATAATACATTAGCTGCAGAACGTACGGCTCAAAGATTGGACTCTGAAGAAAGATAAGATATCTTTGTCTTTGGCTTTAGCAGGTTTCTATCTCACTGTGCAAGGCTATTGGAAATTTCCACACTGATATCATCCGTGGTAAATAAAAACCAAAGCTATAGGATGTTCAACTTTTCGAAGCTTATCTTTCATGGTTGCCCTTCATTGCTAAGTTTTTTTATTCATTGAATCAATTTGGATGGATCCTTCATTCTCTAATTTCTTAATAATATTCTAAAGCTCCTGCTTTTCGTCGAAGATATTTGGCGGCGTCTATTCCTTTGTTTTCCTCGAGATCTCTGATCTTGAAGCTTAGCTAGTCCTCCCTCATACAAAAGCAAAGTAATTGCTTTTATCTATCGAGCCCGTGAAATTATCTAGAGCAATTTCAAATTATTTATCACCATTTAAAAGCCGTGGATGCCAAAAGAAGCGGTTGAAACTCACGGTTACGGGAAGTCATTTACTGATAAAACCATCAGATGTAATGCTAAAAGAAACTGTTAATCTTTCACAGTCTTCCTTTATAAAATAAATTTGAAAGAACACTTAAACCTAATGCGTTTGATGTGAAATACAAGTATTTTGCTCAAAGCTCTTTCTGAGAAATCCACGTTACAAAAATCATGCTAGTTTTCGGAAAATGGAAGGAAAACTTTAAAAGACCTTTGATGCTTCTGATGAAATTTCTTGTTTGCAGTCTCTTTTGCTATTTGTTATTTTTATTATTTCCATTTAGATTTGCACATTGTTCTTAAGTTTAGCATTAAACTTCGCAAAGGAGTAAGTAACTCTAATGGTTGCACCCTACCCTGTCACGGTAGAAACACAGCTTTCCCTTTAATTTGTGCAGTTAATAAAGCGTTTGTCCTCATCGTGCCCTGACCTTTTCAAGAATACGACGGCGTTGTAAATGAAACATATCAGATTTCTTCTAAGAAAGAGTCCCTCGTGTGTATGTTGTTTTCCCTGAAAACGAAGTATCTCCTATTTGAGTTCGGAAAAAAATTATTCATCGTTGGCTATTGCTGGTTCACATTTGATGCATGCAAGTAACTCCGTAATTGAAGGAACAATCAAGTGTCAAAAATTCTCAAAACATTTTTTAAAATTATATCAGCCGATAAACAATATCTACAGTTTTCTCAGACACAATTCAGTCACAAAATGAATTTTCTCTGCGGAACCTCAGAGAAATATCCATTCGTGGTGCAACACTGTGCTAACTTGGATGGTTGCAAACTGGTTTAGAAACATTTTTTGAACTGATTTCTTTAAGGGTAAGACCGACAGTCATTTCATGAATAGATCAATTCTGAAAAAGTTATCAATAAGAGTCGATGATCGAATGATTATTACATGGAGATCACAAGACACTTTTCTCAGTTAAAAAAAAAAAAAAAACAGTTCAGATTTACAAGATTGATCAGACATGAAGGTTTCGAAGCAAGGTGGTAAACAAGCGCCGAATAACGACAATAATATTTAGACAACCGAACTCACCAACTGAATGTAAGTAGATCAGATTTTTGGATCGCGCGTTACTCGGAGCAGAGGATTAGACGTTAAAATTCCGTAAATTTGAAGAGCTAATTTAGCTATAGAAAACGAAGAAACATATTACTAACCTAGAGATTTGGCTTTGCCACAGTTTCTTCGTATGAGCGTAAACGTCGTTAGAGAAGATACCACTGTAATGGTCATTTACTCCGTACATTGCGGTCATTTAATTAGATCTCTCGATACGATAGTGTTACAGAGACAAACCATTTGATTGGTTCCTTATCGCAGAATTCATCGAAAAGGGGCTTTCCCAGTAAACACTCAATAATTTATTTTGATCGATATAAGTATCATGCCCCGACTTTTCTACGAACAGCTTTTTGAATGCAACCTTCAAAGTTCTTCTAGGAAAAAAACAAAAAATTTGGATATCAGTTCGTGGAATTGAAAACTTTTCCTAGAGGTATTCAAGACCTATTCAGATATTTCTGCAAGGAAAAGCTTTGTTGTCAATCACGCGCAATCCTGAAATGGCAATCTTAATTCTATTGTCTTCTGTAGTGTCACGGCAAGAACTGGAATTAATGCGCTAGTGGTTAGAAGCAAGAAATCACAGAAGGAGAGAACTCAAATGTGTTTCGAGTGCAAATGTCGAATTAATAATATACTCGGAAAAAACAATGGCTTAGCTTACCTTATAGTCAATGTAGCTTAGTGATAGCGCATAGTTGTGCGGAATAAGAAAGTCTGAGGTTCGATTGCTCGCTGGAACTCAGAATATTTTTTTCCGACCTATGCCCGTGACATGACGCAAAAACATCCTTGCTCATGACTATATCTTACTCAACACTTAAATTCTGGAGTGTGCTTGAAATTGGCTGATTATCAAAGCAAGGACATAATACGAATATATCATCGGTATGAGTCTCTATACCACCCGAGAAGGTAACAAAACAAAGAGGTTTGCCGTGACGCGTGACGCCCTTATAGTAAAATAATTATCGAGGAGTTGTGTGACCGGTACCACTTTAGCCACATTATGCATAATTAGACCGGCATAATAGCGTGGAGTTTTTAAAGAAATCTATGACACAACCCCTCTAAGAGTTTTTTCCGACTGAAGCTTATTGGCGTCGTGACCTTTTCGACTACTGCTTGATTCCCGAAGATATTGACACTTTCTGTTACTAGGACGTGCGAGTGCATAAGGGAGAAAGTAAGTGAGCGAACCTTCAGGTTTACTGCAGTGATTCAAACAAATTGGATCATGGGACATTCTGGTAACTACGACCGTTAGAATTCGGAAAAAAAGAAAAGTTCCAAGCCATTTTAAGTCATTTCCCACGGTCTTCTGTTCGTTTGCTACATTTAATTATCCTTTCAACCAAGGAAATTTTACGGCGATTTCCATTGACTGATACTTTCTTGAACAGCTGTAATCTCGTACATAACCTTAATCCCCGAGTCAAACACAACGCGGTCCTCAAAACTTGTAGTTACAAAGGTATTTTATTCAAAATGGATTAAAACACTACATTAACCTGAGAAACTCGAAGTAAATAGTGTGGTTCAGCGATTGGACTGTTCTTAAGAATATACGAATAATATTTCCATCGGTGCCTTAATAAAACAAACTTTTACTTCATTGATTGAGCAGAAGGTACTGTAGTTTTTCACAAAAGTTTAAGTTTAAAAGTTTAAGTTTAAACGTTTCTAGGGTAAATTTTTTTTCAAGGTTCAGAGTTCATGTCAATTGTGCTTGTTCTACATGGCTACGTTTATATGGCCCATTGATCCAATTTAGATGGATCCTTCTTCCTCTAATTTCTTCATAATATTCTCAAGAATCGCTGCTTTCTGCCTCAGATCTTTGGCGGCGTCTGATCCTTTCTTTTCCACGAGATCTCTGATAGTGCAGCCAAGATCGACAATATCCCATGCCAGGAACACAGTGCTGATTCCAATGATCAAGCCACCAGCCAGTTTGCCTCCTACTTTGGTTCCAGCTTGTAAGACATCATCGGCGGCTCCTGCACCTGCCTTCCCAGCTGCTTTTGCACCGGCCTTGCCAGTAGACTCTGCACCAGCCTTGCCAGCAGACTTTGCACCAGCCTTTCCAGCAGCTCCTACACCAGCTATCCCAGCCGATTTTACAGTAGCCTTACCAGCTTCTGGGGCAACGAATTTGGCCGCCGGTCCTGCAAAGGCCTGGCTTTCTTTATAAGCCTCTTTGGCGGCAAGCAAAATCACACCGAGGAGCTTGATCACTGGCTTGCTCCACCTCTTAGCCTCAGCCATCTTGTAAATTTTGTGCAGTGTGGATATCTTTTTTGTGCTCCAACCACTCGTGGATAGTCCCTTTAACATTCTCTATGCTTTCCAGAGCCTCCTTTAAGTCACCCTCCGCTTTCTTGATTTCTTTCGAGTTGATGAGTGACTCTCTAATATTTCCCACTATGTTTGTACCAGCTCCGATGACGCCAGCGCCCATTCCTGCAGCTAACAAGGGTGTAGCAGCCCCTGCTGTCATTACTGTTGCAACTCCTCCGATGATGGTGAGGACTCCTCCCACTATACCAATGGAAGTTCCACTTACACGAGTTATCTTGGCAGTACTCCACGCTTCGTCAAGTTTATCAGCCGCTGCATGGAGACTTTTGAGGGCTTTATTTACATTGTGAAACATAACTTCTGCCTTATCTTTCAACTCAATGGCGTCAGCCGCATCCAATTGTGACTGATCGACGCTCAGATCAACAACAACACTGTCCAACTCATTGAGGAAGTGCCCCATTCTTAACTACACGATTGTTATTCCTGCAGAGTAAGGTGAAATTATTACAGTAAGGAAAACTGAGAATGAAAAAGTCGTGTAGATACAGCAAACACAGAAAATTTGTTGGGTGCGTCAACTTGCTTAGTGAAGAAAAATTTCCTCGAACAAACCGTGCCGCTCAAGAAGGTACAAAGTATAATTCACCTTACAGCGTTCATTTACTTAGAACTCTCCGGGCTAAAGAGTGCTATAGTGACGAAAAATCAATTGATGGTTTCGCTTATCATAGGTTTTATTAAAAAGGAGCTGTCCCCGTAACGATAATTGCCTTGACTCCTTTTCACGAACAACGAAGGCTTGTCAAGGCATCTGGGAAATTTTCTTCGTGCGCATGATGTTTGCAGAGCGTTTTACATGGATCTTCCTTGAAAAAAACAAAAAACACAAAAAAACTATGTTCTATTTGAGTCCGGAAAAATTTACTGTGCTCTCGTGGATTTGTGTCCGATGCATGCTCAGAAATGGCCGGTCATAAATTCAGTAATTCTCAAATAATTCCTTGAACGTACATCTGCCGTTATCGCGGGCAATAACTGTTTCCTCAAAAACAATGAACAGAAGGATAGAAATAGGTTTTATAGGGTGCGTGAGGTCTACAATCTCTGAATAAAATCCCCTTTTCAATCAATTGTGTCGTGTTATTTAATCGAAGCAATGACCTTTCAGTCGGATTAAGTCCAACACCCACGCATACAACTTATTTTCAAACATTCAGGTGTGTCTTACTATGAGTCTCAGGGGTGGATCCAGGGTAGTTTACCTGATTTCCGGAACTCACTCAAATTTTTTCCGACCTAGTTAAATGTTGATAAAAGTGCTTTTGGAAAACACTCTAATTTCCCTTTGGAAACTACTGATACTTTTGTGGAAATCACTAAACGTCTTCCAGAAATAAACCATCTTCCTGTTTTACAGTTATTTATTAAAGAAAATACGTTTAGAATGACTAATTTCGTTATAATTGCGGTCATGAGGCGTTCGGGAGCGCTCCGGATCACGCGCTGGCCTTTCGAGCTTCGATTACACCTCGGAAACCGTCGGAAGCCGTCGGAAAATGTTCGTGGAGCCAATCTTTACGCAACCGGTGGGTGTAAGTCCTTGTTATTTGGTGACAATAACAGGCGGAACACAGTCAAAACCCCTCACGATTGGCTAGCAAAGATTTCGTCATCGGAACTCACTCAAAACACTCTTCTGATTGGCTAGTTGTGTTTGGAAACTACCTTGGAAACTACTGACAAAGTATAAAAAGGGCAGTTCCTCCCCCAGCGGGTCTCTTTCGTTGCTCCTACAATACAAGTACTTTTGAACTTGCTCAGGGGTTAACGACGGAATTTACTGTTAAACGTTTAAAAAATACTTGTGTTATGACTCGCGGAGATCCTGTTTGTCGGAGGGAGGATTGTTCTCCCTTCGACATTGGCCTAGTTTTCGACGAGATCCACAACTACTCGCCGCATCAGAAGCTGGAGTTCGTCGAAAACGTGTGGAAACCAGGTGAGCTTTTTGATTTCCCCGTGTCAATGGAAAATGGAAAATCTCGTAAGTTTGTCTCGGGCTGGCTGAAAAGATTTCCATGGCTAGCTTACTCCAAATATTTCGATGGAGCATTTTGTTTAGCTTGTGTTTGTTTTGGAGTTCAGTGTGGGCGAAACGCTAATAAGTTAGACAAATTATTGAAGTCTCCTCTCACAAATTGGACTTCGGCCGCTTCTCGCTTAACCAAACACTCGCTAGGAAATTGTGAAATTCACAATTTTTCTATGACTGCTATGAATGATTTCAAGAGAATGATGCAAAGAGGAGCTGTCCCAATTGACCAGCAGCAAATCGCGAGAAATCGGGAGATTCTAAAGTCCCTTTTCAAAACTATTATTTTCTGTGGGAAAAACAACATCCCACTCAGGGGGCGGAGAGATGATGATCCCACTAATGCTGCCCTAACCGGTAATTTCCAGGCATTGCTAGAATTCCGGGTAGACAGTGGTGACCAAACACTGCAGCAACACCTGGACACTGCACCCAGAAATAACACATACATTTCAAAGACCATTCAGAATGAAATGATAGAAACTGTTGGTGCTCACATTTTGAATGATCTATCACAGGAAATAAGAAATAGTAAGTATTTTTCAGTTATGGCAGATGAAGCTGCTGACATTTCAAATAAGGAGAATGTTTCTGTAGTAATAAGATTTCTGGATACAACTAAAACCATCCGAGAAGAATTTATTGGGTATTACATTTGTGAGGAGGGATTAACAGGGGAGGCTATCAAGGACATTATAACTGCAGCTGTAGCAAACTTAGGATTGACAATGGAAGACTGTCGTGGGCAGTGTTATGATGGTGCAGGCAATATGGCTGGAAGACTAAATGGAGCCTCCTCATTGATCAGTGCAGAACACGAAAAGGCAATCTATGTCCACTGCATGAACCACAGGCTTAATTTGTGCATAGCAGACACTTGCCAATTGCCAATTGTCAGGAACATGATGGATATTGTGCGCAAGATTTCTAATTTTTTTAACAACTCTCCCAAGCGTCAACAACATTTAATAGCCAAGATCAGAGAACTATTGCCTCGGGCAAACCATACTGTTTTAATTGATGTGTGCCGCACACGATGGATTGAACGGATTGATGGAATGGACCGCATAGTTGAACTTCTCTACCCAGTCACAGCTACACTTGAAGACATCTCACTTAACAGAAACAGCCCTGGAGACTCAACCTGGAATCCAACAAGCAGACATGATGCTCAGTCCTTAATTAATGCAATCAACTTTTCCTTTATTGTTTCTCTTGTTATTGTCAGACATATTTTGGGATTAACTAGACCACTCACAGTGAAGCTGCAACAAAAAGCAATGGATCTTCTAAAAGCTAAAGATGAACTTGCTCTTTTGAAATCAGTCCTTGAAGACATGAGCACTGACATTGATAACAGACATCATAATCTCTACCAGGAAGCAGTGACCATTGCAAGACAAGTAGCAGTCCAGCCAGAAATGCCAAGGATAGCCCAGAGACAAATGCATAGAAATAATGCTCCTGCTGCAACTCCTGAGGGATATTTCAAGATCAATCTCACTAGAGTTTTTCTTGACCATGTACTCCAGCAGCTCAACACCAGATTCCAGGATGATGTATTTGTTTGCTATAAAGGTATTTCGATTATTCCCTCTGTTTTACTAGCTACTGACCCTGCCTGGAAGGCCAATGTTTTGGAATTTTGTAACCATTACAGACAGGACATACCAAATTATGCAGGATTACAGGCAGAGCTTTTGTTATGGGAGAGATTGTGGAAGGGGAGGGATAACAGAGGAGATATTATTCCTGACAGTTTGGAGGCTACACTGAAGGATATTGACAAAGATGCATATGTCAACATCTATTCCATGCTGAAAGTCCTGATCACAATTCCAATTTCATCTGCATCTTGTGAGAGATCCATATCATCCCTTTGGAATCTTAAGAACTATTTGAGAAATACAATGACCCAGGACAGACTGAATGGATTGGCACTGATGCATGCCCACAGAGACACGGATTTTGACCTTGAACGTATAATAGATTTATTTGCTGAGTTACATCCTAGGAGAATGAGAATGGCAAACATTTTGTAATAATTTTTTGTACCAGCTGTTTCTAGAGTACTTGTGAGTTATGTTCTGTCTGGGTTATGGCCTTTAAGTCTCATAATCCTTAAACTGATGGAGAACAGTACAGAAGCTCAAACTGGTGCCTGTGTAACTTTTTTCAACTCATTTCAAGGTTATTTTCTATTTTGTTTTACTTGTGATGATTTTCCATTGACATTGACATTGGGTTTTCATGTTAAGCTTAAATGGTTAACAAACATTTTCACTGAACTCAACCAGCTTCACAGCAATTCCCAAGGATGAAGAAAGGCTAGTATTATTTCAAATTATCATTTTACTTCAATTTGTATATCATTTTATGATTCTTATAATTTATATTTTTCTAATAATTGTTTTATTTTTTGAATTCCAGCTCCCAACACAGGCTAACCATCCATAAAGCCCTTCTCTCTCTCAAATTCTTTTCTGTGTTGTGCTCCTATAAATGAAATGAATAAAAGCCAGCTCAGGAAATGTTGTTTTTAGTGTTGCTAAACATTTGGATTTATTGAGCCTGGCTTTCATTCATTTTATTCATTATAGGAGCACAACACAGAAGAAATTTGAGAGAGAGAAGCGCTTTATGGATGGTAAGCCTGTGGTCCCAAGGATGAAAAAGGCAAGTAGATTTTTATTATCAATCTTTAAACTATATCATCAATTGTGCTTGTTTTTCTTTTGTTATCAAAAACACTAACACTTGGTTGGTTTTTTTTTCTCCACGTCTTGATTTTCCTGACTGGGAGGTGATGTTTTCCAGTGTGAAAAGTCTTGGTGATGACTTGGCCTTCCTGAAAACACTATATACACTGGTTTGCACAGTAGCTAAAGGTGGAATATTTGTAGATCAGAGTGTTTCCTGTAGTACTTTCAAGAAAAATAAATGTTTTTTGCCTTTTTGATTACATGCTTTTTTAGTCTTTTGGGGGCAATTAAATTTTCTAAAAATGCATGAAATGGCCTTTAGAGAGCTCCAAATTTCAAATTTTCTCGGGGGGGCATGCCCCCGAACCCCCCTAGCAGGAGTGGGTCCTCGGGTGGATACTACTCACTCAAAATCCTGGATCCACCCCTGGAAAACTTGCAATATACCGTTAATGCAGTCCTAAGAGGTAACGTCCTCATCAAAAATGGCCAAATGCAACTAACTGCATGGTAAAAAATGTTCACCTCAACGCAGATCAATGTTATGTTTATCATTGAAAATCGTTTCGAACTCTTCCCTTTGGCTGAGTTTTACTCCTTCATGACATTCTCGAGTTTGTCTGCCTTTTGTCTCAGAACTTTTGCAGCTTCAGATCCCTTGTTTTCAACGAGATCCCTGATGGTGAAGCCAAGGTCTATGGCATCCCACACCACGAATGCAACATTGACAGCAATGATGACTTTACCCACAACTTCACCGACTGCCTCGGAGCCCGCCCTAGCCCCTGCTTGGACCACGTCATCTGCAGCTTGAGCTCCAGCCTGACCCGTTGCTCGTACCACATCGTCAACAGATTGTGCAGCTGCCTTTCCCGCTCCTTGAGCACCACCCTGGGTTGCAGCTTTCACACTGGCCTGACTCGCTGCCTGTGCACAGGCCATTACCTTTTCTGTTACTTGTATTACCATTTTAGTAGGTGTTCCTACGGAGAGAAACACCAACTCACGAAGGATCTTCAAGACCACAGGACTTCCCAACTCCAGGGTCTTGGCAAGGTAATAAATATAAATAAGCCTCGCTCTTTCCTTGATCATCAAAACCTTCTGGACAATCCTGTTTACCTCGTTAACACTGTCTATAGTCTCACCAAGGTGTTTCTCGGCCTCTTTGATTTCAGCAGAATTTATCACCGCCTCGACGATAGCAGTCCCTAAGTTTGTAGCAGCTCCAGCGCCTCCAAGAGACAATCCTGCTATCAACAAAGGAGTAGCAGCCCCTGCTGTCAGTACTGTTGCAATTCCTCCACCGATTGTAAGAAGCCCACCCAGTATTCCAACGCTGGTTCCAACAGAATGAGATATCTTGCAGTCCTTCCATACGTCGTCTAGTTTCTTAGCCGCTGCACGAAGGCTCTCAATGGTCTCTTTTGCGTGGGAATTCATCTTCTCTGTTTTCTCTCGAAGCTCTCTTAAATCTCTTCTATCTTGCTTCTTTTCATCTTCGGGCAAAAGGTTGATCTTGCCAATGATTTCCTCTAGCTCACGGTCCATTCTTAGGCGCTCTCTCTACAATTTAACAGATGATCTTAGCATTGAAATAATTATTCAGATAAAAATACCATACAAGACAAATATGCAGCGAGGGAAAGATGATAGATGACCAAGTGGTCAATTTGTCACATCGAAAACCGTTTGCGTGCATTTCTGAACGGACATAGTTTAAGGCAAATCTTGGACAAATCTCTTCTGTCCATGCAAATAGTGGAAAACCCTAGATACTCCTTCCCTCCCCTCCTCCAACCCCTTCATTCTTAGTCGCCTTTCTTTGAATTTGTACCTTGATCCTGGAAATGTAATTCTTTTAAGACCTTCAGAGCAGAATAAATTTTTCCTCGATTGTCAGAGTTTATTGACCCCTCTCCCCAAAAAAAAATTAAAAAAAAAAACAATTCAAAACGAAACAAATCAAAAGGCTCCTTGTCTTTGTTTGGGGCACTGTCGAAAACTGTTCTGTAATCATTCTAATTTACCTCTTCCATGTCAGAGAGATCTGGGGCTTCATTTCTGTCCATTTTTTGTCAGTGGCACTGATCCTCTTGACAGCACGTTTAGACCTGCAATAAAATTTAAAACGAATCAGGCGACCGTGATATAATGAGAATAGTAATCATATTATCTGAGTAAAGAGATCAAGGAGAGTACATATGGAATTGACATCTTTTCTAGCTTATGAAATTTGATAAATGGCCTTAATACTTGTGGATATCTGTCTTTGGACATTTTCTGTCCCTCGAAGCCTTCTCCCCGAAGACAGTTCGGTCATTGGAAAGGTTATGTCTAAAGAGAAATATCCGAATATATTTCCTCGCTGAATGGAGGTTAAAGTTTATTCATAATAGTGCAAGGTGTTTACATTTAAAACTGGTAATAGCTTGAAGGTTCGACGCCATAGAATATTTTAAATCATAACTAGCAGAGGTCACAATGACAATCACCATTACTGTATAAAATTCTGGAACATTTAAACCTTCGCTAATGAGGCTTACGAAACACCGAAGGGTGGGTGCTTTATTAATAATGTTTTCATGAGTTTTCCAAGGTGTACCCCCGAAATAAATAACTGAATATTCGCCTTTTTGAAGTCTTAGGTATTACGATACTTTATAACGCTCGCCGCGACCATCAATCAATCAATCAATCAATCAATCATTTTATTTAGTGATGCAGGTTACAAAAGTGGCAGCCATGATGCTGATGTGGACCTACAACTAACTAATAAAATGTGAAATAATAAACAAAATAATTTGTAAAATCACCCCATGGTATTTGAATTTAGTACGTGTCAATGATGTTCATTGACAAATAAAAGTTACAAACTAATCTAGGAATTTGCGTACAGTATAATAATACTTAAAAATATACAAAATCTCGGTCTTTCATAGCTATCATAGGTGCTTCGAATGAGAAGCTATTAATGTTTTGCGAGAGCCTACGTAAAATTTTTTTAAAACTGTCTTTTTGAACGTTTGCATTAAAATTTATCAACCTAGTAATAAAATTCCAGATTACGGGGCCTCTGTATTGTGCTGATTCCTTTCCCACATAGTACTTCACCCTAGGGATTTCAATCTGTAACCCACCCCTACGTGATGGTCTGTTGTCTAACTTCAAATTAAAAGGGGGGTACAGAACTTTACCATTTAAAATATCATGCACAGGAGAAGGAGTCTTCTTTAATATATATAAGAAATTGGCAACCAATTTAGCTTTTCAAGATTTTAATCCTGGTGGATAACTCGTGTGGCTCTCGTTTGAACAGGGTTTAAAGAGTCCATAATAGAGTAACTGCAGTTTCCCCACACCACAATACCATGAGTTACAGCTGATACAATGGATTTGAAATAAATTTCCTCCAGCACTTTGACAGGAAGCTTCTTCATTCTTTTTAATGCACCCACTTTCTTTGCAAAAGATTTCTTCACATGGTCTACATGCATTGCCCATGTAAGCCTATTGTCAATGACTCATCCCAAACATGTGGTGTGATTCACAACATTAGTAAAATCAACCAAGATTAGACATGTTTACAATTTCGATTGACCGTACTTTGTAATTAAGAAAGAGACTCAGGGAGCCAGAAAAATTTAGCATTTGGTTTAGCTTGACTCGGTTTCTTCGACCAAAAATCCGGCTTGAAGAGGGACCTGGCTGATCTCTGTATAGGGAAGAAAATGTCTTCTTTGACGCGGCCATAAGATCATCGAGAGATGACGTTTCTCGCCCGAAAAAATTTGCTATTGTTCAAATCAAATGTTCCTGTTACAGCAAAATTCGAAAAAACGACTAATTCCTTGAAATTTGAATAACGCTGCAAAACGAATGGTTACGACCAAGTACTACGGTTAGTCAAATTGTACCGTTCAAATCTTGTTCAGGTTATAAAGTTAAACCACTCCAGAAACCAAAAGAGCAACGCACAAGTAATGAATGAAAAGCAATTATCATAATGTGTCAAACAAAATCGTTGCGTTTATATCGTCTGTTCGCTTGCCGAAATCACGCATAAACGTCCTTGCGGTAAAATAAAAAAGCGAGAATTTCGCAAGTCAACAAAAATATTTCAAAAAAAGTTGAGAATCTGTAACGTTACTGACGAAAAGAATATTTTATAATTATATAATAAGCATTCATGGGTGGTAGCATAAACGTTATTTAGGAGTGATATTGTAGGAAAAACAAACTGAGTAAATGTCACATCAGCTGTACTGACACATGTGTTATGTTATGATGAATTTCGAAGCATCATTCGCACCCATATAGATCACAAAATCCATGTGCAGTTCATAGGATTACAGATGCGTCACACTGACGCCAGAAGCTCGATATGCTGCGCCTCGTGTGCCACTTTTTTGTTCTTACCACATTTTGACGTCATCTGTGATCTATTACTGAACAGACGCACGGCAACTTGGAATCTATTTGTTAAATAGAGCATAGAGCTGAGCTAAAGCTGTCACGCCATCTGCCAAATTGTACTATGTTCGACCTTCTCCGGGACTTCTTTTTAGCTTTTTTCCGATAATTGAAAGTGAAATTTCGGAACCAGCGAGCCGGCAAGTCGCAACAGAAGAACTAAACAAAGGTTTGTAAACATACCAGGCGCCGTAATTTATGTTATTAAAATGTGAGCAGGTACGAAAATCCTCAGGAAAAACAAAATAGACATTCCGAGTTTTAAAGATTTTCACGCTCAGTTAGATTGCAAGCTTTTTTTACGTACGGTAATACAAATCAAACTCGGCTAACACTCGAATAGTATATAAAGTTCAATGTTCAAAAACAAAACAGAACAAAACAGAAATGAAGACAAATATAACCAAACTGGCATAACTGTTAAAATTCATTCTCATCATGACGGTGTCTGAGCGAATATGATCATGCAAAAGTCCATCGCGGCTCGCTCATCATGGCGATCTCCAGTCATCACAGAAAAGCAAGCCTCAGAAACTACATCGGTCGCCCTTCGAGTGAAAAAATAAGAGCTTGCCCTGATATCCTTTCCGATGCGTTGAGTGGAAAGTCACGTCAGTCACTGCAGCCTAGTTCTGCGGCGCTGTCATCCCGAGCGATCTTCATGTTAGCTTCATGTTCCAGTGAATTTGGCTGTCGTTCATTCAAAAAACACTCGCCTTGAACAGTTTGTTTTCTACCTTGTCATGTGAAAAAACTCGCGTGTTTTTATGAGCCATGATTCGGCTGAAGTTCACTGAACATTTCACTTCAAGATTCTGTATTAGAAACTTAAAAACTTCAGGCAAAAGTGTTAAATTCGACCTGCCGAAGTATTTTAGTTTGTAAACTATCGCAGAATGTGAACTTTGATGGTTTTTTAACTTTGATGGGTTGACACTTTTGACAGCTTTAGTCTTGTACATCCAATCAGATTATTTGAACTATTCTAACAGGGATTCTGATTGGCTTGTTGTAGCTTGCTTTATGAGAGTATAGAGCATGCTGACGACACTTGTTCGCTTTGGAAATAAAGTTTGCTTTGAAAATTGAAAGTAATGCTCGGAGAATTTAACGGATTCTTTATTGTAAAACAAACAGAGAAGCCTTGACTGTGCTCCGTTCTGTTATAAAGCACTTAGGAAGCGGCTAGAGCACGAAAGAAGTGTAGGGAGAAACACGAGACTACGTCTACGTCTACGTCTACGTCTCGTGTTCAGTGACTCACTCGGCTGCGCCTCGTGTGTCATTTTTTTGTTCTCACCACATTTTGACATCATCTGTGATTTATTACTGAACAGACGCACGGCAACTTGGAATCTATTTGTTAAACAGACGTAAAAACTCTTCAGATTCTCAGTCTGCATTTTGTACCCACTCTGCAGTCTGCAGTCTATATTTTGTATCCGGCCTGCAGTCTGCTGTCTGCATTTTGTAGTAAAAGGTATCCGTGGCACCAATACAGTTTATTTTTTGTGACATTAATTCGCACAACACATATAATCTACCACAAAATACCTATGTGTGAGGTAATTCGACATTTTCGTTCTTTTCCGCGTTAATACTCTTCTTTCCTTTTGTAAGAATGTAGACCACTTACAATGTTTCAAGTAATCCACCCACCCTACAAAAAAATAACTCTTGTATGCAGAACATGTCTGTGTTTTGAAATAGGTGTATGCCCTCAGCCAGACTTGAGCTCACTATTTCAGTATACTAGTCCGACACCCATACTATCACTACACTTGATTCCAAGGATCCATTACCATCCAGGTATCCCAGTTACCCTGCTCACAGGGTCTAGTTCAGGAACATTTTGCAGTCAGTTTTAGGTTGGGTAGCAGAACATTCAATTTTCATCTTCAAATTCTGGATTTCATTTACATCTTTCGTTCTTAGAAAAATGATATGAACAGTTGAATTATCGTTACAACACAGTGACACCGAAAGGTAGCTGTTTGGTCTATGGTGAGAAACAGAACGTAAATAAATCGCCTCACAGATTATGATATCCATAATAATTAAACTGATATTCCATTTTACGAAAAAAATGTAGTAGATACAAAATGAAGTGAGCAATCTTATTTCCTCCGCCGATTTCGAATTTACTGATTCATGGTCTTTCATTGAAGCGGATTGCAAGAGAATTTTTATCTTACAAACGAAAGACTCTTTCAACTTTCCACTTTACCACCTCTTTTGTAAGTTTAGTTGTGGTCGATAAAAGCTGGAAACAGCTTAAAAATTTAACGCTAGAATTATAAAGCAACGTTTTTGCAAAACTGGTGTTTGATGAGGTTCTGCTCCACAACTGAGCTACCTTGTATTAACCGATCAGCCACTTGAGGAGGTATCGATGCACTGATTAAACACTCCAGACATTCTAATAAATTTCTTTCAAGCTTCCACGCGAGAGCCCATCAGATTTCAAATCTTTTGCCGCAGACAAGCTTCGCTGATTGGTTCACTTTTTAATAATTCTCTATTAATGAAAACAGGGACTTTCCCATTTGTAAACATTAACTTCCTGTTTTGATGTTGTCATGCAAACAACCAGTCAGGGTCTTCAGACGCCTTGCACCTGGATGTCCAAAGTCCCTATGATGCACATCTCGTAACCAATTGTTTTTAAAAGAAAAGGGTGAAAAATTCTCTTCTAGTCAAATGTACAATGCTATTCTGATAAACCTGTTTTACTGTAGAAGTTTTTGCAAATCAGCCCTCAGGGTAACGGTGTAAACACGTGATGTTCACGACATTCCTGCTTTGCTGATTGGTTTATGTTTTTATAATTCTCTCTTAGGGCAAACAGGAACTTTCCCTTTCGTAAACATTAGATCAGATGTCTTTTAGGAAAAAATTCCTTGTAAACGTGATGTTTTCTTAACGATTATGGTTGGATTACGCCACAGAAATTCGGGTGGAAAATTACCAACCATCGCAAAATTCGCATTTGGTTCACGCTTTTACTCCGTCAATAGAAAAAGTTTAGCGTCAATACTTCTAAAACAATTCCTTGAACGTTCTCCTTGTCGGACTGCCCCCCCAGAAACAATTTCTAATGGAAACAGTATGAAGGTAACTTTGAGCATATGCTAAATGAACCTCAGTCCGCCGTGTAAATTCCGTCTCATTTTACCAGCAAAGAGCTCCTCTTACTTGATCAAAACCACGTCACGCACCAAAGAATAACACTAATGCATTTTACACTGTTTTTGGCGAAGTCTAAGATATACATGAAACACCATTCGAATTGACACTGAATCGACACTGCTACTATTATTTTTATGATTCCTCAAAATTTACAAAAAAGGTGAACAGTACTACCGTAATTTCCGTCCATTAACCCGCACGGCAGATTACCCGCATCGGTCAATTTTTGCAATAGCGAGAAAAAAGTTTTAACAGATTACCCGCACAGGCAGATAACCCGCACCCAAAAGCAAAATAAAATCGTCGACACAAACAAAGTTCCTCCATCGTTTTTGTTGACATGATACGCTTACGCGTGCAATTGATAAATTTTCACACTTTTGTCTTCGCTGTTTCATTGAGGATGATACCAATTGTAAAAATCTGTTTAAAAAAAATGGATATCACGAGATCTACTGAGTCGGAGAAATCGCTTGAAACGGGAAAATACTCTTTAACTCAAGGCAGTGCTAGCTAAGAAAATTTCTCTGATGCGTCGAATATTCTGTCGCGCTAATTAATTATGCGGCGCCACAAAACCAACATGTCGGCATCATTTTCCGTGTGAATTGTCCTGAAGACAGTCTTTTCACCGTAGTTGAATTCTTTAATTTCCAAGTTCACTTCCCGTGTAAGTGAGAAGTGCTTTTTTGAACTAAACAAAGAAACAAGCTGTTTTTAACTAAACTGGAAGCTTTAAAGATTATTGTAACGGTGATCGAATACTTTCCGAATTGAATACAAACAGAGACTTTAAAAATGGTAGTGGCAATTGAATTCATCAACAATTTATAATGCTATGAACGGATATAATTAGTTCTTGCATAATATTCATGAACGACTTTAAACTAAACATTTTCGCTTCTCCGAGTGCTTAATCTACAAAGAATCATCAAAGAGTATATATCATTTTGTCAGGGCAAAAAAGAGAAAAAAAAACTCTGAAAATAATCTGCGGTAAAACCACTCGGTTGTGCCCCTTGGTTTTACTTTCGTTTTAAATATTGTAGACGTCATTTCAATGATCAAAAAGGTTAGAGACTGTGGAAAATTGTGTTAAATTTGTTAGGTAACATTAGTTCGATCGGATCCGTTAAATTTGATGGGAACTACTGTCTCGCTCTTAAAGCGCAATTAAAACAAATCATAACCACTATGGGCTTCTCGGTTGCATATCACGGATAAATCTTTAGAACATGATGTGTTTCGGTGTTCAGGCGAATAAGTGGTAGTCTTCCGTGAAATATTTCTATGTCGAAGCCCTTAGTCTACGAAGATCAAGAGTTACAAAATCATTTCCCGAACCTCCCGACTACTGTCTTACATAACGAACGGAAACAAACTGATGGCCTTCCAAAAGGAAGCAGCTTTTTGTGATAAACGGATCACGAGAAATATTTCAAAGAAAAAAAAACTGTACCCAATTAAAAGGAAAAATTGAGGTGGTAGAATAGCCCTGAATATAACGCAGCTTCGCAAACTGAAATGATGTTTGAGCAGTAACCTTTGGCGCACCGATCGCAAATGTCCGGGGGTTTATACGAAGAAAATTAATCGTTTCACTGTACTTTATTAATCACTGCTTCGGCCATTTCAAAATCAAAGAAACTAAACCGTAAAATATAGAAACAAATTGCAAACCTCGTGATAGATCAGGCCCTGCTCAACTCAGCTTCTTCAAACGCCCTCGCCAGCTACTGGAGGAGAAACCTGCTTCTTCGGTACAAAGTGCAGTCAACTTATAGATCTGCCTAGAGACCAAAACATTACACAAACAAATCCTTTTATTGATTCTCTTAGTGTAGAATTCCGGTTGCGCCTCGTGGTTTCACTTTCGTCATGAAAATTGTTCTTGTCCTGTTTAAATGAATACGATAACTTTTAAAAACAGTGATAAAAAGGCTGATCTTCGAAAGAAATGCAAAGCAAAGCGCTGCGAATTTATGGCTTTTTAATTGATCTCAACTTGGCGAATATGAAATTTAACTTTGAACCGTTGCGACAAATTCATCCTTGACTCAGCCATGGCAGTTAAAGGATTTGCAACTATAATTTTGAACCTTCTTAAATTGAACTGCGCCGCAATCATTTGCGTAAGTTTCCTGAACATTAAGAAAGCTGCCTCGCTGTATCGAATTTTCGCGTAACGTTCAGGAAGGAAAAAGTCTGCATCATTTTCTTTATATTGCCGATATCCTCTCGCTCTGAAAGGGGGTTTGTGTCTTATTGACGCGTGAAGAGATGTAGAAATTCAAGTGGTAAGTGAGCTTCGTGCAGTAAAAGGAAGAAACATAAGACAAACCTTGTGGTGGGTGCTCGGTCCTTCCACCTGAACTCAACACGGCCCTCGTACAAAGCAATCACCTGCTTGAAGCCTTCCTTTTCTCTGATCAATGTTTTCGCATACGCGCGTATACATGGTCATCAGGTTTGGAAGGAGCCAATCAGACCTCAAGCTTTAAGGGTGTGGCTTGCAAACAAATATATCGTTTTGATTGGTTCATGCATTTCGCTTCGATAGAAAGGGGACTTTCCCCAGCATGTGTCTTTTGCTTTGATCAAACACCGCTATAAAAACAGAAAAACAACTTCGATGTTATGGTAGATATTTCGAAGACTAACTGCCTATTTTTTTGGTAAGATATCACTAATGCGCTTTTCATTAATGTCGATGATGCCCTAAAGTTTTCACAACGGCATGATAAACAGGTCTAAGAGTAACACAAACGGCTGATATGAGGCTCATTTTTCCCATGAATAAATTATTACTCAATTATTACTTGCTCAAAGGGCAAAGTCCTAGTGTAGGTCTCAGCTGAGTTCTTTTTACGAGTGGGCTAGCCTAAGTGTAGCTGTACCCTGCCCACGCCAAGGTGAAACGGAAGCGAGAAAACATCTGCGCAAACCTGACACTCACGTGTTCTATGGGGTCATTCTAAGTTATGGAAAATTGTGTAACTTGATAATATTTTTTACGAAGTGGCACGTTTTAGCGTGAAAGGTCATCGAGATAAACAACGATATTGAAGAGAATTAATTTTCCATTTTTCGAGTAAATTTGCAATTCAGCGTACGAGTTCAAATATATAATTTAATTTAAGGATAAAGAAAAGGTTATGAGCGATTTTTGGTATAGAGTGAGATGAGGACGATGTTCAATTAGCATCGCGCTTGCGATAGTAGATTTTCACGTCCACGCGGTTTCTACTTGCATATGTAAACAGTGCCACGGTTGTCGAAAAAAGTTGGACATTTGCCGCAGAATCTCAAGGTTTTTACAGATTTCCTAGAGAGATAGTTATGCTGCAAGCGTGAAATAAGAGCGACTCTTTTCTCAGTCCAAAGAATCGCTGCAAGAAACAACTAGCTTTATTTCAATAGCTTCGCAGCACCGTTCGCAAAGAGTCCGAAAGTTAGAGGCAGACAATCCTCTGGCCCAAGTCCGTTAAGATAGTGCCGACTAGTCTTCTAAGGGCCTATTTACACGGTACGACTTTGTCGCATGCGACAAGCTTACGACAGGCCTACGACATGACTTAGGACAATTTACACGCGCACGACATTTTCACCTACGACATGCCAAAATCGCGTGCAATTCCACTCGTTTCGGCCGCGGTCATTGTTTCAATAATTTGCAAGAGAAGGAAAAGAACCTCTTCCTCGCTCCGGAGCAACTTCAGAATACCCCGCAACTCATTTACATGTCATTGAATAAGAATAGCGTCTATTGTGTTATGCCTCGATCTTCAAAGCCTCCCGACACATGTAAGTGAGGCGGACCAAAGTTGCGGGGTATTCTGAAGTTTAGCCCTCGCTCCACAGTGATATCATATTCTCTGTTTCCTCATCTGAGAATGTATTTTTCGCTTTGGAAGCAGTCTTCGACTCTCCGGAGGCGACTTCCTCCGCCATTTTGACGCAAAAAAATTTCACCTTCCTCCCCTATTCAGTAGAAATTTGTCACAAAATACGTCATTTTCTATCAATTTCGGGTACGATTGTCGCAGCGTTTTAAAACATGTTTTAAAATCTTACGACATTTTTCGTGACGTGCACGACAGTCGTAAGCGAGTGGTAGGTTTGATTTACACGATACAATTCGTGTCGTAGGCCTGTCGTAAGCTTGTCGCATGCGACAAAGTCGTAACGTGTAAATAGGCCTTAAGAGAGCTTTATTTGGCGGTACAATAAATATAGTGACCGGTTTCTTCTAGAGAAGAGAGGCTATGAATATTGTTGGAGACTGTACAATACGTTAAATATTCTTGTTTCATTAACATTCATAAGTGATTTTGTTTATCTATACATAACCAAACAAGCATGCATGCGGCACTTGTTTTATCGCCCCATATATGGCACTGTTCCAACTACTTGTTTTTAAAGATAAGGGATGAAAATTCTCCTCTAGTCAAATGTACAATGCTATTCTAATAAACCTGTTTTTCTGTAAAATTTTTCCAAGTCAGCCCTCAGACTCACAGTGTAAGCACGTGATGTTCACGACATTCCTGCCCCCTCATTCTTGAATTTGTCTTTGTGAGATTTTTCCCAAAAAGAAACACGTACCGACATGTTCTGATTGCTCAGGATTAGATATTCATTTAAAACGTTTTCTTTATATGATGATGATTTAATGATTTACGAAGAGAGATAGAGTTGACTCATGAAAATTACAGCTTCAACGATAAAATGCTGTAATACGCTTAAATGTGAAATAACTGAAGCGATTTTAAATTGAGCTGTTTATCTGAGCCAAGCGTGCAAAAGTTTGGAATTGCATCGTCAGTTTTTGCGTATCAAAGACTCGAAGAGAGAAGAGGTTCCAAGACTCATTTATCCTAATAGCGTTGGTCTCTTGTCTTTTTTTTTTTCCAGATCGGTTACAAGCAGAAAGTTCCTACACTGATCTTGAGGAACCAAGCCGGATCCACGCATTATACATGATTTAAAAAAATGGAGATGACATTAAACCGTTACTCAGAAGAAAAGCTCACGAAGCCAGTAGGTTTCATGCCAAATCCGACGCGTGAAGAAAAAGTTTCGGATTGAAACTTCGAAAAATTGAGACAATTTAATTTTTGAGCCTTGCCACAACCTTTCCAGAGTTAGTCCAGAGTTAGTCAAGAGTTAGTCGTTGAAATAAGTTAGTGCTGTAGGTTAGGCATTGCGCAAAGCACAAGTCAGTGGTGTGTTTCGTAAATCGATGATGTTCAGCAATGTGATTGTCGACGTCAGCTTTCCTCGTCGCTCGCTTGTGTTCAGTCAGTCTTGCGAGCTTTCTTCCAGTTTCTCCGAGACAGGAAGCGTGGCAGTCGGAGCAATTGAACTTTACATTTTTTTTTAAGAAGCAGGTGAAGACGGGGTGCAATGTTTGTTTTTCGGTGGTTCCTTGTCTTTCATGTTTGTTAGTGTTGCACTATGTAATCGTCACCTTCGCACTCGCACAGCACGCACACCCATGCAATTAGCACGAGCACCGCACTTTGTATCACTTATAATAATTTCATAATGGGTAAAGGTTGTCAGTTTTAACATGGAACGGAGCGAGTAACATAAGTAACTGACGAAGTGAAGTGATGAGCATGTGAGCGACGCGGATACTGAAGGGTTGTAATATGCGCTAGATGTTCTCCAACTGATGTCCTTTATGTACGGTATGGTCGCTGTGGTTGTAGCTTATTCTACGAGAACAAATACCTTAACCGTGTTCTTTCGAAGAACAACTAAAACGAAAACTTCATCCGACGATGCACTCATCGACTTGCAACAAATACCGAAACAAACGACACCGCAACTCTAATGACTACACTCACCCGGAAATTTAGTCCAAACCATCACACTTAAATGATAGTTGTTCGCTGGTACTTAACCCACTTGGCGGTCCTTTGAAAGTACTTTCACCTTGGCGGGTGATATCGAGAAAAATGTCGGAGAGTGTGGACGCTTTGTAATGTTCTCGTTTTTATGATAAGCAAAAAATATCTACGTTCAACAAAGGAGACTGGAGAATCCTTGTCAGTAATAACCAGGAATAACAAGAGAAGTTTTTAAATTTTAATCCTTGCTGAAAAAGAAATATCTATTATCAACATAACATAAGTCTCTCTTAACTGTGAAAACAGCGACGTTATTGAATCGTTCCTTCGTTTCTGGGTTGTTATAATGAATATACATGTGATCTGCAATCATTACAAAACCTTTCAAAGGTGAAAAACTAAAGTTCTTTAAACTAGTGTTACCCACATCTCTTGCAGCGGTCTTTCTGGGCTTTTGACCGTTTTTATGTCATTTTGAAGTTATGTTTTGCTAAAAACTTCGAGAATATCAAATTTGTAAAATGCAAAACACTGACTCAGCATTTTTTGCTTACTTTCTTTGTTATTCAGTTACTTACAATATTAGGTCTGTCAACTGGCCTCACGCATGCAGATTAACCCTTTAACTCTAGACGTGATTTACATGAAACTTCTCCCCATAACATCCATACATTAATCAGCAAACAGGTACTGAGAATATTCAATCTCATCAGGTAGAATTTACAAGGAAATGTTGAGCAGCTAAAGGGGAGAATTAACAATCAGTCTTGGGATTTAAAGGATTAAAGATTCCTACATCATGTCAGCTTATGGCAGCTGACCAAGCCAGTACGTCTAGAGATAAAAACTCGAGCTATCCCAGCCTTAATTGACGCAGTTTTCAAGAAATGTACGGGGAATCAAGAGAAATTCCAATCAATAAAATCTTAACGGAGAACACACCATACAACTGATGGAAACCTTCGAACATGGAGGGGAGATTACTTCTGACAATTTGGCGTAGACTCATCAGGACACCTTTGAAATATTCGGAACGGCTTACGAAATAAGTGGAAAACCTTCGAAAATGTCTGGACGGCTCGAACAGGACTGGGTTCATCGTAAAGGTTCTCTATGCAGTTAGTACAAAAAAGCTTTGAAACTTAGTGACATTGATTCCATCATTTGTATCTCTTTACATGACTGTACGTTACTGATAGTGTTTTGTGTTTAAGTAATTTAAGAACATTTAATCACTATACTGAAACTGAGAGTCAATAATTGAATGTTTCTCATCTGAAAGAGTCTTATTTACGTCTATTCATCAGAGTTCCTTGCCTGTTTCACTTCTTAAGTAAATCCTCGAGTTGCTTTGCCTTCCTCCTCAAATCTTTTGCTGCCTCGGATCCTTTGTTTTTAACAAGATCTCTGACCGTGAATCCAAGGTCTATGCAATCCACCATCAGGAATGCAATGTTGGCTGCAATCAAGACTTTACCAGCATATTTCCCTGCCGACTTGGACCCTGCTTTGGCACCTGCTTGTGCCACGTCATCAGAAGCCTGCAGTCCTGCTTTTCCCACTTGAGCCATGTCATCAGCCACTTGCAATCCTGTCTTTCCTACTTGTGCTGCGTCATCAGCTAGTTGGGCTATTCCTTTTCCCCCCTGTGCACCGACTTCTGTCAAGAGTTTTGCTCCGGCCTTTGACGGGGCTGCAGCGGCAGATAACCTTTTCAGTATGTTGATGGGGATCCCGAAGACAGTGGATACTACGTCATGAAGCAGGTTTAGCAGGACGGGGTCAACAAACTCGAAGGCTTCTGCAAGGTACAAAATGTAAGCAATCCTCGCCATCTCTTTCTTATCCAGCCAACTCTGTACAGTCGTAGTTACAACGTTGATGCTGTCTAAAGCCTCCCTCCAGAGTTTTTCAGCTTTCTCTATTTCAGAAGAGTTTATGGAAGCCTCCACACAGCTTGTCCCGATATTTGTGACAGCCCCGCCGACTCCAAAACCCAGTCCAGTCAACAGAAATGGCGTGGCAGCACCCCCCGACATTACTATACCACCAAGGGCGAGGCAACCCGAAATTATTCCACCAGTTGTTCCAGCAGCGTGTGCTATCTTACAGTCCCGCCATACTTGATCCAGTTTATCAGCCGCTGCACGAAAACTGTCTACGGTTATTTGGATTTTGACACGCGCATCCACCGTCTTCATTTGAAGGTCATGTAGACCACTCCAGCACTGTTGCCTTTCAGCGTCAGACAACTCATTTATCCCTCTGACGGCATCCTCCATATTGCTGTCTATTCTTGCGTCCATTCTGCAAACAAAAATTTCCTTTATATGATCATTCAGAATTATTGTCAGTTAACCCTTAAAGAGTGACTAGCATCTAGTTTCTCCTCACAATATCACTCCTGAATCAACCATGAAGGTCACAATAAAAAACGAAATGATCACCAAGCAAAGAAGCTCTTAAATTTTAAACAAATTCTCCTTATCAGTACCCTAGGAATGTATAGAGAACAGTATGGAGAATATTCATACTGATATTTCTATGTTTAAGGTTAACACATGTTTTTTGTGGATTCACTGAAAAAGGCATAGCTTTCCATAAAACGAGCTCTTATCATGATAAGGATTCTGAAACCATAAACCATGAGCTCACTTCGGTAGCTGCTCCAAAAGAATTTCCCAGAAAACGAAAAATTTCCCAGATGACATGAATTTATCAAGCAGAATCCTTGGGAAACTTGTTCAGTATCGCGGATTTTATTTTTTGCAGGCAACTATAATTTATCAGTAAAGAGTTAATTAAGTTTTGAAAATTCAGAATGAACTTTGGCCATCAGCTCTTGAGGCGTTAGTTGTTTCTTAGAAATTCCTTGACCGTATCATAACTGATTATTAATATTCACAGCTTTCCCAGAAATGACAGTGTGTAGAATACAAACATATCTTCGTCACAGAACCAGTGTTTATATATTTTACCAGGGAATAGTCCATCGAAAATGTTTCCACATTCTGTACAAATGGAAATTTCGTGGAAAATTACCAAACTATCGCAAAATTTGCATTTGGCTCACGCTTTTAACTCCGTTATTAGAAACAGTTTAGCGTCAATAATTCTCAAACAATTCCTTGAACGTTTTCATGCTCGGATTGCCTCCCAGAAACAATTACAGATGGAAACAGATATGAAGGTTAATTTGATCGAGTAAATGGCAAATGAACCGTCTCACTCTACAAGCAAAGAGCTTATCCTTCAAGATCAAAGCCACGTCACGCACCAAAGAATAACACCAATGCATTTTGAAAAAATGGCCATGCATATCAGATAATGAAACGGTCAAAAGTGCTACACTGTTTTTGGCGAAGTCCATGAGTTACATGAAACACCATTCCCATCGACAGTGAGTCGACACTGCTCCTACTATTTTTATGATTCCTCAAAATTTACGAAACGGCAGTTAACAGAAGTATGGATGATCGAATACTTTCTAAGTTGAATACAAACAAAGATTTAAATGGCGGTGGCAATTGAGTTCAACGATGATCCACCAACAATTTATAATGCTAGATAGAATGCTAGGATAGAATCACCTCTTGTATAATATCCACGACGGAGTTTCTTATAAACATTTTCCCTTGTTCAAGTGCTTAAGCAACAAAGAATCGTCAAAGAGTATGCAAATAAGAGAAAAACAATTCTGAAAATAACTCTGCAGTGAAAGCACTCGGTTGCGTCTCGTGGTTTCATTGTAGACGTCATTTCTAGGATCAATAAGATTAGAGAAAATGGAAAATTGCGGTAAATTTGTTAAATAGTATTACTTCGATCGGATCCGTCGAATATGATGTTTAACTGTTTCGTTCTTAAAGCACAATAAAACAAAATCATAATTATTGTGAGCCTCTCGGTTGCATATCACTGATAAATCCGTTGAATATGATGTGTTTCTGTGTTCAGGCGAATAAGTAGCAATATTTCATAGCAAAATATTTATTTATCAAAGCCATCAGTCTACGAAGATCAAGCTTAAAAAGTCATTTCTCGAACCTCCCGACTACCGTCCTGCATAACAAATGAAAGCAATGTGATGGCCTTCCCAAAGGAAGCAGCTCTTGATGATAAACGGACCGCAAGAAATATTTCAAAGCTGAAAAACCGCACCCAATTTTAAAAGAATTGAGGAGGTAAAATAGCGCTGAATATAAAATACTTTCATAAACTGAAATAATGTTTTACCAGTCACCTTTCGCCCACCGGCCGATCGCAAACGTCGAAGGTTTATTCGAAGAAAATTAGTCGTTTCACTGTACTCTATCAATCACTGCGTCAGCCATTTCAAAATCAAACAAACTTAACCTTACAATGAGGAAACACACTACAAACCTCGTGATAGATCAGGCCTTGCTCAACTCAGCTTCGTCAAACGAACTCGCCAGCTGCTGGAGGAGTAACCCGCTTCCTCGATACACAGTGGAGTCAATTTATAGATCTGTCGAGACAACAGCGTCACACAAACAAAGCCTTTGATTGGTCCACTAATTATAGAATTCCTAGAATAGGGGCTTTCCCCGTATTCAATGTGGTGTTTGCTTCGATCTTACCTCGACTTTTTAAGAACACAATGGGAATGAAAATAACACTTATCAGATATTTTTGTGCGAAATGTCCCTCGTGCATGTGATGAGGGTTTACTATGACCGGTCTGCCGCTTGAGGAGTTACCCCTACGTCGAAAATAACACCATTGCAACCAAATAAGTTAACTTAAAACTTCCAGATGGCGGCAATCAGATACTCCTTTGTTGACACAGACAAGCTTCACTGATCAGTTCACTTTTTATAGTTGTCTATTAATGGAAACAGGGACTTTCCCTTCTGTAAACAATAGCTTACTGTTTTGATGACGTCGTGGAAGCAGTCGGTAAGGATCAACTGGCGTTTGATGAACAAAGGTGCCTTGTGACCGGGTGTCCAAAGTCCCTGTGATCGATGCAGTAGTCTTCGTCAAGTCTCAATTTAAACTTTTGTGAAAGATTACGGATAGAAATGCTCCTTTGAATGCATGTTCGATGCTATGCTGAAATGCTGTATTCGGCTTGAGATGATGAAGTGATTCAAAATTAAAGGTTGTTTTATCAATCAAGCGTGTTGAAGAATTTGAAATCATTCCAGTGTCGGGATTGCGTCATCAAAGGTCATAACAAACCTTTTTTTAAAATCTTAATCTTTTGCTGTGTGCTCTAAATCGGAGAAAGATGCATCCATATTCTTCTGGAGAAACGGTTAAATTATAAATAGAGCTCTTTTTGCGAGAAATTCATCTTCTGTCTCTTATCCTCGACGTCTCATGTTCTTTCACTTAGTATTGTTGCTTTTCATGTATTACGATATTTATTTGCCTCCGCCGGGTATTTTTTTATGTCACTAGTATTAGAGAGTAGAAAATGGAAAAAGAAATTAGATGAATGTATAAAATCGGGTTCTGATTGGTTCATTATTCTTCTGTTGCGTGCAACGCAAATGCAAAATGAGAGAGAAGCCACCCATTCTTATTTCGTACATCGTTTCAACCTCGATCCCAGGATCTCTCCTGTTCTCGCTCTCCAAAAAGAGAGTCTAGCTCATGCATTCTTGACTTATTACTGCATAAATTTTACTCACGGTCTACATTGTAAATCGTTGAGTGGAGCAAAACTTTGACAACAAATTTGATATAAACTCTGTGATCCTGTCACAATGATTGTGCTAGTTAAGAAAAAGTAAATGGTATTGATTAAGCAATTGGACTCCACAAAGTGAAATGTCACTATAGGCCGCTGGATATAACCTCCACGACTATGCCTTGTCAAGTCATGGAATACACTGGATAACGGCGGCTGCTGTTTTTCTTTGTTATGTTCGTTTATTTTTCGAATAAGCCACAGCATACATTTTCATTGAAACAAACAGAATCTAAAAGCAAAACCTACACGTTTTAATCACAAAATTTAATTCTACGGCCAGTGAATTTTTCTAAGTACAGTCGAACCTCGATTATCCGGACATCGATTAACCGGACTTTTTCTCTGGTCCCGTTTTTTTCATGAATATTAATGACCTTAGATGTTAAAAACTTTAGGAGGTAAAAAAATTCAGAAATTATGTTAAAAGTCAGGAAAATTGCGTTTAAAACAGCCCATTACACGCTCCGCTTTCGAAAGATCGAGCGCTCGGAGACAAAAAGAGACAAGAAGTATTCCAATGCGTTCAGCTGAATTTTGATTTGTTCAGTATTGTTTTGTTGCTAAGCTGAGCGTGGGTTATGTAAACACACGAGACGATCATAACTCAAAACGACAACATGTCCACGAAGCGAAAGCGATCTGTTGAAGCAAACTTTTAGAATTAAAAATGTGTTATCTTTATTTCTTTTGTTTACATTGTCTCATTAATATTCATATTTTCGATTATCCGGACTCTCGATTATCCGGACTATTTACCCTAGTCCCACCGAGTCCGGATAATCGAGGTTCGACTGTAGTGGTACCATTAAGTAGTTACATCAGAGTAAGTATTTCCTTACTGTTTACTTACAGCTCTGGAATACAACAGTACTCTGACTTATCATGTATAGCACTGGATTACTACAGTACTGTTGTTTCCCATAGTGATGTCAACAAACGGCTATGAAACCAGTAAAATATAGCTTCCTTTTCAATAAGAAGTTCAGTACTCATTTTAGGTCATTGTTTTTTTCCCTCAGGCTTGGCAAAATTTTAGGCGCCAAATGTGCCAAGTCACACCACGGTGCGTTTTTATTCTGGATTCTTTCAAATCTACTTAAGCTCCCAAATTTTAATAATCAAAGCGTATGCGGCGCCAGATCCTATATTTTTAAAAGAAATCTTTGATCGTCAAGCTCAGACGTAAACCGTCCTGCATCATGAATACAGCTTCGATCATCTTTTTACCAATAATTTGGCTGCCCACTTTGGTGCTATTTTGTAAAAACAATATGTCACTTTCTTTCCAGCTGCTCGTGAAAATGTCTTTTCGCCTTGTTCAACTAAATTTGTATGATTTCCAACACCCATTCTCTTATACAACTTGTTTAATCATGAGATTTAGAATCACTTTATCAAAAACTTTATCCACTATGCAAATAAAGGTCAATTGACGACCAGGAGCCTCAGTGAAAACAAATATCGGAATCACACGGCAAAGTGCATTTTCTGAGATGAAAAGCTTGTTATCAAAATTTAATGCAGAAGTAAATGACAAACTTAAGTAAAGTAAATTATACGTATCGATTGAGTCTGGTGCCTATTGGCTGAAGTTAGACAAAAAAAAACACCGACATTTCAACTTGTTATTTAGATTGACATGTAAGAAAGCGTTTCTTTTGAAAGACGAATCAAACACTGGACATTTTGCTAAAAGGTCGAGAGGGATACACGAAAGACCTTTGACAGACGGAAATTACAGTATTACATGTAATTACATCCTACTATTTGATTTACTAAGTGACGCGGGTTGCATTTAACGGAAAGAAACTTGAAACCAGACAGGTAGCCATAAAATAAAAAAGAGTGCACCGAAAGAAATATCGCTCTCCGACACAATCCCTAATAGATGATGCCTATGAAGGTGTGTTTTGTGGTGACGTTGTGCCTCGTTGAAGCGTTCACATTCACCGCTCATAACAAAGCAGCCTTAATTGGTTTTGCTTACAAGACGATCAAAGACGTTGACTGGTTTTCTTGTATTGTTACTTGCCAAGAAGATATCTCCTGCATTTCATACAATTTCTGCGTAGTGGAACACCGCTATAACATCAGTACTTGTTCTCTTAATAACTGCAGCCTTGACGACCCCTGCTCTAATGAAGCTATCTTGATTTGGGTTCCCGGATGCACTTTTCATCAGCTTGAACAAAACCAGGTTTGAGAATCATTAAATCATCAAATAACAGAAATAATGTTACCATCTCTTTACAATGTTTTTTTTTTTTGCATATCGCGCATCGGTTGCACGCTTGAACGTAAATTTAGATGCAACAATTTTAGAAATATCCATTAACAAATTATGGGCCGCTCTGTTGTCAATGTAGGAAGAAATTTAGCTTAAGTGAAGAACGAGACAAAAAAATACAACAAACACTTCATCGCTTTTTATCGTTTCTTAGTCGAGTTCAAATTTATCTTAGGCATGATCGACTTGAAATTTCTTTTTACATATTTTTTTTTCGTAGAATAGAAAAACAAGATGTGACCATAAAAGACTGCATCGTAACAAGGAAACAGGTTGGACATTTATTTTTGGCTAACTTACTCCATAACTCATAAAGAACCGTAAACATACGAGGAGATCTTTTATAACATTTTCCTCCTTGCAGGAGTTGTCAAAGCGAGTTTAAGCTGTAAAGACAAAATGCAAATTTATGTGGATGGCAAGGAGGAGACTGATATGATCGACTGTAAGCAAGCTGATCAGTTGAGGGTCTTTAATTTGTCCATTTTACCGACAGCGCGACTCATCGCCATCGAAGTAGAAAGCAGTGGAAGGCCTTGTATCATCGGTTCGTTTAGTGATGGCAAAGTCACCAACTCCAGCTGGAAATGTACATCAGGTACTGAACTAGATTGGAAGAAACCAGGATTTAATGACTCACTGTGGAAAAGTGCAGTAGAGCTTAATAGTGGTAGAGAAAGAGATCTAGATAGGGGATGCCAAATAAATGAAATTCAGCGTCATGGCGCAAAATGGATCACAAGCGCAGATAATGGACTGCAAAATATGTATTGTAGATTGAATCGCTTCGTTTGATGTTTTTTATAATCCCATACCCAGATCCTATCGTGCAACTGTGACTGAAATATAGGAAGGTCTGGGTACGAGACTACGCTTTCCTAACTTTGTGAGAATAAACATATCCGAATTTTGTGCTGGTGGCCAGAGAACGGTTTTCTGTTTTTTTTTCTTTTTTTTTTTCCCTCAAAGAAATGCCAATTAACTCTGTATCATAATCAATTTGAAAAGATTCAAGATTCAAAACGTCAGCTTTTTCGATTGACCTACATATTTAGAATGGATCTCATCTGCTTTGAGTGTTTTTGAACCCCTGAATCTGCTCCTCTGGAATCTCCTTATTCCTCTTCTATTAAAAAGATGTTTTTTTCCTCTGTTAAATTTTCAAGGGTGAGGATCTCGTTCAGAACGTTTGTTTAAAGTCATAGCAGGTTCTGCGAATTGTTATTTGAGTGCTCTGAATCTGCCCGTTACCAGAAATCGAGAACGTTCTGCGCCCATAATATCAACGGCGTGCGGTTTACGAAAATACGTCATGTGCGTATGGATTATTTTCAAGATGGCGGACAAAAGGGTGAATATGAAAGTAAATTAGTCGGATGTGGTGTAAGAGATTAAAATCACGCTCCTTGATCGATTCATTTCTGCAGAGGTTTTTCAGTACTGCATATGAAAACCTTTAGTACCTTTTCAATGAGTATTATAAACTAATTCATTTTATTGAGAAGTGTCGAACAGCATATATGACTCTCTTTCGTAAAATGAACAAAAGAACCTGTAGTAGGCGGTCACCCACGCGGATTGGCCGAGTGATCGTTTAATACAGGTTCCATATATTAGGAGTATTATAAAACGATAAACAACGCCATTGTATGCCATAATTGCCCACTTAATTGAAAGAATCTCGCTCAAAAATACTACTTACTTTGAAATTGGGAGTGAAACATAGATAAGAAATTACCTTAAAGATTATTCTTAGTTTTATGTACGAGTGGTCCTGTTTTAACTGAGTACAATGCAGGTGGAAGACAATAGAAACAGGCCGTTGGGCAATGGAGGGTGACCACGAACGCTTAATAGAGGTGACAACTGACCGCTAAATACAGACGGCCGCTTAAAACAGGTTCGACTGTAATTTGGCTATTGCACTTGATATTTGTAGTTATTTTGTTTTTTGTAAACGAGCAATCGTATTTCCCTATCCTCGATTTTGTTTGGTATAGGCTATCTAGTCTCATGCACTTAATTTAAATTTAACCACATCAACAAAGAATCTTGTAAACTACTTCATTGTACTTATAAATGTCACCGAGGCCAGTTCTCAAGAAATGACCATAACCCGTGACAAAATTTTCAACAAAGTGCTAAAAAGCTAAGTGCCCAGTAAGACAAACAAAAGAGAACCAAGTGCCCTTACCTCATCCATAACGAATCCAGCACTGGACTTATTCGTGATCTTAAATACAAGCTATTTCATTTTCTAACGCCTTTTAGAGATTCATTCACCAAAGGGTAAGTAATTCTTTCTTTTTCATTGCCTCTATCATATTTTGTAATGTTTAGATTTCAACACGGCCAGATATTCGGCGTTTTTCATTTCCAAATAATAATGTTGTAAAGGCTCATGGCTTCATCCGCGAAAAAGATTCCTTGCGTATCGACCCCAATTCAAGTGATGATAGCAATATCTTCTATTTAATTTGGCAACAACCCTGAAGTTCGAGATTTATGGACACTAATTGTCAGATAGTTGGTTAAAATAAATAAAAAAGAAAAAAGGCTCTTGGGATATATATGACAGAGGACATTACCTTTTCTAACAAGGGATAAAAAACAAGGAATACAGTTTTAGAGAAACTGAATTAAATTAATAGATGAAGATGTCATTCCAAGTTCACATTAGAATCGCTCCTCAAAATTATTCGTAGCTAAGTTTAAATGTTTAACTGTACTTAATTTAGATACCTTTTTTCTTTTCAGTGCTCGCTTTGTTTTGTTTTGTTTTCCTTCCCATAGGGAGGTTCTTCGCTTCATTAATTTTTTGTCATCCAATGGCCAAGATTTCAGTACTTTTCGTAATCATTTTGCTGACAAGAACACAGGCTGTCGAAGATATACTTGATGTTGAGGGTAAGAAATCTTTGCTCTCGCTGCAATTTACCCTTCCTCACGTACACTTTTCAGTAAAACGTTAAATAAAAAAATTATGATCAACAGAAGAATGTATATCTCTTATGCCGGGAAAAGCGAGTTTGTGGTTTATTTTATGGCATTAATTCGTGTTCTTACGTAGTTTGTGACAAATTTAATTCAAGATTGAAGTGGCAATAACTGAATGAATGGAAAAAAACAGAGTAGGGGACAAACCTACCAGCCGCAGAGCTCAAACAGTCGCAAAGCTTCGACTGTTATCTGATAAGCATTTGGTATCCGATTTTCATTTTTTACATGTCATCGTATTTGACCTCTTCTTACTCGCCTTTACATATTTTTCTTACGGCCTCATTTTTTTTGTTCAAAGTTCGTATACAGTTTCAGTTAACATGATTTAAATTGGCATTGTGGCCAGTTGACCAAAGGTCAATCGTAGCTCAACAAAACCCATCTCTTACTAGAGGAGGCTTCGTGTGAAACCTTTGTTGTGGAAATGACTGCGCGAAAATGAGAACGTCGTCTGCTCTGTTATTGTTATTCACATACAAGCATTAACGTACCCGCTTGTGCGATCGATATGAAACTGCTCTGAGATGATGTCAACGTGTACTTGACGCGAAGTGATTCAAATCACAAAATTTCATAACACTGCGAAATGTAAGAAAACATCTCGAAATGTTATACCAGGGATACCTAACCGAATAAACAGGCAGATGCATATCGTGTCTTGGAGTTTTTAAAACTTTGTTCACATTTTAGATCTCATCGGCAAGAAAGGTCAAGGAAGAACCTTATTCGACTCGATAGCTGCGATTTTATTACAAATGTGGTTAGACTAGAAACAGACACGGAAAAGGTTAAACAAGGTTTTTGTAACAATGAGCTGCCTTTTACGTAAAGTTGACTGAATGTTCTAAAAACCCAAACCAAACCAGAGTAGCTGTCTGTGAAAAGCGCTTTGCAATGCTCACCATTTGAGCTTGTGTGGCCAATTTAAGTTACTAAATTGCTTTTCAAGATGGCCGCGTGAAATGAACGCTTGACAAATTTAATTAAGGACAATTTTCGAACGGTGAGGCTAGTCTTTGCAATCTGGAAACACGTTTTTAAGTGCATCTGTACTTCTGCTTTTCCATGGGGGCAATAAACACTTTCTAGTTTCGGGGAACTACTTCACCTTTCAAAATGATGCAATCAATTAGCTGCTTCACGCAAGTTTTTCAAATGAATATCTCTTTTTTTCCTCGCTTTTAGGGACACACCGTGCATCAAATTTCAATTCAAGCATCACTGAGAAGCGTTCTGCTGGCTCTTCCTCTACCTGCAGACGTGCATCATACCGCAGCGTCACTCTGCACGACTATGTCTATCGGTATAACTGCTTTCCGGGAGGATGGGAATCGTTTTTGCAAGATAGAGACGTAAACAGAGCAATACGCGCAGTTTCAGAAGGTCTTGCAAGTGATTCACGCCATTATGATATAGAGCCTGAAATGCCCATGATATTCAACGCCTTTAACGTCGGCGGCTACCGATATGTAAGAGTCATTATTTTAGGTCAAGATCCAACAGCCCAACCTGGCCAAGCGACGGGTTATGCCTTCAGCCTGTGGCCAAATGTAGAACCCTATCAAGTTCCTACTGTGTTTAACGTGCTCGTGGAGTTGAAGTGGGAAGGGTACAACGTTGGTCTGACAAACGGAGACTTAACGTCTTGGGTTCCCCAAGGAGTCTTTCTTCTTAACGCTGCTTTAACTGTCCGAGAACGATCACCAGGGTCGCATCAAAGATTATGGAGGAACTTCATAGGTTTAGTGATACGATATATCAATGCTAAGGCAGCAGGTTCGGCATGGCTTCTTTGGGGAAGGGAAGCCAGCAATTATGCCTCTCTGATTGACACGGACAAACATTACATCAAGTCTGGAGGCCACCCAAGTCCAAGATCGACAGAACCATTCTTTGGAAGAAATTACTTCAAGTGCGCAAATGACTTCCTGCGTTCAGAAAGACGTGGTACGGTTGATTGGGAGATACCTGTAAATCAGAACTCGATCGCGCGGACATGGAAGAGATGTGATTATTCTGGACTTTAGCCCACAAAACTACAGCTAGCCTGTTTGCCTTTTTGAAATTATCTCATCTTATCTTATCTTCGTGTACACCGGATGTTGATGATAATAATCGTTAATTGTTGATGATAATAATCGTTCAATAAAGCTATGGTATCATGAGTTACCACTGAAGGATTTTGAATATACCTTGTTGGTTCCAATCAATGTTAGGGCCTGTTTACATGGAGGTCGGGGACCTCGGGTAGGTGAGGTAACCCGCCTGTCCATATTTTGATCACGTTTACATGATAGGTGGGGTGACCCGCCTAGGCGGGTTGCCCGGTCTGCCAGGTAGGGTAACCCTGTCAGCCGGGGTGACAATTTGCCATGTAAACGTGTCAAGGTGGGGTAACCCGCCTAACCGGGGTCGCATTCATGGCAAAAAGCTCAAAAGCGAAACGTGTGTTTTAAAACTTTGTACATATTTCCTAGCCGTCTCATTGCAGAAATCACCAGAAACCGCAACGGACACACACGGAGTGTATAATGTTCACATTTCGGAATATTTAGCGTTGTAAATCGACCATATTTGGTTTCCCAAACTATTCCGTACGTATTGCGTCAACGGTTTCTCGCGAAACCAAACACCGCGTAACACAACGCGTGACGCTTTCATGAATAAATACATATGTGTCCGAGAATAAATCTTTCGTGTTTTTCGAGATATGAACTTGGGACGTCTCTGCTCAAACTCCTTAATTGCATGCGCAACAACACCCCAGCACCCCGGGGTTGTAAGATTGCATGTAAACGCGTTTTATTTTCCTACCACGGCTAGGCGGGTTACCTCACCTACCTGGGATCCCTCACCTCCATGTAAACAGGCCCTTAGTATCTCAGTAACTGCTCACCTACTCCTCCCCTAGCCCAACAACAGTCAAATTTGAACAAGTTAAGGGTAATGCAAATCAAATCATGATCAGTATTTGTCTTTTCCATTGTTTTTAGTCGTAGAAAAAAGTCTCTAGTGTGAGGAAGCTCGAGAAACGATAGAATTTTCAAACGAGTACCTCGACTCCCGTGTCTCTCCACCCCTACCCCCTACCACTGGGAGGACATGTTGAGCCGCAAGTTATTATGGTCATCGGTTTAGCTTGTGGTTACTATCGTCAACAAATATGGCGGATTGTTTAGCTCGAACAGTTTCCGAACTTTCTACTCTGTCTTCTTACTGATTTTAAAAGAGGTAGGAGATCAAAGGAATTTATTGTTTCCTCCCACCTTCCAAGTTTTGATTGATGTAAAAATTTCACCCATACGTAAGTAATAATTATGAATGAAGAGCGGCCATATTTTCAATTTTCAGCTTGAAAACTGATCAGGCGTCCGTGACAAAACTACTGCAACAGTGGGATCACGGATCAAAGAGTGTTCGATCAAAGATTCTTCATGATTTTATCGTAGCAAACCAGGGAAAAACTGGTCCAGAACTAGAACTTGAGTTTGCTCATGCAGCCAGCTTGTTTCTGACCAGATTGACTGGCTGGTTACGACTGACGTATCCTTTTAAGCTGTTAATGCTTCGAACCCTCTTCTCACCTGGAATTTAATCGAAAAAGAAGCTGACAAGAGAACTTTCTTTTCGCCTGATCCCCAGCTCCCAGTCCCTCACGCACTCACAAGTTCAAATACCGAGGTTTTGACCATAAGCTTTCCGAATAAACCAAATGCTTACAAGACGATCAAAGACGTTGACTGGTTTTCTTGTATTGTTACTTGCCAAGAAGATCTCTCCTGCATTTCATACAATTTCTGCGTAGCGGAACACCGCCATAACATCGGTATTTGTTCTCTCAATAACTGCAGCCTTGACGACCCCTGCTCTAACGAAGCTATCTTGATTTGGGTTCCCGGATGCACTTTTCATCAGCTTGAACAAAACAAGGTCTGAGAATCATTAAATCATCAAGCAACAGAAGTAATGTTACCATCTTTTTATAATGTTTTTGTTTTTTTGCATATCGCTCATCTGCTCACATTTTCAATTTGGATGGACGCTTGAACGTAAATTTAGATGCAACAGTTTTAGAAATATCCATTAACAAATTATTGGCCGCTCTGTTGTCAATGTAGGGAGAAATTTAGCTTAAGTGAAGGACGAGACAAAAAAATACAACAAACACTTCCTCGCTTTTTATCGTTTCTTAGTCGAGTTCAAATTTATCTTACGCATGATCGACTTGAAATTTCTTTTTACATATTTTTTTTCGTAGAATAGAAAAACAAGATGTGACCATAAAAGACTGCATCGTAACAAGGAAACAGGTTGGACGTTTATTTTTGGCTGACTTACTCCATAACTTATAAAGAACCGTACACATACGAGATCTTTTATGCATGCAGGAGTTGTCAAAGCGAGTTTAAGCTGTAAAGACAAAATGCAAATTTATGTGGATGGCCATGAGGAGACTGATATGATCCATTGTAAACAAGTTAATCAGCTGAGGGTCTTCAGTTTGTACATTTTACCGACAGCGCGACTCATCGCCATCGAAGTAGAAAGCAGTGGAAGGCCTTGTATCATCGGTTCGTTTAGTGATGGCAAAGTCACCAACTCCAGCTGGAAATGTACATCAGGTACTGAACTAGATTGGAAGAAACCAGGATTTAATGACTCACTGTGGAAAAGTGCAGTAAAGCTTAATAGTGGTAGAGAAAGAGATCTGGATAGGGGATGCCTAATAAATGAAATTCAGCGTCATGGCGCAAAATGGATCACAAGCGCAGATAATGGACAGCAAAATATGTATTGTAGATTGAATCGCTTTGTTTGATGTTTTTCATATCCCATACCCAGATCCTATAGTGCAACTGTGACTGAAATATAGGAAGGTCTGGGTACGAGACTACGCGTTCCTAACTTTGTGAGAATAAACATATCTGAATTTTGTGCTAGTGGCCAGAGAACAGTTTTCTGTTTTTTTTTTTTTTATTTTTTCCTCAAAGAAATACCAATCAACTCTGTATCATAATTAATTTGAAAAGATTCAAGATTCGAAACGTCAGCTTTTTCGATTGACCTACATATTTAGAATGGCTCTCATCTGCTATTGAATGTTTTTGAATCCCTGAATCTGCTCCTCTGGAATCTCCTTATTCCTCTGTTAAATTTGCAAGGGTGAGGATCTCGTTCAGAACGTTTGCTTAAATTCATAGCAGGTTCTGCGAATTGTTATTTGAGTGCTCTGAATCTGCCCGTTACCAGAAATCGAGAACGTTCTGCGCCCACAATATCAACGGCGTGCGGTTTACGAAAAACGTCATATGCATGCATGTCCGTAGGATTATTATCAAGATGGCGGACAAAAGGGTGAATATGAAAGTAAATTAGTCGGATGTGGTGTAAGAGATTAAAATCACGCTCCTTGATCGATTCATTTCTGAAGAGGTTTTTCAGTACTGCACATGAAAACTTTTAGTACCTTTTCAATGAGTATTATAAACTAATTCATTTTATTGAGAAGTGTCGAACAGGATATATGACTCTCTTTCGTAAAACGAACAAAAGAACCTGTAGTAAGCGGTCACCTACGCGGATTGGCGGAGTGATCGTTTAATACAGGTTCCATATATTAGGGGTATTATAAAAACGATAAACAACGCCATTGTATGCCATAATTGACCACTTAATTGAAAGAATCTCGCTCAAAATACTACTTACTTTGAAATTGGGAGTGAAACATGGATTAAAAATTGCCTTAAAGATTATTCTTAGTTTTATATACGAGTGGTCTTGCTTTAAGTGATCGTACAATACAGGTGGAAGACGATAGAAACAGCCCATTGGGACCCAGTGGAGGGTGACCGCGAACGCTTGATGGAGGTGACAGCTGACCGCTAAATACAGAGGGCCGCTTAATACGGTGCCACTTAATATAGGTTCGACTGTAATTTGGGTATTGCACTTAATATTTGTAGTTATTTTGTTTTTTGTACACGAGCAATCGTATTTCCCTATCCTTGATTTTGTTCGGTATAGGCTATCTAGTCTCATGCACTTAATTTAAATTTAACCACATCAACAAAGAATCTTGTAAACTACTTCATTGTAATTAGAAATGTCACCGTGGCCAGTTCTTGAGAAATGTCCATAACCTGTGACAAAATTTTCAACAAAGTGCTAAAAAGCTAAGTGCCCAGTAAGACAAACAAAAGAGAACCAAGTGCCCTTACCTCATCCATAACGAATCCAGCACTGGACTTATTCGTGATCTTAAATACAAGCTATTTCATTCTCTAACGCCTTTTAGAGATTCATTCACCAAAGGGTAAGTTCTTTTTTTTTTTTTTTTCGTTGCCTCTATCATATTTTGTAAAATTTACATTTCAACATTCGATCAGATTTTCGAAATTTTTAATTTCCAAATAACAATGATGTAGAGGTTCATGGCTTTATCTGCGAAAAAGATTCCTTGCGTATCGACCCCAATTCAAGTGATGATAGCAGTATCTCCTCTTTTGGCAACAACCCTGAAGTTCAAGATTTATGGACATTGATCGTCAGATAGTTGGTTAAAATAAATTTAAAAAACACCTGTCTTGAAGTATATATGACAGTGGACATTACCTTTTCTAACAAGAGAAAAAAAACAAGGAATACAGTTTGAGAGAAACCGAATTCATTTACTAGATAAAGATGTCATTCCAAGATCACATTAGAATCGCTCCTCAAATTTATTCGTAGCTAAGGTTAAATATTTAACTGTGCTTGGTTTAGATATCTTTGCTTGCTTTTGTTTTGTTTTGTGTTTTCCTTCTAATAGAGAGGTTCTTCGCTTCATTAATTTTTGTCATCCAATGGCCAAGATTTCAGTAATTTTCGTAATCATTTTGTTGACAAGAACACAGGCTGTCGAAGACATACTTGATGTTGAGGGTAAGAAATCCTTGTTCTCTTTGCAATCTATCCTTCCTCACGTACCCATTTCAGTAAAACGCTAAATAAAAAATTATGATCAACAGAAGTATGTTTATCTCTTATGCCAGGAAAAGCAAAAAAACTAAATAAATGGAAAAATCAGAGTAGGAGACAAACCTACCAGCCGCAGAGCTCAAACAGTCGCAAAGCTTCGACTGTTATCTGATAAGCATTTGGTATCAGACTTTCATTTTTTACATGTCAACGTATTCGATCTCTTCTTACTCGCCTTTACATACTTTTCTTACGGCCTCATTTTTTTCTTCAAAGTTCGTAGACAGTTCCAGTTAACATCATGGTTAAAATTGGTATTGTGGCCGGTTGACCAAAGATCAATCGTGGCTCAACAAAATCCATTTCTTACTAGAGGAGGCCTCGTGTGAGACCTTTGTTGTGGAAGTGACTGCGCGAGAATGAGAACGCCGTCTGCTCTGTTATTGTTATTCACAAACAAGCATTAACGTACCCGCTTGTGCGATCGATATGAAACTGCTCTGAGGTGATGTCAGCGTGTACTTGACGCGAAATGATTCAAATCACAAAATTTCACAACATTGCGAAATTTAAGACAACATCTGGAAATGTTATACCAGGGATAGCTAACCGAATAAACAAACAGATGCATATTGTTTCCTTGAGTTTTTAAAACTTTGTTCGCATTTTGCATCTCTTCGACAAGAAAGGCCAAGAAAGAACCTTATTCGACTCGATAACTGCGATTTTATTACAAAAGCGGTGAGACTAGAAACAGACAAGGAAAAGGTAACAAGGTTTCTGTAACAATGACCCGCCTTCTGCGTAAAGTTGACTGAATGTTCTAAAAACCAAATGGTTTTTGTTTTTGTGAAAAGCGCTTCGCAATGCTAGTTATTTGAGCTTGTGTGACCAATTTAAGTTACTAAATTGCTTTTCATGATGGCCGCGTCAAACGAACGCTTGACAAATTTAATTAAGGACAATTTTCGAACGGCGAGGCTAGTCTTTGCAATCTGGAAACACGTTTTTAAGTGCATCTGTATTTCTGCTTAGTTTCGGGGAACTACTTCACCTTTCAAAATGATGCAATCAACCAGCTGCTTCACGCAAGTTTTTAAATGAATATCTCTCTTTTTCCTCGCTTTTAGGGACACACCGTGCATCAAATTTCAATTCAAGCATCACCGAGAAGCGTTCTGCTGGCTCTTCCTCTAACTGCGGACGTGCATCATACCGCAGCGTCACCCTGTACGACTATGTCTATCGGTATAACTGCTTTCCGAGAGGATGGGGATCGTTTTTGGAAGATAGAGACGTAAACAGAGCAATACGCGCAGTTTCAGAAGGTCTTTCAAGTGATTCAGGCCATTATGCTATAGAGCCTGAAATGCCCATGATATTCAACGCCTTCAACGTCGGCTACCGAGATGTAAGAGTCATTATTTTAGGTCAAGATCCAACAGCCCAGTCTGGCCAAGCGACGGGTTATGCCTTCAGCCTGAGGCCAGATGTGGAACCCTATCAAGTTCCCACTGTGTTTAACGTGCTCGTGGAGTTGAAGTGGGAAGGATACAGCGTTGGTCTGACAAACGGAGACTTAACGTCTTGGGCTCGCCAGGGAGTCTTTCTTCTTAATGCTGCTTTAACTGTCCGACAACGATCACCAGGGTCTCATCAAAGATTATGGAGGAACTTCATAGGTTTAGTGATACGATATATCAATGCTAAGGCATCACCTTCGGCATGGCTTCTTTGGGGAAGGGAAGCCAGCAATTATGCCTCTTTGATTGACACGAGAACTCATTACATCAAGACTGGAGGCCACCCAAGTCCAAGATCGAATGAACCATTCTTTGGAAGAAATTACTTCAGCTGCGCAAACGAGTTCTTACGTTCACAAAGACGTAGTACGGTTGATTGGCGGCTACCTGTAAATCGGAACTCGATCGCGCGGACATGGGAGAGATGTGATTATTCTGGACTTTAGCCCGCAAAACTACCGCCAGCCTGTTTGCCTTTTGAAATTGTCCTAATTTCGTGTACACCGGATGTTGATGATAAAAATATGATAATCGTTCAATAAAGCTATGGTATCATGAGTTACCATTGAAGGATTTTGAATATACCTTGTTGGTTCCAATGAATGAGTTGCCAGTAATTGGATCCTTGTGTTTACGCACAGATTTCTGGGATCGCCACGGGGCCAACATTGCAACTCACTAGAAGGAAATCAGGGTTTTCATTTGAGGCCGGAGGCCGGACGTTTCGTCCGGTCGTTTGCTATTCCACGTCCGGTACTTTGAGATCAATATTGGCGATTTTTTTTTACTACTGTAAATGGCGTTTCTGAGTATTCTATTTTGAAAATTTCCTGGGGGAGCATGCCCCCAGACCCCCCTAGGTGCTTGCGCCTTCGGCGCTCGCGAGGCGCCTTACGGCGCCAAGAAAACATTCACGTCCGGTGCTTTCAGAAGTATGTCCGCTACTTTACAAAACAGTTGAAAACCCTGAGGAAATGTATGACGACAGGTTGTTCCGACGTTCAGATAAACGATTTTAGCGAGAGATTTTCGCTTTTTCGCCGCTCTTTTATCAGAAATTGATTTGGGTAATGCTGATACAAAGGAAGGCGTAAGTTTTTGTTTGAAAAACCATGTAATATGTAGTAAAATCTACCGATTAACTTGTCTCCATGCGTAAGGTTTATTGTGAATTTGACATCGCGTAATAGTCTCGAAATTTTAAAAACATAACTATAAATCGCCTAGGAATAACTCAACTAAGCCGTTCCAGCTTTTTTTACTTGTGTTAAGTCTCAGTACTAATACAAAAGAGCGCTAGAATAGTTGCTTGAGAATTAAATATTATTGCGGTACATTAAAGTGATGAATCACCTACACTGCTTCTTTGTTGTGATGAATGTGAACGAATCAGTGTTGATAATTGGCTCAAAGCTGAACCCTTTCTTCTGTGACGATGATTGATATAAATCGGTTTCTTTAGAAGTGATGCACAACCGGTGATATGTCCACAGTTTCTGCCGGAGTTCCCGTGATCTTGCTTTTCTTGACAAGATCCTTCAAGGAGTTCGAGAAGAAAAGTTGCAGCTCAAAGACCTTTGGATTTTTCTCAAACAAACTATCACTTAAGCGAGGGATTTCCTCATGTTTTTCATCGCTCATTTCATGCTCTCAGAGAGCAACAGCTCGGTAAAAATATTTTCCATCTTTGTGGACAACGACTTCTCTCCTTAATAGAGGTATATTTTCAAACGTCGTAATTTGTTCATTAAATACATTAACAAGCATAAAAACAGGCAGTTCATATATAAATACAACTGAAAAGACTTAAACGAGTTATTTCCTAGCGATTCCTTGCTAGTTTTGTAACCATTGCGCGATGACGATAGCCTTACGCAAGGAGAGAAGTTTTTCGGTCTTTTTTATAACATATTTCGTGGTAATTCCAACAAAAACTTACACTACCCTCGTATTAACATACCTTTATCCATGTATGAATAAATTGCTGCGAAAAAGCCACAACCTCTCGTCATACGTTCCTTTTTAGCAAGTTAAAATGTTTGCCCCGTGGCGATCCCAGAACTCTTTGCGCAAACGCAAGGATCCGATTACTGGCAAATCATTCATTAATACCAGTATCTCAGCAACTGCTCACCTACCCCTCCCCTAGTCCATCAACAGTCAAATTTTAACAAGTTAAGGGTAATACAAATCAAATCATGATCAGTATTTGTCTTTTCCATTGTTTTAACTCATTGAAAAACGTCTCTAGGGTGAGGAAGCTCGAGAAACGATAGAATTTTCAAACGAGTACCTCGACTCCCGTGTCTCTCCACCCCTACCCCCTACCACTGGTAGAACATGTTGAGCCGCAAGTTATTATGGTCATCGGTTTAGCTTGTGGTTACTATCGTCAACAAATATGGCGGATCGTTTAGCTCGAACAGTTTCCGAACTTTCTACTCTGTCTTCTTACTGATTTTAAAAGAGGTAGGAGATCAAAGGAGTTTATTGTTTCCTCCCACCTTCCTCATATCAATCCAATTTTTGATTGATGTAAAAATTTCACCCATACGTAAGTAATAATTATGAATGAAGAGCGGCCATATTTTTAATTTTCAGCATGAAAACTGATCAGGCGTCCGTGACAAAACTACTGCAACAGTGGGATCACGGATCGAAGAGTGTTCGATCAAAGATTCTTCATGATTTTGTCGTAGCAAACCAGGGAAAAACTGGTCCAGAACTAGAACTTGAGTTTGCTCATGCAGCCAGCTTGTTTCTCACCAGATTGACTGCCTGGTTACGACTGACGTATCCTTTTAAGCTGTTAATGCTTCGAACCCTCTTCTCACCTGGAATTTAATCGAAAAAGAAGCTGACAAGAGAACTTTCTTTTCACCTGATCCTCAGCTCCCAGTCCCTCACGCACTCACAAGTTCAAATACCGAGGTTTTGACCTTAAGCTTTCCGAATAAACCAAATGCATTTATTCATTAATTTTCCTCTTAAGCTCTTGTTCCAATGTGAATCGACCACGAAGAAAGAGCTCTTCATCCTAGCTGAGGTAGGCTCTTGGGATGAGTTAGTATTTAAAAAATCGTTGCAATTCTAGGGATGGATCTTATTTATCACGGTTTATCTGCTTTTTTTTCTTTTTTTTCCTGGTGATTTACTGCCCAATTCTGAGATGTTGATTGGTTATATCCTGTTTAAAAGTGACCAGAACTCTCTGATTAGCAGATGCCAAGTCCATAGCTTGAGCTGGTAATTTTTCTGGAATCTGTGCATAACTTAAATTATTAATAATAATAATTAATAATATTTAATATAATTGTTTTCTCACTCGGGCTCCTTGACTTGTATTCTTGCACAATGAAGATATATGCTTGGAACATGCGTTCAATTGCAGCTTCAAGCAATCACCATCTTTGTTGGTTCTTCAAGTGGGTGAGTCATTCCACAGAGTTAATGTATGTGGTTGGATTTAATCCTTGATTGTCCTTTCCTTGCATTCCTTGCGAGGAATTACTTCCATTGGTGTAACAAATCATTGTTAACCCTTTACACCCGAACATCAGTATCCATATTCTCCTTACTCTTCTCCATATGTTACTTTTGTTATTGACAAAGAGAATTCATTTGAAGATCAAAGCTTCTTAGGTTGGTGATCATTTCCTTTATTCTCATGATCTTAGTGAATAATTCAACAGAATTGCTGTAAGGAGAAATAAGATGCTGGTCACTCTTAGGGTTTAAAGGATTAAATGCTTGCAGGGGCATAGCCAGCCAGTAAGCCTGGACCTTTTTTTTTCTTTTTCACTGGCTTGACTAATTTCAATATGATTCTTGCAAAAGTTGAAACAAAAATTGAACTTTCTCAGGGAACAGGCCCACAAGAAGTCGAAAAGCTTGCTACACTCCAGACTGATGTCACAAATGGGAATGTAGTACTGTTTGTACTTAGCACCAAAAAAGTGAAAACAGTATTCGGCTGTTTTCAAAAGTTTTATTCCACGAGTGTCAGTATTTGTTAGTTACTGAAAAATTCATGTGTTCATCCCCTTTTTTTACTGATTGGAGAACTCTTACTATCAGAAGGCCCTTTTGTTTTCCTCTCCCAGGCATAAATTTTTGGCAGAATTCTTGGAAGTTGGTGGTGTGCTGACTGTTCTTGAAATTCTTGGTCTTAAGCAGGCAAAAGAGGTTAGTATATTTTATTACCTGTAGACAGGTAGCTTACATAGTTTGAGAGACATGGTTGCCCAATTTTTGGAATGTGGAACTCTAGATTGAAGGACCCAGCTTGGTGCATTCTTGCTCGGTAATCCACTTTACCATCCTTTGTAAGAGGAGTGGTTACACTTTTGTTTGCTTTGTGCCATGTTTATGAGCTGGAATAAGCTCTACCAGCCCTGTGAACACAATGTGTACATGCATGTTGACTTTACTCTTAAGCTTACCTTTTGCTTTGATTTGGTCAGGAAGATAAAGCACAAGCACTAAAGCTGCTGATGTGTGTGGCAAACTCAGGTAGAAGATACAAAGAGCTTATTTGTGAAAGCTTTGGAATCAGGGCTGTTGCAGAATGTCTTGCAAAATCGAACTCCGAAGAGACTCAGGATTGTGCCCGAAACTTATTGCAGCAACTTTCCAATGTAAGTTCACATCAGTGCACATGCACTGTCGATAAATAAATATTTGCCCCCAATTTTTGAACATGATTGCATACATGTACTTTGATTTCAGGTCAGATCCTAAACAAGGTGAAATTTAACAAGTGGCTTATTATGGGAAGAAATTTGTTTCTTACCTGGGATTTCCAATAATGGTGGAAAGCTGGCAAACTTTGCTTGCTACATTTACTTAGCAGAGTTTTGTACTGGCTAGCCTTCAAAAACAAAACAAAAAAAAAATTCAAGATTGAGCTAAGGGTAGATAATATTATGTACAAGATAAAACTTGATGGTCAATGCTGGCTGTCTACTTTTTGGTAGCATCACCATACTTCCAAGTGTATAAACAATTTTCTACAAGGGTGTGTTGATTATTAGAATGATTATTATCAAGACAATGATTTTAAAGAATATGATAAGTGGGGACAAGGATAATGATGATAATTAATAATGATGGCAATGATAATGGCTAATGACAACAACACCATTGCATGGTGATGATCATAATGATGACCATTTGGATGAATCGTTAATGACAATAATGGTAATATCATTTTTTTAGGGAAATCCAAAATATGAAGGACAAGTCTACAAGGCACTGATTGCCTTGCTGAAGTGTGTGTCTCCAAAGGCTCAACAGATGGCCGCACAGACTCTTAGAATAGTGCAGGTTTGTATCATCAAACATGCACCCTTACAATTTTCAAAGCAACTTCACTCTGTTTGCTTGGCAAGCAGTTACACTCCTGTAGACATGTTGTGACCCTGTGATCACTTTTTGATTTTTAGAT